CCACTTACATTTACACTCAAACTGATTTTGTTTTTAAATAGGCAATACACTGACACCAAAAACCTGGAAGCACAGAGAGTAGATGTTGAAGAGCCCCTCACCATCCATCTCCACCCCCGCCACAGGCCACCCGTACCAGCCAGGATTGGCCATGCTACGCTGCAGTAACAAGTAGCCCCAAGGCCCCAGTTGCTAAAGGAACGGGGCTATTTCTCCTTCACACCACATGTCCTTTGAGGCTTGGTTCAAGTCCTCATCTGGCAGCACCCTTACTCCGGGGCTCTGGCGGATCTGTCTGGGACCCAGGCCGACAGAGCAGGCATTACCTGGAATATTGCCAGTGACCATAGCAGGGGGAAACGGAAGAACATGGGGATCCGTCTGCCCCTGGCTCTCAGAAGCTTCTGCCTGGCAAGGTACTTCTGCTCCCACTTCACGCCAGTCACAAAGGCACATCTAATCTCAAGGGGGCAGGGAAGTACAGCCCTCCTGTGTCTCTAGGAGGAGAATCTCTGAGTGCTCAGAAAACCCATGCTCAGATGCACAGCATGGTCACCCGCACACACCCAGTCATCTGCAAAGACATCAATGAAAAGTGATTTCTGAGACTATGCAGACAGCGCTTACATTCACCACCAGGCTTTACAAGTGAGCACACCAGCAATACTCGCATACCCTCCTGCCCCACTAATCTCTAGCCAGGCAAGTCACCCAAGTAGGTGCAATCTGGCCAGTGGTGAACACTTAACTATACTGAAGGGGACGAGGCTTTCTCAAACACAGATCCCACGTCTTCCTCCAGCAAGCTAGGAGCAAGCACCTCTGCACAAGGAGGGTGTGATGGTTAGATTTCATGTTCCCACTTGTTGGGTCAAACACCAGTCCAGATGTTGCTGTGAGGTATTTTGTAGGTGTGATTTTTTTTTAGAAGATGTATTTATCTGAGAGAGCAAGAGAGAGTTGGGGGGAGGGGCAGAGGGAGAGAACCTCAAGCTGACTCCCCACTGAGTGTAGAGCCTGATGTGGGGCTTGATCTCAAGAGAGATCTCATGAGATCATGACTTGAGCTGAAATCAAGAGTCTGATGCTTGGGGCGCCTGGGTGGCTCAGTTGGCTAAGTGTCTGCCTTAGGCTCAGGTCATGATCCCAGGGTCCTGGGATCCAGCCCCAAGTTGGGCTCCCTCCTCTGCAGGGAGTCTGCTTCTTCCTCTCCCTCTGCTCCTTTCCCCTGCTTGTGCTCTTTCAAATAAATAAAATCTTAAAAAAAAAAAAAAAGAGTCTGATGCTTAACTGACTGGGCCACCCAGGAGCCCCTTGTAGATGTGATTAATTTTATCAGTTGACTTCAAGTAAAGGAGATGATTCTAGCTCATCCAATCAGTTGAAGGCCTTAAAACCAAAAACTGAAGTAACTCAGAGAAGAAGGAATTTTGTCTCAAGGCTGTAACATAGAAGACCTGCCTGAATTTCCAGCTCCTTGACCTGTCTTACAGACTTTGGATTTGCCAGCCCCCCCCTCCAATCACGAGGCAGTTCCTTAAAATGAATCTGTACACACACACATGTCCTATTGGCTCTGTTTTTCTGGAGAACCTTGAGTGATGGAGTAAAATCTAAAATTTGGGAAACACTTAAATGCACCAGAGAGGAAAGGGTTTTCTTTTCTTTTTTTGTTTTAAGATTTTATTTTTAAGTAATCTCTACACGCAACGTGGGACTCAAACTCACAACCCTGAGATCAGGAATCACATGCTCCCCCTACTGAGCCAGCCAAGCACCCCAGGAAGGGATTTTCTTAATGATAAAGTCAATACTGAAATGAACGTGCACAACCCACACCCAGAGGGATGTGCAAATGAGCCCTTCAGTGCAAGATGGAAGCCTACAATTCTCAACAAACACTTGGGTGCCCCTAGGGGAGAGGTGTCCTAAAGTCCATAAAGCCAAGCCTGAGGCATCTCCTCTCTCTACTGTGGTTTATAGTCAAGACACTAAGATGGGGGGGGATGGGCAGCTCTTACCGTCACTACGCTAGTATCTTAATGCCCTGGGGGAAATGCTTCCTGGTTTTCATAAAAGCTGGTATTTGAATGAACGGTGCCATGCCACAGCCCCGTTCTGGCTTGAATCACGCCCCCTCAAAGAGCTATGGAAGTCCTCTCCTCCAGGACCTGTGAATGTGACCTTACTTGGGAATAGGGTCTTTGCAGATGATTGAGAGTAGAAGTCACTGAGGGTGGGCCCCATTCCAACAGGACTGGTGTCCTCATCAACTTTGGGGGAATTTGTGCAGAGACAGGAAGGACAGAGAGAAGGTGATGTGCATGTGGAGGGTGCCAGCCAGTGGCAGCTGAGCAGAGAGCCAGGGGAGAGGCCCAGCACCAGCTCTCCCACTGGCCTCGGAAGGAACCAGCAGGTGGCCCGTTGCTGTTGCTTCGGATGCTTGTCACAGCAGCCCCAGCAAACTACCAGAGCACCCCACTGCAGTGAGACTGGGCCAGAGAACGCGAAGAGGAGACGCAAACAAATGCTGAAATGCAGAGAGAAGAGGCTTTCTTAGGAAGATGCCGAGGACGTAAAGGCGCCACGCTCCATCCCTGACTCGGGGCTTGGGGGCAGACTCAGGGGCAGCCCTGACCACCCATAAAGACTCCTAGATGCCTGCCCCCACCTCGGCCACGCAGGGGACTCCCCAGTGACAGAAGCACGGAGGTGGAAGCCCATTTCTTCCCGACAGTAAACCTTGAGACCCGGGCTCAGGAAACATGTTTATTCCAAAAAATACCAAGTTGCCACTCCGCCGCTGTCCTCACCAAGGGACTGGGGGAAGAGTTTGGTGTTGAGCAGGGAGAGGGAAGGATAAAGAAGCTGTGGAGAGTCTTCTGGTCTAGAACTGGTTATCTTCTCTCTGCACCCCTCCCCTGCCCCTCCCACAACGGGGTGTGTGTGTGAGTGCGCGGCGAGTGCCGGTTTATCAGGGGACGGAAGACTCAGATGGCGAGGTCCAGCTCTGGAAGCATCGAGGGGGATCAGGCAGGACAAGCCCACTTCCTCACCCCCTTGAGACCTCTCCCCACTATGGCTTATTTGAGATCAGAGATCAAGGCCCCAAGGTCAGGCAGCCTGTGGCAGAGTGAGTGGGGGGAGGGGAACAAGATACCTGGAATCCAGGCCAGGAGACAGCAAGTCGTGGGGGGTGTACGAAAGCTGAAAGGCCCCAAGCCCCTGTATTCCAGGCGGCTGGGGAAAGCTGAGTGCTCAGTGGGGATGGTGAGCAGAGGGAACGGGGTGTGAAAGGGGGCAGGCGCTCAAGCTGGCTCCTTTCTGGGGGAAGTCACAGTCTGCCTGAGGGGCGCTGGGCATGGGGAGGCCCTGGATGGGACTGTGGGGAGCCCACAGGAGCAGCTAGAAGCATGGACACGGGGCCCAGGTAGATTGGGGTAGCTCCCCAGTTCCCCTGGGTGCTGGGAGCTGAGGGCATTATCTGCCCCAGGCTCCTGACGAGAAGGGGTGAGCTGAGGTGCCAATATTTGGGGGGAGACAGAAGAGGGAGGGGGACGGCCCAGAGGAGGGAGAAGAACCCCCTCACCTTGCCTTGGGGGCTGGGGAGGGGGTATGTAGCCCTTTAAGAGTGGGGGAATGGCCGCCCCCCCGCAACATGGCTATATACAAAGAGAATTGGGGCAAATTGTGCATTGGGTGTTGAGGAATCCCCAAAACCCCTGGAGGCTCCCTGGTGTGTGAGGGGGAGATAAGGAGAGAATGCTGCTTCTCCACCATCTTGAGATGATGCAGAGCACCTCCCCCCCCATGGCCTTGGCAGTGGCCATGGCCCTCCAGATGTGCCTGCTCCAGGACCAGGCCAGCAGGAGACATGAGTGAAGGCCCCAGGGAAGTCAGCAGCTGTCCACCCAGCCCATGGGGTCTCTGAGGAGAGTTTGGCCCAAGCCGATGGAGTGCTGTTTTGGGTGGGGGTCCAGGTCACAGGGGCAGTGATGTCACCTGAGGACTGTGAAGCCCATCCCACTCCTCCCCCGTGATGATAAAAGTTTTCAGTGTTGACCCTGTCACCGATGAGATGGGTGAAGGGCGGTGAGTTATTGGGAGGGGCCTGGATGCCCTCACCAGGGGGTGATGGAGTCTGGCCAAGACCAGGTCTGTGGTGGGGTTGATGCAGGCATCAGCTCAAGTCAGGAGGGAGGCAGTGACATCATTAAGAAGGGGCTAAGGATGATGTCATCAGAGGGACCCCCACCTATTCCCTTTTTGAAGGAATGGGAAAATGGTGTGTATTGTGCCAGTTCCCCTTAAGGGAACAGTTATAGGTGCCATGGGACCCCAGAAAACAATTGAAATACAGCCATTGTAGTACTTGACACTCAAGATGATGGATCCTGGAAGATAATGATGCATGGTTGAAGTGGATCCTAGTAAAGGACATATTTTGGTGTCATGGATCCTAGGAGATGATGATGCTATGGTTATGGTGGATCCTGGTAGATAATGACACCATGGTTGAAGTGGATCCTGGGAGGTGATGACCCCATTGGTTCTCATGGTTCCTGGGAGGTGATGACACCACGGTTGAAGTGGATCCTGGGAGGTGATGACATCATGGTTGAAGTGGATCCTGGGAGGTGATGACCCCATTGGTTCTCATGGTTCCTGGGAGGTGATGACATCATGGTTGAAGTGGATCCTGGGAGGTAATGACACCACAATTATCAGGGACTGTGGGAAATGGTGGCATCATCAGTACTAGTGGATCCTGGTAGAGGATGTTACCATCAGCCATAGAGGATTCTGGAAGGTAATGACATAATATGTCATAGTGGATCCTAGGAGATGATGATGATACAATGGTGTGGTAGATCCTGGGAGATGAAGACACCATAGGTCATAGGGAATCCTGGGAAATGATGTCATCGTCAGGCATGGTTAGCATTTGACCCCAGGTACAATGCCATCATGAGTGGTGGAAGTCTTATGGTACTGATGATATCATCAGCAAAATTAATAGTGGGCACACCCCAACCAACCCCATCCCACCTCACCCCCAACAGGAAGCCAGGAGTTTGTTGACAGAGGCGACGATGTCTCTAGTTATGGCAGAAAGATGTGACACCAGCCTTTGGGCCACTATGAGTCCCAGGACTCTGGGAGGCTGGTGGGCCAGAGTGGCCTCCTTGGGAGCAGAAGCCAGTCTGGGAGTCCTGTCCTCCAGGAGTCACACAGGAGGTGACATCACTGCACAGGGTGGGATCTGAGGCCCAACCACCCTTTAGAGGGAGGGTCTGGTGGAGATCCTGCAGAGCATGTCCCTGGTGTCAGGGAAAGGAGTGACCAAGTTAAGTCATGGCAGGACAAGGCGGAAACTCTGGTGACATCATCACAAGTGATGGCCCTCCAGAGCAGGCAGTGTCTCTGGTGATGACATCACAGCATTGGGACAGAACCTCAGTGGGGGCCCGTTGCTAGCAACCTACAGTCAGACCATTCATCCCGATGGAGACCTCTGCAGTTGGGGTTGCCTCCCCAGTGATGACATTCCCTCAGACAACTCCTCAGGTCAGAGCACTTTCTCTGGTGACCCCAGGGTTGCCATGGATTTGGGGCATGCCCTGCCTTCTCATGACCTGGCATGGAGGTGTCTTATTAGAGCATCACCCCAGGACAGGCAGAGTCCAGAGGTGAGATCACAGAAGCGGGCTATCATCCCTGGTGATGACATCATGGGAAGAGGCACAGTCCCTCTGATCATGTCATAGGGCAAGGCACCTTCTCTGGAGATGGCATCACAGGAAGGAGGCAGAGTCCCTGTGACAGTGTTGTGGAAAGGTCGTACGTACAGGGAGGACACAGTTGGCAAGACCTTTCCCCTGCGATGTGTCCCAGGAAGATGGCTTTGTCTGTAGTGACAACATCATAGACAGAGACATCTTCTCTGGAAGAAAACATTTTCCTGGTGGTGATGATGTCACGAGAGGCCTTTTGGTGCCAGACATGACATCATCAGGGTGAGATGTGTCTCTGCAATGACATTCACAGGAAGGAATCTTTGTCTCTAGGGATGATGTCATAGGACAAGGCATTGTCTCTGCTGTGACATCACAGGGAGAAAGTCTGTGATGACTTCGTGGAACAGAGACATGGCCTCTAGTGGTGACCTCAGGGGTGGGCCTATTCCTCTGTGATGAATTCATGGGAAGAAAGTTTTGTCCCTGTGATGACATCACAGAACACAGACATTTTCACTAGTGATGACCTCACAGGCAGGGCTCTTCCTCTGTGATAACGTCATGGGAAAGAGGCCTTGCCTCAAACAGTGACATAGGAGGAGGGATCTTATCTACCATGACATCCCAGAAGGAGGTTTTGTCTCCGGTAACAATTTCATCCAAAGCAGTGTCCTCGGAGGCAGTCCCCTGCCCACAGGCTGATCCTGGGTCCCAGGCCCCTAGTGTGTGTTGGGGGATCCAGGCTGGGATGGGGGCCGGCGAGGCCGCAGCCCGCAAGCCCCCGGGCCTGGCCTCAGACCGTCACCTCATTCTTGCTGGCGGTGCGCAGGTGTTGGGGCAGGTGATGGCCGGGGATGAACTGCAGTTGCTCCAGCGTGCCCTGGCGCTGGAAGGGTGGCCTGCGCGCCAGCGTGCCCCCTCCCCCGCCGGCGTCCGACATCCAGGCCGGCTGCGGGGAGCCGTGCAGGCCGTGGTGGTGGTGCGCGTGCAGGCCGGGCGGCGGGGGCAGCCCGTGCAGCGGCGTGGGGGGCCCCCCGGGTCCTAGCAGCAAGTTGGAATGGGACGCGGCCAGGCCCGCGCGGGCGGCAGGCTCCGGGGGCAGCGCGGGGCTGCGCGGGGGCGACAGCAGGTGCTCCCGGCTCTGGCGCAGGGCCTCGGGCGACGACAGGAGCAGGTGCTCTTGCGACACAAGGCGCGCGCGCGGCAGGGTGAATTCGTAGCGCGACCGGCCTCCGTCGCCCAGCAGGTGCTCCTGGGACATGACCCGCCGCGGGTTGGGCGCGGGCGCCAGGCCCAGCTCCTCCGGGCCGCCCCAGGCATCCATGCGGTAGCCGCCCCCCGTGCCGGGTCGCCGAAGGGTATGCAGGGGCAGCGTCCCGCGGGGCATCTCCGCCAGGTGCCTGCGCTTCAGGTAGGCCTCGTCCAGATCCTTCTCAGCTGGGGGAAGGGGGGAAAAGCCATAGAGGTAAGTCCTCAGCCAGCCCACAACCTCCCCCATCCCCTGGCTTCGGTACATCCCACCCCCACGAGGACCCCAGACATCACCAGAATGCCCTGGTCATTAGCCTGGGAACAGGTGGCTGAGTCCCACATTGCAACCAGTCGAAACAATCAGGCTAGCTATGTGACCAAAATGCAGATTCCTAGGCCCCACACACGATGGTGAGCCGGTAGATGTGGGGCGACTTCCTTTTTTTTTTTTTTTCTTCCAAACTTGGAAATGTGACCTATTCATGGGTTATGAAGTCAGTTTTGTGGATGGTGACTGGCATTTTGAAAATGAAGTAGAATAAAAAATTATCAGAAAGCATCCACACAGGAGCTCCTGGCTGGCTCAGTCAGTAAAGCATCCCCATCTTCATCTCCGGGTCCTGAGTTGAGCCCCATATTGGGTGCAGATATTACTTAAAAAAATCAATAATAAAAAAAAAGATTAAGGAGGTTGGTGGGGAAAAAGATTTTTAAAAGTTACATAAAAGAGAAAGTATCTAAGGGTCCCTGGGTGGCTCAGTCAGTTAAGCCTCTGCCTTCGGTTCAGGTCATGATCCTGAGGTCCTGGGATTGAGTCCCACATCGGGCTCCTTGCTCAGTAGTGAGCCTGTTTCTCCCTCTCCCTCTGCTGCTCCCTCTGCTTGTGCTCTCTCTCTGTCAAATAAATAAAATCTTAAAAAAAAAAAAGAAAGAAAGCATACACATAATAGGGGAATAAGGGTGAGTACCAGTTCATAAAGTTTTTATTTCAGTTAATTTGTGTTGCAGAAATATTAATGGATGCAGTGACAATACCTAGGGTTTGTTTTATTTTTTATTTTTTTAAAGATTTTATTTGACAGAGAGAGAGAGACAGCGAGAGAGGGAACACAAGCAGGGGGAGTGGGAGAGTGAGTGGGAGTGTCAAAAAATGAATAAAAATCTTAAAAAAACCAAAACTAATGATGTAATGTATGGTGATTAACATAACATAAAATAAAATTTAAAAAAAAGTAAAAAATGGAACAATCCACCAAGAACTGGGGCAAAGGGAGTATAGATTAACAAAATGTTGCTCATTTTAAGTTGAGTGATGGGAACATGAGGATTCATTTTACAATTTCCTCTAATGCTGGGTATGTTTGAAAAAGTTCATAATAACAAGTTTCAAATTTTTTCCTCTAATTAAAAAATATGCATATATACATGTGTCTCATGGGTGATAATATGAAAAGCATTTCTTTTTTTTTTTTTTAAGGGTTATCTTTTTTTTTTTTTTTAAAGATTTTTAAATTTATTTGACAGAGACACAGCGAGAGAGGGGAACACAAGCAGGGGGAGTGGGAGAGGGAGAAGCAGGCTCCCGGCTGAGCAGGGAGCCCGATGCGGGGCTCAATCCCAGGACCCTGGAATCATGACCTGAGCCGAAGGCAGACGCTTAACGACTGAGCCACCTAGGCGCCCCTAAAAAGCATTTCTTAATGTGGCTCTCAATTTAAAAATGTCTGAAGGCTACTGCCACTGACCCAGAAATGTCCGGAGTCACAGTGATTGTTCAGGGACAAGCATGTGACCCAGTTTGGGCCACTAGGCTCCAGACCTGGGATTTTTGCTGGAATCATTGGGAAAGATGCTTTCCTGCTGGTAGAATGGCACCCTGAAATTCCTCAGGTCACTCTTTGCCACCACTAAGGAAGGATCTGTCTGAAAATGAAGCCAGCCCACCATTTAGCAGAGCTGAGACATATCGAATCCTGGAGACAGCTTTTGAGCTCCTGGATCCAGCCATACCTGAAGCTCATGATTCAAGACTTTCCATTATCCAGCTAATGTAGTTGCCTTTAAAAAAATTTTTTTGTTTGCTTAAGTTCTGTTAATTGTAAATACAGGTCCTGATGAATACAATAGATCTTAGGAAAGCATGAATCTGCATTTTTAAAAAGCACCTTCAGTGTCACATTAGGAGAAGGAAGGGAAAAATGAAGGGGGGGGAATCGGACGGAGAGATGAACCATGAGAGACTATGGACTCTGAGAAACAAACTGAGGGTTTTAGAGGGGAGGGGGGGGGTTGGTTAGCCTGGTGATGGTTATTAAGGAGGGCAAGTACTGCATGGAGCACTGGGTGTTTTATGAAAACAATGAATCATGGATCACCACATCAAAAACTAATGATGTGGGTGCCTGGGTGGCTCAGTTGGTTAAGCGACTGCCTTCAGCTCAGGTCATGATCCCAGGGTCCTGGAATCGAGCCCCGCATCGGGCTCCCTGCTCAGCCGGAAGCCTGCTTCTCCCTCTCCCTCTCCCACTCCCCCTGCTTGTGTTCCCTCTCTCGCTGTCTCTCTCTCTCTCTGTCAATTAAATAAATAAAATCTTTAAAAACAAAACAAAACAAAACTAATGATATATGGTGACTAACATAACATTAAAAAAAAAAAAAAAGCACCTTCAGTGTCAATTGGGCCACTCTCCACCATTCTGAACCCAGGCCCTGGCTCTTCACCCCACCCCATTGCCTGTGCCCCTCCCCTTCCTGGGACTCACCCAGTCTCTTGAGGGAGGAGTAGCGGTTGAGTTCAGATTTTACAGCAGCCTCGTAAGACGGGGGCAGATGCGAGAGGTTGTGGAAGGACCGTGAGCAGGAGAGCGTGGAGTAGTGCAAGGAGGGGCTGGGTGGTGGAACGGCGCGCCAATCTGGGGCAGAGGGGCATGGCAGGGGTCAGCCCAGCCCCTCTCCCTCAGACCCAGTAGTTCCAGCCCCCAGCCCCTTAGGGAGTGGAAACCAGGGACTCCAGCCCCTCAGAGCACCAGCAGTCCAGGACCCCCGTATTCATCCCCCCCCCCCCCTCAGGAGACAGGCTCATTGCTGGGGCAGCAGGTCATGTCACAGGAAGAGAGGCAGCTAGCTCTTGCTCGGCACCTGCCGTGTGCCTGGCCCCAGGCTGGAGGGGCAGTCCACTCCATTCATCTTCCCACCAACCCAGGTGTGAGGGAGATGACCACTTCTGGTGTTCAAACTGGGCAGCCGAGGCTAGCTTGGTTACCTGGCTAGACTGGGGGGTCAGGGCTCACAGGGTCTCATGCCTGCTCCGTCCTGGGCCCCCAGCTCAGGCTCAGTACAAGGCAGGGAAGGAAAGGAGCCTCGTCCTCCCCACAGCCCAGCCCTAGTCCGTACCCATCGTGGTGGCATGGTGCTTGGGGCTGTTGACGTTGAGGTGCAGGTAGTTGTGGTGCAGATTATCTGTGGGGACCAAGAAAGGAAGTGGCGTTACTGTCATCACTCACTCCCAGCTGGTGCTGCTGTCCTGGTATTGCGGAAGGATTTCCACTCACGTCCACTTGGTCCCCAGCTCTGATCCCTGCTACCTCCTGAATCTCTGCTCTGACCTGCCTCTCCCTCCTGGACCATCAAATCAGCCTTCTGGCCATCTGGCCAGCCCCCTCTTCAAGATCAGCCCCCCAGGGTAGTATTCCTGACACCCACACTTGCCCCTGCCCTTGCCCCTCTGCTGTTGCAAACTCCTTCCATGTCTGGCTGTCACCCACAGGACAAAATCTAAGCCAGGAATTACTTGGCTTAGATTGGCTCCAGCTGATGCCTTGCCTGAAGGAGCCTAGTTCAGTCCTGCCACAGGGCTTTTGCACATGTTGTTATGCTATTCTCTCTGCCTTGAATTCCTTCCTTTCCTTCTTTGCCTGAAGAACTGCTACTTACCCCTCAAGATCCGCCTCAAATGTCTGCTCTTTATTACTACTATTCAAACCCACCTCTTCCCCTCCATTTCTGACCCCAGCCCAGGCCTTGTCCAGCCTGGAGTACCATCCACCCTCCCCCTGGGCCTTCTTCGTCTCATCCCTCCCCCTTCACACGGGTTCCAGAAAGATCATTCTTCCACTCACTTTTGACTTTGTTGCCCATCCCTGCTCTAAACTCTACCATGGCTTCCTACTGCCATCAGGACAAAGGCAGAGCTCCTCAGCCCAGCCTGGTGCTCAGGTCCTTCCCGAGGTGTCTGCACACCCTCTCCCTGGCCCGCAAACTCTGCTTCAGCCGTCCTGAGCTCCGTTGGCCCAAGTAACCCCCTCACCCTCCAGGCCATTGCTCAAATAGCATTGCCTGGGGGAAGCCTTCCTCCTCCTGTAACCCGTTCCAGCTCCCTGGGCTTCCCCACTGATGAACTCATCATAAAATAGAAGAACACTAATAACTGCTCCTATTTGTATGGCGCTTTTTCTGTGTGAGGCATTGCTCTAAGTCTTCGGTCATTGGTTCACTTGACCTTTACGATAACCCTGTGAGGTGAGTGCTGTTGTGCTCCTGGTTTCATGGGTGAGGACACTGAGGCCCAGACAGGTGAAACGGTTTGCCCCGGTCGGCGGTGGCAGAGCCAGGATTCAGACCCAGGCTGTGTGGTTCGGGACACGTTCCAATGCAGTTATTAGGTACTTTCTTGTGAGTTTCTTGTGAGCTGTTGGGAGCTCAGACACGGACTTTCTCAAGTGCAGGGGCTGAGAATGTATAAATTTAAATCACCCCGGCGTCCATGGCACCCACCCGTAATGGTTCAGAGATGGCAGAGGCCGGTGGATGGGACTAGGGGCAGGGCCTGGGCCTCGGGAGGTGGGGCTATCCGGGGAGGGCGGGGCTGGAGGCCTGGGGGCGGGGCCTGGGCAGCGGGAGGTGGGGCTATCCGGGGAGGCGGGGGTCTAGAGGACTGGGGGCGGGGCCTGGGCAACGGGGAGGCGGGGTATCTGGGAGGGCGGGGCTACATGTATGGTGGGCGTGGCCAGAGCAGCCCCAACTCCCAGGTCCTACTCACCGAGATTGGAGGGCTTCACGGTGTTGTAGAGGTTCTTGGGCGTCCTCGGGGGAATGCTGTCGGGGCCCCCGACCCCCGGGGTCAAGGAGCTGCTTCGTGCCCGGTCCGGGCGGGTCCCAGGCCCCGCCTGATGCCTCAGAATGTCCACCAGAGCCCTAGAGGTGGCAGAGCGACGGTCAGCGGCCTGGGGACGTGGGTGGGGGCAGGGAGAGGGAGGGCTCAGGCTTCTTTTCCCTCCCTGTTCTCCCTCTGGGGGAGTCTGTCAGTTCGCCCCGGGCTCCTCGCCTTTGGCCACGCCCATCGCTAATGTCAAGCTGAGCGCCGCCCACCCCAAGGTTCCTCCCACCGTATTTCTTGCCTGAAACAGCCCCTTCCTCAATTCATTTGGACCCAACCCCCCTGTGGTCCTTCCCACATCGTCCCCACTGGGCACCTGCCCCACCCTGAACTTGGGACCTCACTCCCGTTCCTTTTACAGCCGTCCCATGGTGATAAAGTGTGCCCCATTCGTCCGGCTATGCGACCGAAAACCTTAGAATCATCCCTGACTCCTGTTGTTCTTTCATGCTCCTCAGCAGTCCTGCAGATTCGACTTCCAAAATAAATCCCCAACGGGACACTTCTCACCACCAGTGCTGCTCCCGGTACCTGCTCTCACCTGGCTCATTGCTAGTGTCCTAAAGGGTCTCCCGCTTCCTCCCCTGTCCCCTGCAATCCAGCCGCACACACGCAGCCCAGGAACTCTTGAAATTATCAGATGGCTTCGCGCCGGAGCTCAGGGCTCTCTAGAGGCTCCCCCATCACTCTCAGAATAAATCTGCTCCACGCCCACTGCTTTGTAGCTTCATGGGCCCCTTCACTGTCCTGCAAGTACTCCCACCAGGGCCCTTGCACGCGCTGTTCCCTCTGCCTGGAATGCCCTTCCCACAGATCACTGCTTGGCTTGCTCCTGATGTTCCCTCTGCCTGGAATGCCCTTCCCACAGATCCCTGCTTGGCTTGCTCCTTCCCCTCAGGTCTCCGCTCCAGGTCCTTTCCTGACCACTTCGCATAAAGCAACACCCTCTGCCCCCACTCTCTACCTGTTATGCTGTTTTCTTTTCTTCACAGCGGTTATCAATACCTAAATTTATATTGCATATGTGGTTGCTTGCGTACTCTCTCCACCACTAACGTTTAATGATAATGGCAGCCAACATTTATTGAGGGCTTACCATGTGCCAAGACTCGACTTGAATCAATTCAGTTAATCTTCGTTACAGTCTGAATGGATGGGGAACAGTTATTAGGCCCATTTTACAGGCAAGCAAATGGAGGGACAGGCCCAGGGTCACGCAGACCGCAGGCAGCAGACCTGGGGTTGGAAGTCAGGTTTACCCAGCAGGGCAGGGACCTTGTTTTTTCACTGCTGTATCCCCAGCTGCTGACCCACAGAAAGTGCTCAAAAAATAATTTGTTGGGCGAATGAAGGCCTGAGCCTCACCCGTCACTCCGCAGCCAGGCCCGTTCTGTCGCCTATCCCTAGGGCCCGCCCATATCCCTAGGCTTCCGCGCCCAGGCTCGCGGTGGAGGCCTCCCGCGTCTCTGAACCTGCACAGGCACCCCTGTAGCCACGCCCTCACCAGATGGCTCCACCTCTCACTGCCCAGGCCCCGCCCCCAGGCCCCACTCAGCTAGGGCCCCAGCGCTCACATACCTGGGCACGTTGATCTCCCGATGCGCCCTGGGCGCACGGGACGCCTTGCTGAAGGCCACTTTGGCGCCGACGCCCACCGCCAGGGCGAAGCTGATGACCCCGCACACCACGTAGGCCGTGCTGCCCCCGGGGCCCTCGCCCCCGCGCCCCCCTGCACCCCCCGCCCGGCCCCCTTCCAGCCACCCCGCCTGGCCGGGCCCGGGCCCCCCGCCCACACCCCCAGCACCCCCGACGCCCCCGGCCAGCGGCGGCGGCGTGGTGGCCCAGCGCGGCGTGTCGTAGTTGGAGCAGGAGGCCTGCGCCAGGCGCATGTGGCGATGCTCGCAGCAGAAGCGGTAGTGGCAGGTGCCGCAGCAGAAGCGGTAGGAGCCCGTGCTGCAGTTGAAGGTGGCGTCGTACTGGCCCATAACGTCGTAGTAGCCATGGCAGAGCTCGGCGGGAGGGGGCGCCCGCGCCGCCGCGCCTGTCCCGCTCGCGGGGCTGGTCCTGGTGCCGTTGGCGCCCGCGCCCGCAGTGCCCCCGCCGCCGGTCAGCGCCCCGGTCAGGCGCCGCAGGTGCGCCAGCAGGGCGGGCAGCGGGCCCGGGGGCTCGGCGCTTGTGGCGTTGGACGGGCGCGCCCCGGCCTGGCGGGCGGTCGAGGCCAGGAGCAGGAGGGTCCCGAGGAGCAGGAGGGGCGGCATGGGGCGCGCAGGAGGTCGCACGGGGCCGCCGGCTGGGGGGAGAAACAAGACGGGAGCTGTGGGCGCGGGACAGATGGCCAGAGGCGCAGAGATGTGGGGATGGGTGGCCGGACAGGGTGAGGAAGGCGGGCCGAGGGAAGGTAGAAGGATGGAGGAAGACAAGCACCAGGGGAGCGAAAGGATGTAGGAGCGGGCGATGCATGGGCCCGAAGTGAGAGTCCCACAGGGCAGTGGACGGCATTGGCGGGGTGGACGGAGATATGCCCAGACGCGGCCGGAGGAGGATGGAAATGGTAACGCTCAGACGGGAAAGGATCACGGTGAGCGAGAAGGCGGGAGGAAAGATTGGGAAGGTCGGCGGAGATACCAGAGGGGTGAGCAGAAATAAAGGACGGACAAACACCAGAAGCAAGATAGGATGTGCGGAGAAAGCATGCGGGGGAGCGAAGGAGGGAGGCAGAGGGGTCGGTGAGAGCAGGGCGTGGTCTCGAGATTGGGGGTGGAGGAGCGGTGAGGACGGTGGGGTGGGTCAGTGGGGATGGGGGAGGGAATGGAAACAGATGTTCGGGGGGGGGGCGAGATGGGGAAGGACAGAGAGAGGTGTGGATGGGGGGAGAGAGAGAGAGAGAGATCGGGGTTGAGAATCGGAGTTGACAGACTAGGCACGTGGAACCAGGTGGTGCAAGGCTTCTCAACCTGGGCTCCACTCTCTAGGCCCCGTCCCGCGTGCTGCCCGGTGTTGAGCACCAGCCACCAGGTGCCAGGAGAATTCGCATTCTCCACGTGCTGCCAGCCTAAGACACCTGCAGGCATTGCCAAACGTCCCCCTGGGGGCACAACTGTGCCCGGTTGAGAATGGCTGGCTTAGACCGGCATGGTGCTCAGCGGCCCCAAAGGCTTATTTTATTTCTCTTTTATTTAGGTCTGGTAATCCAGGGGTCTCAAGCTTCTGTCTCTGTCCCGCTCCCTTTCTCCTTCATCCGCCCTCTCTGTGTGTCTATCTCTCACACACACGCGGGTGCGCACGCACAGACACACGCACGCAGAGACACGCACACACAGACACATGCACACAGACACACACATGCACACACAGACACACGCACACACACGCACACAGACACATGCAGACACGCGCACACAGACACACACATGCACACACAGAGACACACGCACACAGACACATGCAGACACGCGCGCACACACACATGCACACACACAGAGACACATGCACACACGCACAGACACACAGACACACGCACACACAGAGACACACACGCATATACACGCACACAGAGACGCACACACACGCACAGACACGCACACAGACACACACGCACACACATGCACACACAGAGAGACACACGCACACAGACACGCACACAGACACATGCAGACACGCGCACACAGACACACACATGCACACACACAGACACATGCAGACACGCGCGCACACACATGCACACACAGAGACACATGCACACACGCACACAGACACACACGCATACACACGTGCACACACATGCACACACACAGACACGCACACACGCAGACACACAAACACACATGCACACACGCACAGACACACAGACACGCACACACAGACACACACGCACACACACAGACACGCACACACACGCACACACACAGACACGCACACACAGAGACACACATGCACACACAGAGACACACACAGACACACATACGCACACAGACACGCACACACGCACAGACACGCACACAGACACACGCACAGACACGCAGACACACATGCACACACACAGAGACGCACACACATGCACACAGAGACACACACACGCAGACACACATGCACACACAGACACACATGCACACACAGAGAGACGCACACACGCACAGACACACAGACACACATGCACAGACACACAGACACGCACACGGAGAGAAACGCACACACAGACACACATGCACACACACAGACACACACGCACACAGACACATGCAGACACATGCACACAGACACACACATGCACACACAGACACGCACACACAGACACATGCACACACATGCACCACAGACACACGCACACACGCACAGACGCGCACACAGACACACATGCACACACACAGAGATGCACACACAGACACGCACATGCACACACACAGAGACACACGCACACACACACACAGACGCGCACACAGACACGCACACAGAGACACATGCATAGACACGCACACAGACACATGCACAGAGACACGCACACACAGACACATGCACACACATGCAACACAGACCCACACGCACACATGCGCACACAGACGCGCGCACACACACACACACACACTCACAGTTGCGGGTCTGAAGGGTCTCAGCCCCCAGCAGGAGAGGCAGGATGGCACAGCTCCACCATGTGCCAGCTGCCTGACACTGCACAGGCTCTTACCTAAGTTTCCCGTGCCTCAGTTTCCCCATGTGTAAAATGGGGGTAAGGATGGTTATGGGGGGTGGTTACGAGGATGAGCAGGGTTAACCTGTGTAAGGAGCCCGGAGCAGCCGGGCCTGTTGCCGAGCGGCAGACTGCACACGGGCGCGCAGGTGTTTGCCGCAGCCGCTGTTGGCGGAGGGCGGTGCAGGGCCGGCCGGCCCGGCCCTTGGCGCAGGTGCAGAGGGAGGGGCCGGAGGGGCGGGTCTGCCCAGCACAGACGCTGCGGGCCGCGTGCACTGAGCCCTGAGGATGCCGCTGTGACTGAGCCACGGGGTCCCCGCCTCTACGGGGCTTACGGTCCAGCGACGGGAGAGGGCTAGTGCGCAGACAGAAGCCAGTGTGAGGCATGTGGAACACTGTTGTGAAGAAATATCAAATCTTGAAGGAAGTCATGGCTAAATGAAAGCTGCATAAGGGGATGGGAGGGTGGATAGGACTAGTCCGATGAGCATCATTAGGTAGTACTCTTATGCGCCTTTCCATTGAGTGCGTGTGTATCTGGGGACCACACCGTTACCCCCAGAAGTCGGTGGAGAGAGGGTCCTGGGAGCTGAGGCTCCCCACCCCTCAGCCAGCTGGCCCCCCTCAACTCTCCTTTGAGCTCCAGCTCCGGGCCCTCCCTTGCACTGTGGGCTAGCCCCACTCAGTGTTTCATAGGCATCTTAGAAGTGGCTTGGCCCACACTGTGGACAGCCATTTTTGGTGGTTCCTCAAAAGTTAAACAGAGTTATCACATGACCCGGCAGTTCCACTCCTAAGAACTGAAAATGTATGTTCACACAAAAACTTACACACGAATGTTCATAGCAGCACTATTCGTAATATCCCCAAAGTGGAGACCACCCAAATGGCCATCGACAGGGGAACAGATAAACACAATGTGGTCTATGCAGAGAACGAAATATTACTCAGCCTTAAAGAAGGGAGCACTGATATGTTGCATCATGGATGAACCTCCAAACATCACGTGAAAGAAGCCAGACACAAAAGGTCTGTATGATCCCATTTATCTGAAATATCCACAGTAGTCAAAGCCATAAAGCCAGACAACTGATTAGTGGTTGCCTGGAGCTGGGGGAGAGGAAGAATGGGGAGTGACGAACATATTCTGCATGAGACAGTGGTGACAGTTGCACAACATGATGAGTGTCCTAAGTATCATTGAACTCAACACTTAAAAGCAGTTTAAAAATAGCTAAAATGGTAAATTTTGAGTTAGGTGTATTTTACCACAATTTTAAGAAACAAACAAAAAACCACCAACAGGGCGCCTGGGTGGCTCAGTTGGTTAAGCGACTGCCTTCGGCTCAGGTCGTGATCCTGGAGTCCCGGGATCGAGTCCCGCATCGGGCTCCCTGCTCGGCAGGGAGCCTGCTTCTCCCTCTCCCGCTCCCCCCTCTCATGTGCTCTCATCTCTCATTCTCTCTGTCTCAAATAAATAAATAAAAATAAAAATAAAAAAACCCCCACGAACATAGGTCAGATGACATCAAGCCCTCCCCTGCTGAAACCGTCCGCTGGCTTCCTGTCACACCTGGGATAACATGAAAACCCTTGTCCCTTTCCTGTCCCTTCATGCCTTTCCAGGTCCCATGCCCAAGAGGGCCCCTTCTTCCTGCCTTTGCATCTGCTGCTCCTTTCGCCTGGGACCTCCTCTTGCTGCAGATATTGGTCTGTGCCCCCCACTCCTTCCCTCAGGTGTCCCTCACGGGTCATCTCACTGAGCCTTCCCTGTGCTGTCCAAAGCAGCACCTCCCACTGCTCTGGTCCCCACACCTGCTTTCTGTGTTGTCATAGCTTCCGTCTCTACTTGCCACATCGTACATGTAGGGACTTACTGTCTGTCTCCCCCACTAGACCATAAACTCCATCAAGGCAGACTTTTTTGTCTGGCTTGTTCACCGTGGTGTCCACAGCACCCAGTATCAGTGCCTGACACAGGAGGTATTCCAGGAATATTTATTGCACGGATGAATGTTGAGAGGAAGTGTGAGAGGTGAGTCTTCTCTCCCTTTCTGTCTCTCTCTCTCATACACACACACTTCAGATGAAAGCACTGAGGTTCCGAGACGTCCCATCATTCGCCTAAGCCTTACAGTGCCCAAGCATTGGAGCTGGGCTCTGAACTCAGGTCTCAGGGCACTGCCACCTGTAGAACCTTTATCCCATGCAGAGAAACGTGGGTTGACATGCATACAGACACACACCTTTCATCAGGGAATCCACATGCATGCAGTGATGTGGATTTCTTCATTCATTGAGGGCTGCCACATACGGTTGGGCAGGTTGGGCACTGCACAAGGAGATCGGGTTGAGAGGCTGGAATCCAGCCAGGCTCTCCTCCTTAAGGCGTACTGGTGGGACTGCATCCATCTGGGGGAAGGGGCACCCTTTAGAACTCACACAAAGTGGCCATCTGCCTGCCAAAGCATAGACACAGGGGAGTTACGTTGGGCCAGGGGGTACCTTTTTCTCATTTGCATAAAGTGCTGTATGGGCTAGCAGTTTGCCCACTCAGTCCCCATTCTGTGCCAAGCCTCCAGCTGAGCTCCATGGACACAATTCTTCCCTCTGCTAACAGAGTCCCATTGTCCCCTCCAACTGCACACACACGCGCATGCCCAGGGAGACACAACTTCACAGCATTGACAACTCTGGGGAGTGGGGGCCATGGCATCTATCCCCTCAAACCCAGGGACGCACCCAGACCCAATACACACGGCACGTCTACAGTGGAGGGAGCCATGGCCTCCTGCCCCTGCCTTAGGGGAAGGAGGAGGACACACACCTAGGGACACAGTGACCTGTCTAGACACCAGGATACGGGGGGACTGAGTCTCTCCTCGCCTCACACAAAACAACACAAAGACACACAACATTATATACACACAATGACAGAGAACAGAGGACACCCACATAGTGTGTAAACACAACACACAAGGACACCCAATGTCATCCTGGTGGCGCACCTGTAGCCTCCTCCCAACACACATGCACACAGCTCCATGTGGACACACAGCTGTGCACTTCTGGGCATTTCCACCCACAGTACACAAGACCAAGACACAGTCTCAGACACTGTGACACACTGGGACCACACATAGCTGCAGAACACAACCAGGGACCCGCCCAAGCCACCACCTCTACATGGACACACAACATGCACATCCCAGCCCACAGTCATGCATCCTCGTGGGTGCACACATATGTGCAAACACACGCTCACCCAGCGGTGGAGTCTGGAAGCACACACGTGACCCCCCCCACACACACAGTCCTTCCGCAGCCCCTTACACACACAGGCACTTTCCTCCCCCACAGCTGAGAGGAAGGGGGCCCCTCACCCCAGTCTCCTCCCTCCCTGCACCATGCATGCTCAGCAGCAAAGGGCCAGGGCTGTGCCCCCGCCCTAGCGCCAACCTAGGACCTGAGAGACGTACAGAAAGACATCAGGGGAGCCAACTTGACAAGGGTTTCCAGAGCAGACCCCACTCAGTCCCTGGGCTCCTGGGAACCTTACAGTACCTGCATAGCACTGGGCCCACACTCCACAGCCTGCCAGCTGGGGATGGGGCCTAGGGCTGGGTTGCTGGGTGGGGCCAACGTATGGCAGCTGGGAATGAGAGATGGAGAGGATGGCGGGGGGGACAGGGAAAGAGTTTTGAGAGGTTGGTGGGGGGAGAGGCCCAGAGAAAGGAGGAGAGATACCCAGGGAGAGGGGCACAGAGACCCAGAGAGAAGGGGTCAGAGACAGAGAGGGGTCAGAGACCCAGAGAGGGAGCGGGCTGGGGGGAAACAGATACTCACAAAAGGGGCACAGATCCCAGAGAAGTGGGGTTCAGAGATTGAGAAGCTAAGAGAGAACGAGAGAGAGAGAGGAGAGAGAAAGGGGGAGGACAGAAACCCACGGAAGGGCAAGATCCAGAAAGAGAAGACTGGACCTCCGGAAACTGGGGGCTGGAGGGGGTTTACAGGTGGCGGCAGAGGAGGACTGAGGGTGTGCTATGGGTATCGAGAGAGAGAGAGAGAGAGAGAGAGAGAGAGCTTGGGCACACGCAGGGTCCGGGTGGTGTGCAAAGGGAGGGGATCCTAGGAATATCTGGGGTTGAGGGGTCGGTTTGAGGTAGGGATGTGGAAAGCAGGCAAGAGGAGGAGAGGATGTGGAGCAGAGGAGGGAGAAAGGGGAGGGGTCTGGATGGGGGGCGGGGATCCCAGTACTGGCCACCCAGGCAGCGGGGACTCAGGGACGAGGACCCTCCCCGAGGCGCTCCCGGCGGCGCTCCCGGCGGCCGCCCCATCCCCAGGTCTTCCCGTGTCCTGTGCCTCTCTGACTCTGGGTGTCTGCATCTCCCTGCCCACCCCTCCTCCCGGACCCCGCCTCCCAGTCGCCCGCAAGCGGCCTCGCATCTCTAACGGGATCTGCCCTGGGTCACCGTCCTCCTAGCCTGTGTCTCTCTACATGTCTCATCGCTTCTCTGCGTCCCTGAGTCTCTATCCACCTCTCCCCCCGCCCCCCACACGCTGTCCCGTTCTCTGAGTCTCTGTTTTCTGTGTCCGTTCTTCCCTTTGCCCCGTCTCCGTCTCTCTACATCCTGTCTCTGTGTCTCCCCCAACCCCCAACCCCCAACCCCCACTTCCCCATCTCTCTTTACCTCTCTGACTCTGTCTCTGGCTCTATGTCTCTTTCCCAGGTTTGCTATCTACAGATCTCTGCCTCTCTGAGTGTCTCTGTGGCTCCCCCCACCCCACCCAGGAGCCCAGTCTCCCTCGCTGGTCCCCCTACTCTCACTCAGGCCCGGGTTGGAGGGGCGGGGTGGGGGGGCGCTGCAGCGGGAGCTGTGTGTTCCCAGCGCAAAATAGACTCCCGTTGCCATGGCGACGCGAGCGCGGCCTCCGAGACGCGAAGCATCAGGCTGGGGGGTGAGGAGGGGGGACACCTGGATCCGGAAGGCGGGGGCCGGGGGCGCCGACGCCGGTCCCGGGGGCCCCTGGAGGAGGGGGGAGGATAGGACTCCTAGGTCCCTGGGGAGAGGGGGTGCTGGGCGCTCTGACGCCGGGTTCCGGGGACCGGGCCATCTGGGAGGGTGGGATTCCAGGATTGGCGGGGGTGGGTGGGGGGACTCAGATTCTCCAGTGGGGGGCGGGCTAGTTGGAAGCTCTGACGCCTGGGTCTCTGGGGGACTCAGAGGTTGCCTTCTTAGGTCTCCAAGGTTGGGGGGGCGGGGAGCAAGGACTGCGAATCTCAAGGGGCTGAGGGGCCTTGACTGGGGGCTCCGTAGAGTCCGGGCCCCCAGATCTCCACGGGGGCTGCAGAATTCTGAGAGCCCCCATGTGGATCCCCAGGCTCCTGCGTCTTAGGGGAACAGGAACCACTCAGATGAAGCCGTCTGTCCTTCCCAGCCATTCATCCATTCATCCGCATGCCGGTCTCTTCTTCCTCCCGTCCCCATGTCCCCAGTGCCTTAGTTTCCCCCTCCGCACCGGGGTGCGGTCGCGCTCACCTCACTTTCCGGATTCGGGACCCTTGGGGAGTCGGGGGTGGCGGCGTGGGGGGCCGGCCGGGGAGGCAGAGCGAGCGCGTGTCTGCGAGCCAACAGGCTGGGCGTGTGCGCGCGCTGGTGGGGGGCGGCCGGCAGCGTGTGGGGCGTGCGACCCGGCCCGCAGCTCCCGTCCGTGCAGATGCGCGCTGGCTTCGCTGCAGATGTGGTTGCGGCCAGTCTGCCTTCGCCTCGTGCCGGCTGGGAGCCGAGAAGAGGCACCTCCCCCTCCCCACCTGCTGGGACCCCTCTTCCCCCAACCCGCGGCCCCCAGTCGCCCCCGGGACACCCCCCAAGTCCAAGAATGGTTCGGCCCACAGCCACATCAATGTTTATTCTGCAAGTCCGGGTTCCACAGCCTGTGACACTCCCTCCCCCGCCCCTCCCCGCCTCGTGAAGTGGCCCGGGGCCGAGCCCCGCCCCCAGCTCTGCTCAGCCAACTGCCGCACAGCTTCCAGGAGTCTCATTTGCATTTCCGGGCGCTCTGGCCCAATGGCAAGGTGGCGCTCCACCTCCCCTCCCGAGGGGGTGGTACTCCCTGTGGACTGCACCACTCTTGGGAGCCAAGGATGGGGGTGAAATGATTTCACAGAGGTCCCATGACAGGAGGGGGGTCTTCAGGGTGAGGAGTTCAGCGGAAGAGGGGGTTCTGGCCTTGGAAGAAGCTCAGTAGCCCGCTGTCCGGGGCAGGCTCCTTGATGATCTTCTGGATCTGTAAGGGGAAGAGGAGGGTTCAGGAAGAGTCAAGAGTCCCCATTTCTAGGACAGATTTGGAGGGGCACTTCTCCATTTTCATCTGCCTGCTCTCTTGGCAGCAGCTGGCCAAGCCAACCACTCCCTCTTCTTGAAACTTCTCCTTGGGCCTCCCTTTCACCATGGCTGCCTGGATTGGCTCCTGATCACCTACCATCTTGGTCCACTTTGCTGGCTTGTACCAAGGCCCTGTCCTGGAGCTTCTTGTCTATACTGGCTCCTGCTTAAGTAATCTCACCTCTCCCATCCCTCTCAACTCCCAAATCCAGCCCATGCCTTGCCCCTCAACTCCAGACTCATTGATCCAACTGCCTCTTAGACGTGGGTCACCACCTGACCTCTCACACCGACGGTCAGTAGACCACAGATGCTCAACCCCCTCTCTGGCGCCGCCTTCTCCCAAAGCCCCACACTGCACCCATCAGCAGGCCCCACTGTGCTTGCCTCCAGAAAAATCAGCAGAGTCTGCATCCCCACTGCCTCCACTCTGGTCTCTCTCCTTCCGGCCACCGGCCCACAGCCATGGGCCACCCAGAACCAAACTGCAGATCTGACCATGGCCAGCTCCCTTGTGCAAAACCCTCAAATCCTTGAGAAGACGGGGCTCTGGCTCCTCTCTGCCCACCCTCCTCCTACACTCACCGAGGGCTCACCATGCCTTGCTACGGTGCTTTGAAGGAGGCAAGTTCAGTCCCACATCCAGGCCTTTGCCCTAGCTGTTCCTTCTGCCAGGAACACTTTTTGGATGACTGGCTGCTCGTCCTATTTCAGGTCTCTGCTTCAAGGCCACCCCTGGGGAAGGACCTCTCTGCCGTGAGCCCCCATCTTATTCCTCGCACACTCTGAACATCCCTTTTTAGCTCTGGCCACAATGTGTAACTGAATACAGACTGGCTTTTGCTGTTGCCCCAGGACCTGCCACAGCGGTTGGGCCACAGTAGGTTCTTAGCAAATGTTCAACAGAACTGAACTAAGAGGAGGGAAAGGGGTGGGCCTTGGAGGGCTGGGCACCTCCCGCCACCCTGAGGGCCAGTGGTGGTGGCTGCGGGGCCTGGAGGAAGGGACAGAGAGGAGGGTCACAGGGCTCCCATCTACAGGGCCTCTGCCAGACTGTTCTTGCCTGCCTGCCTGGCTGCCTCCCGTACCTCTCCCTGGGAGGCCTCCCACGCCACCCTGTGCAACCCCCCGCCTCTGCACCCCAGCCCTCCCAGCCCCCTCCCCCGCTTTCTCTCTCTCCTGTCCTCACGGCCATGGACAGCTTCTCTCACGGAGCTTAGAACTTTGCCCACTGGAGGCGGCAGCCTGCTGTATTCCCAGATGGATTCTGTCAACCAATACGTGGTGGGTGCTGGAAAGGGAGGCAAGGGAGGTCGGGGTGCGGGGCCAGTACCTCCTTAAACTGGGGGTGGGCGGCATCACGCACAAGCTGCAGAATCAGCCCTTCACTGGTAGAGAGGAAGGCGCCACTCTGCCGCATCCGGGCCAGCGCCACCAGCCTGTCCACCTGGCTGGGGTGGGGGGGCGGTTGTTGATGCCTCGGCCTGGACACCCAGACCCCTGGCAAGCTCAGCAGGGACCCCACTCCCTGGTTCTTCCTGGGCACCCCATCTGTACCCCACATGCACCACCCCCCTCAGCAGGACCCGCTCACCTGCGAGAAGAGCAGGCGTCCACCACCACATGGACCTGCAGCCCACGGTCCAGGAGGTCCAAGGTGGTGTTCTGGGGGCACAGACAGGAACGCGGGTCTGGGGTGAGGGACTAGGGAGCTGGGATGGGATGAGGGAGGCTCCGATCAGGCAGGAGCGCCCCCGGGTTACAACAGGATCCTAGGGCAGGATGGGAGCACCAGGCAGAGAGGGGTCCAGAGTAAGGAGGAGCATCCCAGGTGAGGAATGGGGTCCTGCCAAGGTGGAGGGTTCTGGGTCGGGGAAGATGCAGTGAGTGGGGGGTCTCACCAGGATGCAGGCCTGGGTCTCAATGCCACAGAGGAGCACAGAACGCAGCTCGGGCCGGCTGTCCAGCTCCTGTAGGACCGCTGGCACCATGCTGAAGCAAGTTTTGGCCACCGGCCGCAGGCCCTCAGCCCCCAGCTCAGGCACCGTGGGGCCCAGGCCGGCTGGGTACTGCTCGGTCAGCACGGCGGGCACCCCCAGCAGCCTGGCCACCTGTGCCAGGGGAGGGGACAAGGCCTGAGCCTGAGGGAGGGGCGTGTGGGGTCAGACTCCTGGGTCTGAGGGAGGAGGGGCTGGGGGGCTGGGGGCCTGGGTCTGAGGGAGGAGGGACTGGGGGTGAGGACTCCTGGGTCTGAGGGAGGAGGGGCTGGGGGGCTGGGGGCCTGGGTCTGAGGGAGGAGGGGCTGGGGGCCTGGGCTCCTGGGTCTGAGGGAGGAGGGGCTGGGGGGCTGGACTCCTGGGTCTGAGGGAGGAGGGTGCTGGAGGCCTGGACTCTTGGGTCTGAGGGAGGAGGGGGCTGAGGGTCTAGACTCTTGGTTCTGAGGGAGGAGGGGCTGGGGGCCTGGACTCCTGGGTCTGAGGGAGGAGGGGCTGAGGACCTGATACCTGGGTCTGAGGGAGGAGGGGGTTGGGGGCCTGGATTCCTGGGTCTGAGGGAGGAGGGGCTGTAGGACTGGACCACTGGGTCTGAGGGAGGAGGGGCTGGGGGCCTGATACCTGGTCTGAGGGCGGAGGGGCTGTACCTTGAGCATGCGGGCAGCCACAGAGACAATCTGGGGGAAGTATGCAATATGTCGGAACTTCTCCTGCATGTCACACAGGAATAGGATGGATGATCCAGGGAGGACTCGGCCCAGGCTGGGCTTCACAGCTGCCATGTCCTGGGGATGGGCGGAGGTGCTGAGTGGGCAGGGTCAGATGGGCAAGGGGCTTCTTTGCACATCCAGGGTCCATGCACCTAGACCCTTGAGGGTCCCACACAGTGCTTTGGAAACCATTGTGCTCCCACCTGCAGGCCTTTGTGTCTGCAGTTCCCAGGGGCCTGGAATCCATTTCTTTCTTAACGTGTCCTACTCAACTGGGGGATCACTTTCCCCCAGAAGCCTTCTCTGACCTTGACCACCCTGGTGCTCCCAGTCCCACTCTCCCAGGGCCCTGGGAAGCCTTCCCTTCCGTCAAGGTCACCCTCTCTCCTGCCACACTCCAGGCTCCAACTGTGATCCTCACCCTCAGGGTGAGGCGTGAAGTGACCCACCCAAGGGCCCAAGCAGCTAACGGAGCAGATGTGGCTCCTGAGGAAAAAAGAGCCTGGGTGGAGTGGCGGTGCTGACTTCCTTCAAGTCGTACTCTCCCCACTCAGCCTCTGAAACTCAGTTTACCCATGTGTGCAATGCACGGACTGCACGTCCCTATGGTTCCTAGACAGAAAGGCGGGGGTATCTGCACAGGGGAATATTATCCACCTGTAGAAAGGAATGAAGCGCTGCTACGTGCAACATCATGGATGAACCTCGGAATCGCTGTGCTCAGTGACAGAGGCCAGGCACTGGAGGCCCCCGCTGTGGGAGCCCTTGTGTATGAACTGCCCACAGGGATCAAGTGCAGAGGCAGGAAGCAGCTGGTGGCTGCCAGGGGCCGGGGTGGGGGGTGGGGGGGTGGAGCGACGAGAACTGACCGCCTAATGCGTGCAGAGTTTCCATCTGGGGTGATGAACACATTCTGGAGCTAGATGGTGGCCACGGTTACGCAAAGTCATGAATGTTTGTAACGGCCACTTCATGGCACGCTTAAGAATGGTTGAAAGGGTAAATTTCATTATGTGTACTTTAGCACAGTTTAAGAAAAAAAAGAGAGAGAGAGAAAGAAGGGGCGGGACTGGTGGAGCCACCTGCCCAGCAGCCCTTTTACGGGGAGGCCACGGAGACCCAGAGGGGTCCATGACTTGCCTGAGGTCCTGCAGGACTAGAGGACAGCGAGCCTCCCAGTCAGAGCGGCTCCGTCTCCCACACCTGGGGCCCTGCCTCTGTGAGTCTCAGCATGTCCCAGCCCATGTCCCCAGGAGGCCTGAGTCCTTGGGTCCCCAAGTTGCTGCACAGCTCTCATCCCCTCTGTGTGCTCACTCATTAGTCGTTAATTTATCTGGGACATGGGAGACCCTGCAGACCCAGTGGAAGGCCAAAGGGTTAACACGGGGGAGGTGTGAAGGCTCGGTGGTGAGTACACACAGGTGTTTATGGGGATTCTCTCAAATAACAGGTCTACCATAGAAAATGTTTTCTATGGGCAACATATCTAAAATGTAAAAACTGATGGATGCTTAGAAGGGGGAGTTTTATGCTATGTGAATTTTATCTAAAACCAAAATGGCACGGAAGCTCCCACAAAAACAAAACCACACTGAATGATCACATAATTACAACTGTGATCAGTGCTGGGATTTCGAGGGAACCTGATCTATCTTGGCAGAGTGCAAAATTCTCCCCGAGGAAGTGGCCAGAGAGAGAGAGAGAGAGAGAAAATCTGAAAACACAAAGCGGACTCTGTCACTCCCCTGTCTCAGCCCCCACCCTCCTGCATGGCTTCTCTCTGTCCTCAGGACTAAAACATAACCCCCTCCCACAAGGCGCTGTGGACCATTCCAGCCTTGGCCAGGCATGTTGCATCTCAAGGCCTTTTGCTGGTGGTCCCTCCAGCTGGGGTGCTCTTCTCACTTCTACTCTTTTGAGTCTTCCGGAGACAGGAGGGTCAAGGTCAGATCAGGGCCCTAATGGATGCAAGCCTAGGACATGTGTCTGGAACGATCTCCCCTGCACACTGGTAGGAGTGTGGATTGCAACAACCCTCAGGGAAGCACGTGGGACCCCATTTCTCAAAATTAGAGTTATGTGAACCCTGTGACCCAGAAGACTCACTCCTGAGTGTTTGCCCTGCAGACATCCATGTGAGACACGAGGTTATTCACTACCAGGCCTAGGTTACTCATCATGGGACTCTTCCATGGAGTAAAGGAATAGAAATCAATGTAAACATCTATGGTTGGGCAGCCCTGCGGCCGTCCCCTAAGTTACGGTATGTCTATACTATGGAATTCTTTGCAGCCAGGAAGAATGACAAAGATGCTCTTTAAGTAACAATATGGAAAACTGTCCAAGAGGGGTAGCAGTGAAATGAAGCAGAACAGTGTATATAGCAATGCTCCCATCTGTGCCCCAATCAGGAGAGAACAAGCCAGTGTAACCCTCCTCTCTATATGGAGCAGGTACTTCAGGCCAGGGAGCAGGTCACTGAGGGACCGGGTGTGAAGAAGACTTGATTTTCACTGTGTACTGTTCTGTTCCTTTTGAATTTTGGACAATGTGTGATCAGTTGTCTGGTCGTAATAACTACAATACAATAAAATATTTACATAAGGTGAGAACCCAGCAAAACCAATCTGTGGTGGTGAAGTTATGAATGAATGAATGAATGAATGAATGAATGAATGAATGAATGAATGAATGGTTATTCTTGGGTTGCAGTGAAGAACAGGGTCCAAGGGGGGCGCTTCTGGGATGTGGGGGATGTCCTACTTCTGGCTGGATTCGGATGCTGTTTACACCAGAGTGTTTGCTATGTGAAACGTTATTTGAGCTATGTACTTGTGATTTGTATGGTTTTCCTCCATATGCAGTATAGCTCCATAAAAAGTTTTCAAAATATCAGATAAAATGGGGGAGGCCTCGCTGGCTGGACTGGAGGTGGAGGCCAGGAAGAAAACCAGGGCTGGGGTCCAGGTGGGCAAGGGTGAGGCCTGGGCTCTAGTTAAAGCAGAGAGGACAGAGAGATTCAGGGGGCAGGGCTGTGGGGGAGGGGGGAAGAAGGAAGATCTTCAGGTTCCTGGTTCATGGGTGGCAGATCCCAGGGACTAACTGGGGACCTGGGGAGGGGAATTGGTTTGGGGAAGGAGATGAAAAATTGAGGGCGGGGAGTGTGTGTGGACGCATGTGGGGAGGTCTGGGCTGGAGACCCATTTGCGGGTGCCGTGGGGAGAAGGTACAGAATTGAGCTCTGGGTGGAGGGAGTCCAAGGCGGGAGGAGGAGGGGCAGAGGCAGGGGGAGAGGGGTGCTACTTAGATCCCCACGTGGCCTGGGGGGGTGGGCAGCCCTGCAGCTGGGATTTCCTGGCTGTGTGACCCTTCGCAAGTTTCATGCTCTGTCTGAGCCTGAAAATAGGGGTCAAACTCACCCACCCCATGGGGATGATGCAAAACTCGGCCGGGGATGCAGAGAGGGCGGGCGCGACCCGTGGAGGGCTCGAGTCCCTGGCCAGCCAATTCTGTAGGGCCTGGGCAGGGGTGTTCCCCTTGGCCGTGTCACCTCGGCCTGGACCGCCTGGCAAAGCCTCCGTTTCCCCCCCTGCAAGGCGGGGAGATCGGTCCCCCTGCAGCCCTGGGGAAGGGGGGGGCTTACCCGGAAGGCGCCGGGTTCCAGCCTGGCCCGCTCCTCCGCTGGAGAGGCCTGGGGGACACTCACCTCTCAGAGCCCGGACTTAGGCCGCTCAGGTCCTGCCGGGTTCCAAGGCTAGGTCACCGTTTTTGTAGGGTCGCCACACGTGGCCCGCCCCCGCGCCATCCGCGTCCGCCCATCCAGGCCGAGCCGCCCAATCGGCGCTCGCCAAGCTCTGCCCCTCCCTTGCGGCCGGCCAATCCACAGGCGAGGCTGTTTCGCCCTCCGTGGAGGGGCGGTGCCGGGCACGCTGTCAATGTTGAGAGCGTGATTGGCCCGCCATGGGGAGGGGGCGGGAAGGCAGCGCCTCCGACCAATGGGGAGACGGGAAGGGCGTGAGTGGCGGGCCCGGGGCGGAGCGGCGCCGTGGGTGCGGAGAACGCGAACTCCAGCTGGGCAGGTGGGTAGCGGCCACCCGCATTGTCTACACAAGACCTCTGAGGCCGAGAAAGAGGGAGGGAGGGGCGTAGCCAGGGCAGAGGCAGGCCTGGGGTTCGAGCGCTGGCCCTTGGCCAGAGAACGCTGAGACAGAAACTTACCAAGAGACCCAAGCACTTTCCAGGAAAGGGGACTTAAGTCCTCCCAACCCCACTCAGCCTCAGTTTCCCCCTATGTACAGCACCTGCCTCCTAGGGTGCTGTTTGGTTGTTTGTTTTGCGTGGTGTTTGTAATATTTAGACTCTGTGCTTGGAAATGGGGCTGAGAAAGAGTTGGGGAGAGAATTTCCTCATCAGTCCTGGAATAAAATCCAAACTACTCCCAATTCGTGTTTGCCTTTGTCAACCTCCCTGACCTCATCTCTTACCACTTGCCCTGCTCACACTGCTCCAGCCACCTCGGGGCCTTTGCACGTCCTGTTTCCCCAGCCTGGAGCCCCAGACCTTTGCTTAGACGGCTCCTTGTCATTCAAGGCTTTCCCTGACCACCTGATGTCAAACAGCCACTCAGTAAAGTCTCTGTTTTATTTTCTTCACAGCACTAATTTCAATCTGAAGTTGGAAACTTATCTTGCGTTTAAGAAATGTACGAATGTACCCTTTGTCAATCCCCCCCCCACCTGTACCCGTCCCCCACCCCCTTAAATGCACACATCTTGTCTGTTTATTCACTGCTGAATCCTCAGCATCTAGATGGGGCCTGACACATAGTAGGCCCTCGGTACATATTTGGGAATAAATGAGACAAGACCAGACATTAGGCAGAAATGAGCCAAGGTGAGAGGAGCCTGGAGCGGCAGACACTGAGGAGATGGGGCTGGGAAGAAAGAAGGGAGAAGGTGGGGGAGGGAGAGTGCAAGGGGGCACCCCTGGCAGAAGCAGAGGTGGGGGACCTGGACCAGGAGCAGACGTGGTCTGAAGGTGGGAGGAGTCTGGGCTTGGTGCATGTTCCCAGGGGTTGCCAGGAGGGGAGTGGACAGGACAGGGGGCTCCTGGGGGGTGGCTGCTGAGCTATCATGAGGGCGGCCTCTGATTTGTCCGGCGTGGGGAGCCCTGGGTTGGGTTGTGGTTGAGGATCACGGGGAGCAGGTACCCCAGCCCTCAGGGATTCCCTGAGAATGACAGGCACAAGGCACCTCCCACCTGCCCACCCAATCTGCCTCAGGAGCCCAGGGCACCTCCACTCCCCCCGGGGCATTCGGGGGATGCGGGAGGGGATTATAGAAATGTGAAGCCTGCCTCAGGTCTGGCTGGCCCCAAGCACAGAGGGACAACTCAGATGGCACTGAGGGACACTCTGGGGTGAGTGCAATGTCATCAAAGAGGTCGAGGGTGGAGGTGTCCAGAGCCGCGAGGCTCAAGCTGGGGCCCGCACAGGGTGCCTCAGTGGGGGCCACAGCACAGGCCACCCCCAGGAAGGGGGACGGAGGTGGCGGGGGCGGCCTTCGGGGCGGAGGTCTCTGGGGAGGTGCCTCTTGGGACAGGATAGACAGCGCCAGGCGCCGGGTGGCAACTTCAATCTTGGCAAAGTGCCTGCAGAGAGACAAGCATTACTGGGTAGCCATGAAGCGTTCCCCTCCTGTCTGCCGTCCCAGGACCAGTCTTTCCCTTCTCCTCCTCTCCAGTTTTTTACTCTGTGCTCCCTGGGTCCTTTCTTGAGTCTGACAATCCAGTTTTTCTAACTCCATTCATAGGGGAGCTCTGAACAGCTGTGGGGGTTGTGTACTGCACAAGGCAGCACCTCCAGTTCAGCACAATGCACATTTTTGACATTTAGATTTGTTATGGCCACATCCCAACGCATAAAAGTAAAAAACGTCTGAAGGAAAGGGTGCCTTGAGAAGTGTCTTCCACACAAGGTGCACTGTGGGCTAGGGGTACACGTGTAACAGTGATGCCCTGTGGATTCTACTCCCTGCGGAGCTCTTGAATCTGCCCACCTCTGCATCCCCACCAATCCTTGGTTGAAGTCCCCGGCATTTCCCGTCTGGATGACCACAACAGCCATCACACTGGCCCCTCCCCTAGCGTTCCTACCCCTCAAGAACTCTGTGGATGGATCTCACAAACTGTGATGGGCTCAGTTACAGCCCCCTAAAATTCCTATGTTGGAGGTTTAACCCTCAGTACCTTGGAACATGATTGTATTTGGAGACAGGGCCTTTAAAGAGGTAGTTAAATTAAGATGACATGGTGAGGGTGGCCTCTAATCCAATGAGAGGAGATTGGGACCCATGGAGGGAAGACACAGGCCATCCACAAGCCAAGGAGAGAGGCCTCGCCCTGCCAGCACCTGATCTGGGACTGGGGCCTCCAGAAGCGTGAGAAGGTAAATTTCTGTTGTTTCAGCCACCCAGTCTGTGGTGTTTGATTATGGCAGTGGTAGGAGATCAGTGCACAAACATAATGTTGAGCAAAAGCAGCAAGACTCACAATTCGTACCTGCATGACTCCATTTGAAGCTCAAAAAGCAGGCTAACCTGATGACAGTAAGAGAAATCAGGATGGCAGCTTATGGGAAGGAGACACCATGGGCGCCTCCAGGGGCAAGAAGGGCCCTGTTCCTGGACCTGAGTGCTGCTCACACTAGTAGGTTCTCTTTGGGAAAATTCGTCAAGCTCTACGCCAATACTATGTGCATTTCTTGTAGTTGTTAAATTTCCAGAAAAGGTTTTATTTAAACAGTTACCTGATATTGTATGGTTCTGTTTATATGAAATGTCCAGAATAAGCAGGTCCCTGGAGACAGAAAGCGGACTGGTGGCTGTCAGTGCTGGGGGAGGGGGGATGGGGAGTAGGGGATCTCCTCTGGGGGTGATGAAAATGTTCTGGAACCCGATAGAGGTAACTGGTTGCAAAACATCATGAATATACGAAACACCAATGAAGTGTACACTTTAAAACACTCGAAATGGTGAATTTTATGTTATGTCTATTTTGCCACAAGAAAATAGGCTCATAAATAAATTCGTGAGAGCTGTTACTCTGGAACTGTCTTTGACGCCAAAGAGAATAGTTACACTCTGAGTCCCCAGGAAAAATGTTCAGAAATGGGAGGTCAGGTTAAATGGCAGAGAATGGGGGTGGGAAGAGAGAGAGGGGGAGTTGACTTGAACAAACTCCGTATAAATGACATTTAGGGCTGAAGAGTCATGACATTTGTGATTTGCTTGAACTATTTTAAGAAGATAGATGAAGGAAATAGGATAAAATGTTATGGGCAGTAAAGTCTAAGTGATGGTACGTGAGTGATCTTTAGGCCAGTGGTTCTCTAACTTGAGAGCACAATGGAACACCTGGAGGGCTTGTGGCAATACAGGTCCTTGGGCCCCTGAGCTTTGGGTTCTGCAGGCCTGGGGTGGCATTCAAGAATCTGCGTCTCTAGCACATCCCCACACCGTGCGGGGGCTGATGCTGTGGGTCTGGGGACCATTTGTTGAGAACGGCTGTGTCAGAGAGCTAGCTGTCTTGACTTTTCTGTAGATTGGAAATTCTTCGCAATAAAAAGTCAAAAATCCATATACATGGGTGGGAGGGGGCTCCTGAGGGATCAGGGCCTGAGGGGACCTGAGGGAGGAGGAGGATGTGGGTGGGAAGGTGCCGAGGATAGTTTGCCTCTGACCTGGATTTTCTCAGGGAATATGCTCCAGAGCTGCCTGGGCTGCCCATGAGGCAACTCGTGGGAAGCCTGGGTCTCCGGGGAGCATGTGACAGAGCCAGGCATGGGGGTGGGAATGTCTGGGATGCTACAGGAGAGGAATTGGCCCTGGGGAAACAGGGGGGCTGAGTGGGGGAGGGTAGACGGGCAACGTGGGAGGTAAGAGGCTGGCATTAGCCCAGGGTCCAGACTGGAGGCGGGCAGGGAACCCAGATGGGGGCTGGAGATGGGGGAGGGGTCCTGAACTGATTGATGAAGGGGCTGAAGAGGAGTGAGAAGGCTAGCTCTGGGACATAGGGCTGGACCCTGTTTGAAGAGATGTGTGTTTTCCTCTTCAATAATGGGTGTGTAGGATGGCGGCGGTGAACACTGTGGCCAGGGCTGGGCATCCTGGTAGAAGGTGGCTTGTAGTGCAGAGGCAGGAGTTAGGCTGGACCAGGCTCCTATTTACTCAGATTTGGTTCCAAGACCTCTTGGAGCAAGGTTCTGGGCTGGCTGGGAGGAACAACCTACTTTGAGAAAAGCAGGTCCTGGGGCACCTGGGTGGCTCAGTTGGTTGGGCGTCTGCCTTCAGCTCAGGTCATGGTCCCAGGGTCCTGGGATCAAGTCCTGCATCAGGCTTCCTGCTCCGTGGGAAGCCTGCTTCTCCCTCTCCCACTCCCCCTGCTTATGTTCCCTCTCTTGCTGTGTCTCTCTCTGTCAAATAAATAAATCTTTAAAAAAAAAAGAGAGAAAAACAGGTCCTTGGGCAAGTCACTTTACCTCTCTGTGCCTCAGTTTCCTCATCTGAAAAACGAGGATTATAATAGCATCTACCTCTTAGGGTTATTATGGGGGATTAATGAGTTCATATTCATTGTGAATGAGTATTATAAGTTTATACTAAAGTGCTTAGAACAAGCGCCACCATCATCACCACCATCATCATCACCTTCACCATCATCATCACATCATCACCATCACCACCATCATCATCGTCATCACCATCATCATCACCATCTCATCACCATCATCACCATCATCACTACAACCATCGTCATCATCATCACCATCACCACCATCATCAACCATCATCACCATCACCACCATCATCAACCATCATCACCATTACCACCATCATCAACCATCATCACCATCATCACCACCATCACAACCATCATCACCATGATCACATCATCACCACCATCATCATCACCATCATCATCACCACCATCATCATCATCACCATCATCATCACCTTCACCATCATCATCACCATCACCACCATCATCACATCATCACCACCATCATCATCATCATCATCACCATCACCACCACCATCACCACCATCACCATCACCACCATCACCACCATCATCACATCATCATCATCCTCAAGTCCCTGAGAGGCTGTATCCAGGCAGGACAGCAAAGTAGTACAGAGCATGGGCTCTGGACTCAGAGTGCGTGGGTTGTATCCATTCTTTAGCTGTGTAGCTTGGATAAGTCATCGAATCTCTCTGAGCCTCCTCGTCTCTAATGTAGGGACAAAGACAACCTACTGTGCAGGTTTATTGGGAGCATTAAGTGACATATCGTATGTCTAACCCTTAGTATGGTGTGCCTGGCACACAGCAAGTGCTCAAAAACTGGTTACTGTCACAGAGTGAGGGGAGAGCACAGGGCCAGGTGGGGCAGGGCTGGGTGAGGTGTGAGAGGGAGGACAGGCATGAGTACAGACCTGAAGGAGCTCAGGTCCCCATCTACATTCCCAGAGACAGGGAAGGGCATTGTCCCACAAAGGGAACAGGATGTGCAAAAGCCCAGAGGCTGAATGATATAGTGCTAAATGGGGAGCTCCTGTTTCTTCAGAACCTAATTCCCTCCCCCTTTCACTGTGGCCCAGCCATACTGAGTCTCAAGCATTCCAAGAATGTTCCTGCCTCAGGGCCTTTGCACTTGCTGTCCCTTGCCTGGAATGCTCTTCCCTCAGACATCCATATCTTGTTCCCTGGCTTCAGTGACCTGAGGCTAAAGCCTTCCCTGACACCTAAAATGCCAGTCCTCCCCCAGCACGTGCTCCATGGCACTTATCACCTCATAGCATGCCAGATAATATTTTAAAATTGAGGTAAAATTCACATAACTTAAAATGAGCCACTTTAAAGTGTGCAATTCAGTGGCATTTAGTACATTCACAATGTACAACTTCCACCTCTAATTTGTTCTTGAACTTTCCGTCACCCCAGAAAGCAGCCCTGAGCCCAGTGACAATCACTCGCCATCCCCGCCTCCTCTGGTACCGCTCCCCTGCTTTCTGGCTCTGCCTGTTCTGGACGTTTCACAGAAATGGCATCATGCGATGTGTGGCCTTCTGTGTCTGGCTTCTTTACTCAGCATCGTGTTCTCAAGGTCCATCCACATATCACTTACTTTATCTAGCTGTCCCTGATCAGCCGCCTTGCCTCTGGAACGCAGACTCTATGAAGGCAGGGGGTTCTGTCTACTTGCACAGATGGATCTCGGGGGCCCGGTACACAGTTAAGGCTCAATAAATGCATCTTGAGTGTTGACTGGATTCTGGGGTCCCCTTCTCTCTGTTCTGTCTGGGCCTGGGCTCCCCCGTTCTGAGCTGTCTGGCCCCTCCCCTTGTCCACCCCCACTCACCTGCAGATCTGGTTGTGCAGAAACCTCCTGTGGTTGGGTCTCCTTTTGGGGGGCCGGGTCCGCCGAGGGTGCAGGGCACGCAGCATGTGGGTGGCCGCCCCACTCACAAAGGCACACAGTTCCCGCGGGCTGGGCTCAGACACTGCAGAGGCTGTAGGGGCCCCGGGGTGCATGGCTGGGGTGACAGGGTAGCTTCTCCACAATAGTCCTGCTGGTCAGAAAGCAGCTCCTAAATCTGAGGTGAGAGGAGCAACCAGGGCCAGGAGCTCAGGGCTGGGGAGGCAGACAGCAGATGGGAGAGGAGAGGGCCTTTGGGAGGGGCAGGCCGACTCTGGAGGGGAGGCAAGGCTCTGGTTGGAGGAAGCAGGGCCCGGGGAACTAGGACAAGTCCTCCCGCCTATGCCCCATCCTTACCTCTTGGAGGCTGGATGCAGAGCTTGGAGGAACCCGTGGGTGGGGTCTGATATAGGAAGGCAAGGGGGGAGCTTTATGTGTGCCCCCCCAGGGGCCCAATTAGCACATAGTTGGACCTAGGATATGGGACAGGGCAGCATGGTGGGGGGCAGAGAAAAGCACCTGGAGATAGCCAATTATGGGGACAAAGGCCTCATTAGGGAGGCGAGGCCAGGGCCTGAGTCAACTGCATCGATTAGCGTTGAGGACCCTTAATTGGAGTTGAGGGGAGGGGGTGGTGGGAGGCTTGGGTGCAGGCTGGGAGGGAGGGGGACATGGCTCCCTGGGAGCTCCAGCTGCGGGGCAGACACCTGACATCTGCCCACCCACCGGCAGACGTATCCCCCCTGTGCCTCCCTCGGCTCTGGGCCCAGCATCCTGGGGAAACAGGCTCAGAGAGGGGGCTCGCCTGTGCCCAAGGCCTCTAGCCAGCATGACGGGTTGGCTTCTGTGTGAGGGGGTTGAGCCCCAAACCCTGCATTTCCGCCAGAGCAGTGAGAGAGCAACGGAGGGGGCGGGGGACAGGTGCTGGCTGGCCTGGTTGCTTAGGTGGGTGACAGGAGGGACTGTTTCTGGCACAGCCTGGCTGTGGCCGTGGGAGGGGAAGAGAAAACACGGTGTGGTTTCCCTGAAGACATTGTACTGAGGGCCTGGGGGGCCCCTTGGTATTTGGGGGAGGCTGGGACGTGGCGGGTGAGGAGGCTGGCTCCTGGGGGGTGGGAGTGGGGTCCTCTTGTTCCTGGGAGGGCATTGGTCAAAGTGGGGGACCCTGGCCTGGGCTGGCGCGGGAGAGGTGTCTCCGTGTTTGCTCTGGGGGGACTGCGTTAAAGGTTTGTGTTGGGGGGGGTGAGTGTCCTAGGGGTACGCACGAACACAAACCTTAAAACCACGTACACTTAATCTCTTGCAGTTCTGGGGGTCAGAAGTTCAAGATGGGTCTTCTGAGCTGAAGGCGAGGTGTCCCTTCTGGAGGCTCCCGGGGAGAATCCGTCCCCTAAGCCTTCTCCAGCTTCCAGAGCTGCCGTGACTTCTCCAAGCTCACGCTGCAAGTAAGTGGCCGAGCTGGGATTTGAACTCGAGTCAGCACAGGCCCGACACCATGCCCTAGTGGGCAGGGGCAGCACAGGGGCAACAGCCCAAGTACGGCAGCAGAGGCTGGGCCCAGGGCTCGGGATGGGGGCCACCAGGCCAGCCGCGGCAGACACCAAGCGGCCGTCTTGGGCGCCTCCAAGGGTCTCCAGCCCCCTCACTGAGCTGCACTTTGCCCCTTGGCGCTCCTGGTTTTTCGGCCCCTCCCTGGATGTCTCCTGTCCTCCCCTCCTCGCTGTCTCCAGCCACAGCGCTCGCATGGCTGCTTCTCAGCTTCTCTGGCCGTCTCTGTCTCTACAGCGTCTCTGAGTCTGTGTCTGTCTGTTGGCCTGGGCAAGGCGTGTGTGTGTGTGTGTGTGTTCACGTGTGTGCACATCCTGGGCGTGCATGTGATGTTATGGGACAGCCTGGAAGTTTTCCTGACCTGTGACTTTCAGGCCCAGAGGGGAATGTGCAGGGTCCCTTGGCAAGGGGCCTTGGGGGAGGGGACCCTCTGGGGGTCAGGGTTCAGGCTCAAGGACAGCCACTGCATGGCCGGGGCATGACCTTTGCTAGCCCGGCCCCAGGAGCAGGCCCGAATCCAATACCAGGAGCCCCGGGCAGCATCTGCTAGCGAGCTCTGTCCCTCGGCCCGGGGAGTCTGGACCACAGCTGGGGCCGCCAGCCCTCCTGACTCGGGCCTAGGATGCTCCACCAGGGGGCGCCCACATCCCGGGCAGCGCTGGGAGGCTGTGCGTCCTCGGCATCACCCTCACCTTTGGGCCCCTCTCCTGTCTGGTCATGGATAAGCGTCACCCACAGCTGGGGGCTGGCTTCCTCTGAGATTTGTTGAGGACCTGCCCTTCCTGGTATGAGAAGGTCCTCACAGGCTCCCTTCCGCCATCCCAACCCCCATCCCAACCCCATCCCAACCCCATCCCAGTGCGGGGGGTGGGCGGGAAGTTTCTTTATTTAATAAACATTGATTGAGCACCAACAGTAGACTGAGGATGTGGCAGTGATCAAGACAAGCACAGTGTGTCCCTGGAGGAGTCTGGGGGGGAGACACCCACAAACAAGAAAAGACCAGTCCGGGATGATGGAGGTTGGATGGGGGAGGGGTGCTGCTTCAGATGGAGAAGCCGTCTCTGAGAAGGTGACAATTGTCCTGCAGCCTGAGTGGAAGACAGGGCAGCCAGGAGCTTCCCAGGCAGAGGGAACGATAGGAAGAGGTAAAGTCAGAGACGTGGACAGGGGCTGAACCCTTAGGGCTTTGTAGGCCAGGTAGGAGTTGGGTTATGAAGGCAAGAGTGACGAGAAGCTATGTAGGGTTTGAAGCAGAGGTAGTGCCTAGACCTCAGGGCCCTGCCCCAAACCTCCTTTGCTGGCCTCGCTGCACCTGGAATGTGGAGACCTCACTCCTGAATCCCTCTCTAATATGGGGAGGGGGGAAATGAGGTGTCAGGATCAGGCCAGGAGCCCAGACAAAACTTGTCCTTCCCTGCCTCCATCCTGCTCATCTGCAATCTCTCTACCTAGTCCCAGAGGGACTTTGTTTCCCTTAAAATTTATTGTGAAAATTTACAGGTGGCAGGTTCCTGGTGTTCCCAGCCAGGAACTCAGAGGCCAACCCGCTTATATTTGTTTCACACCATGGTATGGGCTAAGTTGTGTCTCCCCAAACTCGTCCATTGGAGTCCTAACCCCCGTACCTCAAAATGTGACTGTATTCAGAAATAAGGTCTTTAAAGGGGTAATTAAGTTAAAATCAAGTCATATATCTGTGCCCAAACCAATATGCCCGGTGTCCTTATAAGAAGAGGAAATTTGGACACGGACAGATACAGGGAAGGCCATGTGAAGACACAGAGAGAAGACAAGCTATGGAGACAGGCCTCAGAAGAAACCAACCCTGCCAACACCTTGATCTTGGACTTCTAGTCTCAAATATAAGAAAATAAATTTATGTTGTTTAAACCACCCAGCCTGTGGGGCCTTGTTAGGGCAGCCCCAGCAAACTAACACAAGAAGTGTATTAGTTATCTATGTTGTGTCACAAATAACCACAAATACCATGGCTTAAAATAATATACTCTAATTTTCTCACAGTTGCCACGGGTCAGGAGTCCAGGCACTTGATCGGGGCCTCACGAGGCTGCGATCATGGTGTAGGCTGGGCCTGCCGTCTCATCTGAGGTTGGGTCCTCTTCCAGGCTCACGTGGAAGAATTCATTTCCTTTCATCTGTAGAACTCATGGAATTCGGTGGCTTTAAGGCCAGCAGGAGAATCACTGACATTTCCCATCTCTGACCTCTAGACCCAGCTTCAAAGACCTTGCCTGATTATATCAGGCCCACCTAGTACAATCTTTCTGTATTAGGGTTCTTCGGGGAAACAGAACCAGTAGGATCTATGTCTGTGTCTATTCTATCTACCTACCTATATATATAGAGAGAGAGAAAGAGAGATGTTATATATCTTACATTTTATATATAAAGAGCTCTACTGTAAGGTACTGGCTCGTGCAATAATGGAGGAAGTCCCATGATCTGCCATCTGCATGTTGGAGGCCAAGAAAGCCAGTGGTGTAGTTCCAAGGCCTAAGAACCAGAGAGCCAATGGTGTGGATTCCAGTCTGGGTCCGAAGCCCTGAGAACCAGGAGCACCGAGGGCAGGCAAAGATCAACATTCCAGCTCAGTCAGGTAGAGAGGGAATCCAACCTTCCTGCACCTTCCTGCAACTTTTTGTTCTAGTCAGGCCCTCCACAGATTGGGTGATGGCCAGTCGCCTCCCCTCCACGGTGGGGAGGGCCATTGGCTTTACTCGGTCTACTGATGCAAATGCTTATCTCTTCCAGAAACACCTTCACAGACACGCCCAGAAATTGAGTTTAACCGGATACCTGGGCTTCCTGTGGCTCAGTCAGGTGGACGCATAAAATTAACCATTACGTTTCTTTTTGATTAACATCAACTGACGGGAGCCTTGATTGCACGTGCCCAAATCCCTTCACCTTCGCCGTATCACATAACCTGTCACAGGAGTGATGTCCGTCATATCCACTGGCCACGAGAAGAAAAGGCATGTAGTGTATGAGGGCGTGGGTCATTGGGGATCGTCATGGAAAGTGGAGGCCATTCCTGGGGAGGGCATTTGGTGCAGATCTGTCCCTGGTCCACATTTTTGTACTTAAAACCGAGGGATGTGTTTTCCCTGTACAGGAGGGACCATGTGACCCAGTGTGACCAGCTGGGGAGTCTCCTCTGGCTCCTGTGCACTGGGCTGTGGCCATGCATATGGGGATCTGCTAGATAGGCCTAGGGTGGGGATGGTCTCTGAGGCTGGAGACACTCCTGGTTAAATCACTTCCGGGTTCAGTATGTTACATCACTTCCTGGTTCTGTGCTTGGCCAAGAGACTTCCGAGGGCCTCTACTTAGCCCCCAGTCAACTGGGGATAACACTCCTTCCCTGGGACAGGCCCATGTGGGCAGGGCCGGCTGGGCACCCCATGGGAGACCCAAGAAATGTCAAAAAGGACCATCCTTAGTCTGTGGGAGGTGTAGGCCAGCACCTGGGCTCCTGCCCACCCCCCACCTTGCTTAAAGTGCATCTCTGCTCTCTTTCCTGTACTCAGGTGAAAAAGGTTATTTATTCTTACCTCTGGCCCTGGGAGTCCTGTCTTTGGTCCAGATACCTCCTGCTGTGTGTGTAGGGGGAGACAGGTGCTCCAGGGACACCTCTCACCCCAGCCCCTAATCCTTGCCTCTCTAGTGAACACAAGTGGTGCCATCACGAAGGCAATGGGCTGAGTGGCCCAAACCAGAACCGAATGTCCGCACAGCCTGACATCACACGCCCCCTCCTTCCAGAGGGAAGGGATGTGGACTGGAGGGCTTGAGCATGTGGGGGCACCGTGAGTGAGACCTGAGCCCCCTCCCCACCCTGTGATCCCAAAGAGGGCAGGCCCAGACTCTGGTCCTGGCTGGGCCACCTTGGAGCTGGACTGTTCCAGAAACCCAGGACACATTTGCCACCACCCACAGTGTGGCTGGCAGGGTTGGGAGGGGGGAGTGTGAGGAAGAGGGAAAGGTCCAGGCTCCCCAATTCCTCCCAGGGTCTCTTCTCCTTTGACTACCAGTGAGAGTGGGGCTGCCTTTCTCTGGAATCAGGAGGTGGGGTGGGTGCAGACCCTTGCCAACCCTTTTTTGGCTGACAGCTTTGGGATGGGGGTAGACAGAGAGGGACAACCCCACATGCACATAGGGCCTTTGGGGCAGGAGTAACAGCCTAGATCCCTAGGAAGGGTCAGGTAGGTCTTGGCTACCTTCAAAGGCTGCAGTCCCCACTCCCAGCTCTGTCCTCCGGGATGAATGGTTCATCTGGCTGGCAAGGTGGGGGACAAGGACTTGGAGGGTCTGGGGCTGGATAAGATGCCTGATCTAGTTGAGGGGGTTAGTCTCCCCCAAAAGCACCTGGGGCAGGGTGTTGTGGCCAGAAACAAGAATGCCAGGGGCCTGTAGCGGTGTTTGCTAGGCTGTTTGCTTGTCTGTATGAGGGCCCCATGATGTCCCTTGTAGAGGATTCTACATGAGGTGTCCAGCTACTACTATTTGGAAAAAGCCAGTTAAATCTGCACAGCCAGTTGCTTGAGGCCATTGAGTTCAAAACCTTTATTTTCTGGCTCCAGAGTAGGGGATGGCTGACAAGGGCAGGTGCTGGGACTTGGCCTCTCTCACCTCCCTCATTATACCTCCTGACTGGCAGGTAGATGGGGGCTGGCTGGGCTCTGTTGGCACGGAGAGCTCCTTTCACTATTGCAGGGCCCCAGTGGCCTGAGATGAAGCAGGTGGGCCTAGGTTCTCCCTGCAGCCAGCTGGGCCATACATTCCACATCCACACCTTGACCCAGTGTGGAATCCTCCCTCCATCTGGGAGCAACTTCAGGGGGTGGGGTCCGGTGTATTGGGGAGCTCTAGCATTGGGTGGGGACCAACCCCTTGGGGCAGGGCCTCCTAACTCTACCCTGATGGCTGCAACTGTCTCCTTCCCCTCTTTATTCCTCAACAGCTCAGAGCTCTGCTCATGTGTCCCTGCCAGTCCCTGGGCAGCTTCCTTTCTGGCAGGGGAGGTAAAAGTTGAAGTGAAAGGGGTGTTTGGGCTGAGCTGGAATCCTAGGATTCCCATGCACGCATTCACTGGACATGCAAAAACGATCCTGCAGGGCAGGGACAAAAAGACAGGTCCACATCAGCTCGGATCACACCTGAGTTTGGGCCTGCCTGGGGGCCTTGGGAAACTGCCTGGGAGGCTCATTCAACGAAGAGTACCGCTTGCTTCTGATCAGGCCCCTTGCTGGTTGTTGGGTGCCCTGTGTCATGAACCACGGCTGAGTGCTGCTGAGCACGTAATGGGAGCCCACCTAGCATCGCAGGCTTCCCCACAGGAGTTGAGGAGGCGTGGGGTAGGAGCAGAAGGTCCTTTTGGTCTGATAAACAGCCCTCAGGCTGAGGGGGAGTGCCTTGGAGCAGTGGTTCTCCACGGGGGGACATGGGGGGGGAGAAGGGGGAGGCCAGGCACAGGGAGGCTGCTGACCCCCTACAAGGCACCGGATGGCCCTCACAACAAAGAACGATCTGGCCCAGACGTTACTAGCGCCATGGCTGAGAAACTGTGTTGGAAGCCCTTCATTAGCCAGAATGGCTCAAAGGCTGGAGCCGTTCTGGGCTGAGGTCGAAAGGGGGGACAGGGGATCCGGGACAGCTCGGTGGTTCCCTAAGCCCCCAGGCCACGAAGGAGAAGGCATAGCGGGGCCCAGGTTCCTGCACGACCACAACGCGGGCACGCAGCAGACGCCCGGGAACCGCGAGCGCGTGGGACCTCTGGGGGGCAGGAAGCTTCGCGGGCCTCAGTTTCCCCACGGGGAAATTATCGACCAGGGCCTGGGCGTGGGGCCCAGGCCAGGAAGGCCCACACCCCTGGCTGGCTAGGCCGTTCGGAAACCGCGCTGCTGCAGAGGGACTCTATGACAGAGAGGGAGAATCGATAGTCGAAAGGGGGAACAAGCCACCCGCCCCAGGTCCGGGGCCGGCCTTCCCCGGCCTTGGGGGGACTTCCGCTACCGCCAAGACGACCAGGCAGCCGGGCGTCGGGGAAGAACTACAACTCCCACGATGCCGTGCGCCGCTTACGCTGGGGAACGAGCGACCGCCGCCGGCCAACGGGAGGGGCGGGCGGGGCCTCGGCGCACGTGGCGTCGTGACGCGCCAACGGGGACGTCGGGGTTTGTGTGCGCGAGAGGCGACCGATAAAGGTTGGGTGCCTCGCGCCGGGGGCTGTTGGGAGGGAGCGCGCCCCCGCCCCCCTCCCAGGCCCCCAGTCCTGTCCCGCCGCTGCCGGGGCCCCGTCTTCCCGTCGGCCCCCGTGGGAAGGCCCTAGGTCTCCCCCGCTCATTCCCCCGGTCGGGGCCGCAGGTGAGCGACCGGAGGGGTGGGGGTGGGGGGAGGGACCGGAGGGCGGAGACGTTGGGGAAACGGCGAGCGTGAAACCGGAAGGGGCGCCTTAAAGGGAAGGGCGCTACTTCACCTCCGACTTTTGTCCGCCAGGCCGGCTCCGCCCTTTTAAAGGGCAAGGGGCTGCGTTTGGAGCGGCGGGTGAGGTTCTGCAGGTCCCCTCAGCTTCCGCTTTTTATCCTCTAAGGATGGGTTGTCTTGTGAAAGGTCACGGACAGTGTCCCAGACACCGAAGGAATAATTCCTGAGTCCTGGTGGCTTCGCAGCCTACACTAGCTTAGCTCAACAAAGGTGGACATGGGTGTGCGGTGGGAGGAGCCTCTTAAAGGGGACGTCGGGCCTGATGGAAGGGTGTGGTCCGGCCTTTCGAAGGGGGTGCTCTTCATTGGGCAAGATGGGCCCGGCTCTTGCAGGGGGCGGATGCCTCTTGTTTACGGCATGCTCGGTCTTCCGAAAGGCTCGGGCAGCTTCTCTTAAAAGGACTTGCTTACATTTTAAAGAGGATGCTCATCTTATTAAAGGGAATCTTCATAGCCTGTCCAAAGGGGATGCCCGGCCTTTTTGTTTCAGAATAGGTTTTCTCAGTGCTCGCTCTATGCCGGACTTTGTCTTAGGCGCTGGAGCGCGACAGTGATTAAGATGCCACTACATATAGTGGGTAGAGGGCTAGGGATGCTGCTAAACACCCCATAGTGCTCGGGACAGGCCCCTCGGCGCTGGTCAGCGCCACATCTCAACAGTGCTGAGGTTGGGAAACCCCGATCAGAAGCAGGTTAGGAGGTGAGAAGTCCTATAGAGGACGGGGAGTGTTGGAAGGGGTTGCACATTGAGGTCTGGTGCAGGAAATGTCTCCCCGAGGTGACATGTCAGCAAGCACCCTGGCAGGAAGGCGGGGGGAGGTCCCTGGCAGGGGCCTGTGTGAGGCTCCAGGTGGTGACTGGATGGTGTGAGAGTCAGAGAGGCTAGCCGGAGGTCAGGGAGGGGAGGAGGCCATGGCATGGGAAGTCTGTAGGCTTCTGTAAGAGATTTGTGTTCTCTGAAATGGGAGCAGTAGAGGGCAAGTTCCCCGCAGCCTCTGTGTTGGGCGCATCCTGGGGGTAGGAGGAGTAGGGGTGGGAACATGGAGATCTGCTTTAGGAGGCTGTTGCAGCTGCCCAGGAGGAAGGCCCTGGACAAAGGTGGCAATGGGGGACTCAGGAGAGAAGTGGCCAGATTCCGGACATGTTCCTGCTGAGACAGGAGAACCCGCTGCTGGATTGGGCATAGGTGGTGAGAGAAAGAGGCGACGCCTGAGGAAGGACCGAGCGGTTTTCAGGGATGGAGACTGTGGGTGGAGAAGGGAGCGAGCAGGAGTGAAAAAAACCCCACCAAGTTAGATTTGGGGCAGGATAAATTTGAGTTGTCTGTTAAGCGTCCATATGGCATACTGTAGCAGGGGGTTAGAGTTCAAAGGAGAGGGTGTCAAATAGAGATACATTTTGGAGTCATCCCACTTATAGACTGAGATCCTGAAAATGAGTGGGGGTTCCCTGGGAGAGAGTGTGGATGAGGAAGAGGACCAAGGGTCGGCAGAGCCCTGGGCTCTCCTAAATTCACAAGTCAGGGAGATGAAAAGGAACAAGTGCCCCAAGGTGAGGAGAGTGGCTTAAGGAGGGAGGGACCCTTGGGGATTGAGCAGAGACCATGCAATTTAGTACCAGGGAGGCCAGGAGTAGAGTCAGGGGGAGGAGGATCTGAGTGATGGGGTTTGGGGTGGGAAAAAGCATGTATTTTTCTTTTTTTAATTTGAGAGAGAGAGAGGGTGACTCCCCGCTGAGCAGAGGGCCCGATGCGGGGCTTGATCCCAGGACCCCTGAGATCATGACCAGAGCTGAAGGCAGACGCTTAACCGACTGAGCCACCCAGGCGCCCCAGGAAAAAGCATGTATTGACAGCACTTTGAGTTGCTTTGCTGCAAAGGGGGTGGAGAGACATAAGGCCATAGCTGGAGGGGGGTGGGGTGGGGCGAAAGGTTTTGCCGTTTGTTTTTTTTTAAAGATGGGAGATGCAGCTTGTGGGTACACTGAAACAGTCCAGGAGGTAAGGAGAAGTTGTAGGTGGGAAGTCAGAGTCCATGGGCCGAGGCAGGCAAGGGGGGGGAGGGGTAGCCTAGGAATTCTCAGCCTCAGCACTACTGATGTTTTGGACTGGATCGTTCTGTGCTGTGGAGGGTTGTCCTGTGCACTGTAGAGTGTCGAGCAGCATCCCTGGTCTCCCCTCACTAGATGCCAGGAGCACTAGCCCCTCCAGCTGACAACTGGACAGTCCCACAATTGCCAGATGTCCCCTGGGATGTGAGAGTCGATTGCTCTCGTTGAGAATCACTGCTACAGTAGTTAGAACATGGGAACGTTCTCTTCTGATTGCTTTTCTGTTCTCAGTGACAAGATCAATGGCAAGGTCACCTGCTAAGAGGAGGAGGGGAAAGGAGAGAGGTTTGAGGGGCACAGAAATATGTCCAGTACCGCCTGTTGAGTGGGTGTGTGTGTGCAGTGTGAGCAGTGCCCGGAACTTGGAGATGCATGGGCATGAGTGCAAAGGGAGACTGAAGCCAAGGGCGCCTGGCCGGCTCAGTCGGTCGAGCGCGCGACTCTTGATCACGGAGCTGTGAGTTCAAGCCCCACACTGGGCGTGGATATTACTTAAAAAATAAAATCTTGGGGTGCCTGGGTGGCTCAGTCGGTTGAGCAGCCGACTCTTGGTTTCAGCTCAGGTCGTGATATCAGGCTCATGAGACGGAGCCCCGCATCAGGCTCCATGCTCAGCGCGGAATCCGCTTGAGATTCTCTCTCCCTCTCCCTCTGCCCCTCCTGCTTGTGCTCTCTCTCTCAAATAAATAAATACATCTTTAAAAAATTAAAATAAAATCTTAAAATTAAAAATAAAAAAAAAAAAATAGGGAGACTGCCGCCAGGCAGAAAGTGAGGATGTGGATGGGGTGGAAGGTGCAGTGCCCTTAGGGGTCTAGTGGAGGTTAGGGATCTTTGATTAATACACAAGAGGGAGTAGGCAAGCAGGATGGGGGGGGGCGGTGGAGAGTGGAATGCACACAGGGCTTTAGTTATAGCGGCAGTGGGAGCCGGTGTTGAGGCAGGATGGAAGGTGAGGCTTTAGAGGGAGAAGGGTCAAGGATCAGAAGCCAGGGTGCTAGAGAGACCCCCGGCCTTCTTCAAGGACGGTGCCTATCTGTAGAGGGAAGGCGCTTAGCCCTAAGGGAAGTGCTTGGCCTCCTGAAGACCACGCACAGCCTTCTCAGACTTGTCTAGCCTCCTGGAGGGGATGGGCAGCATCCTAGGGCTGGTGAGCACTCGTCCCAGTTTGCCAGAACTTTCTGTTTCAGCACCTAGAGCCTTGCCTTGGGGCAGACCTGGACCACTGGGGGCCCTGCTCCTAAGGGAGTCTCTCGATCCCGTGGGTGGGGAGGTGCCCTCTGCATCTTCAAGGGCAAAGGTGTATGTCCAGGTTGAGAAGGTGGGGTGTTTGGGTGGAGGTGGGGTGAGCTCCTGCCTTCCCCTGACCCGGAATCCCCCGCCAGGTGTGATGGTCGGCTCCCACGCAGACATGGCGCCGGCCTCTACCACCGAGGGGCCCGGGGAGAAGCCCGGCCCCGCAGCCCCCGCCCCGACGGCCCAGTATGAGTGTGGGGAGTGCGGCAAGTCGTTCCGCTGGTCATCCCGGCTCCTGCACCACCAGCGCACGCACACGGGCGAGCGGCCCTACAAGTGCCCCGACTGCCCCAAGGCCTTCAAGGGCTCGTCCGCCCTGCTCTACCACCAGCGGGGCCACACGGGCGAGCGGCCCTACCAGTGCCCCGACTGCCCCAAGGCCTTCAAGCGCTCGTCGCTGCTGCAGATACACCGCAGCGTGCACACGGGCCTGCGGGCCTTCACGTGCGGCCAGTGCGGCCTGGCCTTCAAGTGGTCCTCGCACTACCAGTACCACCTGCGGCAGCACACGGGCGAGCGGCCCTACCCGTGCCCCGACTGCCCCAAGGCCTTCAAGAACTCGTCCAGCCTGCGGCGCCACCGGCACGTGCACACGGGCGAGCGGCCCTACGCCTGCGGCGTGTGCGGCAAGAGCTTCACGCAGAGCACCAACCTGCGGCAGCACCAGCGCGTGCACACGGGCGAGCGGCCCTTCCGCTGCCCGCTCTGCCCCAAGACCTTCACGCACTCGTCCAACCTGCTGCTGCACCAGCGCACGCACGGCCCCGCCGCCGCCGCCGCCGCCCCGCCGCCGCGCGAGCCCAGCGCCAAGGTCCTGGTGGCCGACGCCTACCTGCACGCGCCCGCGCCCGCGCCGCCGCCGCCGCCCGCGCCCCCGCCCGTCGTGCCCGAGCTCTTTCTGGCCGCGGCCGAGACCACGGTGGAGCTCGTGTACCGCTGCGAGGGCTGCGAGCTGGGCTTCGGCAGCGAGGAGCTGCTCCTGGAGCACCAGCCGTGCCCCGGGCCCGAGGCAGCCACCCCGGCGCCCAAGGCGGACCCCGCCCCGCCGCCCCCCCGGGCCCCGCCGGCGCCGCCGCCGCCGCCCCCGCCTGCCGCCGCCCCGGGCTTCGCCTGCCTGCCGTGCGGGAAGTCCTTCCGGACGGTGGCCGGCCTCTCCCGCCACCAGCACAACCACGGGGCGGCCGGCGGGCAGGCGTTCCGCTGCGGCAGCTGCGACGGCGCCTTCCCGCAGCTGGCCAGCCTCCTGGCGCACCAGCAGTGCCACGTGGAGGAGGCGGCTGCGGGGCGCCCGCCCCCCCAGGCGGAGGCCGCCGAGGTCACCTGTCCCCAGGAGCCCCTGGCCCCCGCGGCCCCCGCCCCGCCCGCGCCCGCGCCGCCTTGTGCCGAGCGGCCCTACAAGTGCGCCGAGTGCGGCAAGGCCTTCAAGGGCTCCTCGGGGCTGCGCTACCACCTGCGGGACCACACGGGCGAGCGGCCCTACCAGTGCGGCGAGTGCGGCAAGGCCTTCAAGCGCTCGTCGCTGCTGGCCATCCACCAGCGCGTGCACACGGGCCTGCGGGCCTTCACGTGCGGCCAGTGCGGCCTCACCTTCAAGTGGTCCTCGCACTACCAGTACCACCTGCGGCTGCACTCGGGCGAGCGGCCGTACGCGTGCGGGGAGTGCGGCAAGGCCTTCCGGAACACGTCGTGCCTGCGGCGCCACCGGCACGTGCACACGGGCGAGCGGCCGCACGCCTGCGGCGTGTGCGGCAAGAGCTTCGCGCAGACCTCCAACCTGCGGCAGCACCAGCGCGTGCACACGGGCGAGCGGCCCTTCCGCTGCCCGCTCTGCCCCAAGACCTTCACGCACTCGTCCAACCTGCTGCTGCACCAGCGCACGCACTCGGCCGAGCGCCCGTTCGCCTGCCCCGTCTGCGGCCGCAGCTTTGTCATGGCCGCCTACCTGCAGCGGCACCTGAGGACGCACGCCCCCGCCCCCACGGCCGCCGCCGCCCCCGCCGGCCCCGCCGCCGCCGGCTCCCAGCCCCCCGCCCCGCTGGCTGCCGCCCCGGCCCCATCCGCCACCCAGGACGTCCACGTTCTCCCGCACCTCCAGGCCACGCTCTCCCTCGAGGTGGCAGGGGGCCCGGCCCCGGCCCCGCCCCCGGGCCAGGCAGCCCCCAACTCCCAGACTTTTCTCCTGGTGCAGACCGCCCAGGGCCTCCAGCTGATCCCCAGCAGCGTCCAACCCCCTACGCCCCCGCCCCCACCGGCTCCCCCCAAGCTCCTCCTGCTACCCTCCTCCAGCACTGGTGCCGGGAGCAGCCGCGGAAGGCAGGGCCCACGGGCCGCAGGGAAATCGGGTCAGGGGCCTGGAGTAGTGTGGCTGCCAGGTCCTGGGGGACTGGGGGTTCAGGGAGGGGGCAACGCAGGGGCCAGCGGGGGAGGGCAGAGCCTCATCGTTCTACAGAATGTAGGGGGTGGGGAGGCAGGGGCCCAGGAAGTGGGTGGGGTCCAGCTGCAGCCCCTCCGGCCAGCCCCCGAAGTGACCACTGTTCAGCTCCAGCCGGCCCAGGAGGTGACCACGGTCCAGCTCCAGCCGGCTCAGGAAGTGACCACCGTCCAGCTCCAGCCTGTGGCAGGCCCGCTGTCCAATCCCAGCGGGGGAGCTGTGACCACTGAGGCCCCCAATCTGCTGGTGGTTCAGAGTGGAACAGCCGAGGAGCTGCTGGCCGGTCCCGGCCCCGGGGAGCCGGGTGATGGTGAGGCCAGTAGTGGTGTCGTCCAGGATGTGCTCTTTGAGACGCTGCAGACAGACGAGGGGTTGCAGAGCGTCCTGGTGCTGAGCGGGGCCGATGGGGAGCAGACCCAGCTGTGTGTGCAGGAGGTGGAGACCCTCCCCCCTGGGCTGGCCGAGCCTCCTGCCCCAGGCCCACCCGGACAGAAACTGCTCATCATCCGCAGTGCGCCAGCCGCCGAACTGCTCGAGAATAGCAGCGGTGGGGGAGGCGCTGCCACGCTGCAGCTCCTGACCCCACCACCACCTGGCCAAGCCTCTGCCCCAGTGGGCATCTCCGCGGCTCCCCCCTCCCAGATGGTACAAGTGGTGCCCACCGGCGCTGCACCTGGAGGCATGACCCCGCAGGGGCTGCCCTCCATCCAGATTGTCCAGACTCTGCCCGCAGTCCAGCTGGTGCACACATTTTGAGTAGAACCCCTGGGTTCTCTTCTGCCCGACACAGAGACCCGGACTCACTGCTTGGGCTGGGCTAGGCTGGGGGGTGGGGGGAGGGGAGCTGCAGGCTGGGCTTGCTAATAAAGACCAGAATCTCCTCTCCCGTGTTTTGTTTTCTTGGGGGCGGCTGGGGTGGGGGGAATGTCATGGCCATAGCCACCGCTTGGGAGCCTGGAGTCTTCTCTCTCTTGCTTCCTAGCTCTCAGGTGACTGACTTTGCGGTTTGGGGCCAGCCACTTCTACGTGAGGTTCTGTTTATCCTTAAAAAAGCGTTGCGGGGGTCACTGTAGTGGGGAGGAGCTGGGATCCAGAATCCTGGTTCTGCCACTTGTGCGCTCAGTCACCCCACCGCTCCCCTCATCTGAAAAATGGGTGGGTGGGAATCCTTATCCCGAAGGTGCCTGAGAGAGCCCAGGTGGGTTGGGGTGGAGGTTCCTGGGGTCGGGCGTTTGGGAACTAGTGAGCCCAGGATGCGGCCCCTCCCGCGAAGGCCCGCGAGCCAATGAGAACTGATGCGCTCCCACCACCGCCCCCCCACCCGCCTCTCAGCTTGCTTAGCAACCAGGGAAGGTCAGGAAGCGAACGTGCGCTTCTCGCCTGCGGCCCGGGTAAGTACGGTTCTGCCCCGACCCGCCGTCCGCATCCCCTCCGGCCCCGCCCCGTCCCGCGTCTGCTCGCGTCTCCTCCCTCTACCCCAGCGCTGGCGGGGTCGCTGCTCCTCGCTCGCTCCCTCCCCGACCCGCGCCCGGAGTCCTGCCACCCGCCCACCCCAGCCCGGACGCTTGGCAACCGTTGCTAAGGCAGGGTGCGGACCCGCCCCCTCCGTGCGCGGTGCGACGTCACTTCCGCAGGCGACCCCTTCCCGACCCTGCTGCCCCCACACCTGGTGCAAGGATTGGAGCGACCTGCCGGGGTTCCTCCGGTGCCTGCTCCTGCGACGGGGGTCGGGGACGCCTGGGGGGCCGGGAGCGTGGTCCATGCCCTGGCTGTTGGGGGGGGGGAGTTCCGCTGACTCCCCAGGGCAGCCCCGGAGCCTGGGAGGGAACCCCGGGTTGCAGGGTGCTGGCGTCCGCAGGGCTTTTAGGGGGAACTCGCTGAGCACCGCGGCGGGCGGAGCGGGGGGGGGTGTCCGGGAGACTTGAGGAAGGTCGCGGGGTGGAGGGTGAATCCCGTCCTGCCTGGGACCTCGCTCGGGGGTCCCGAGCGTTCCCGGTGTCCCCATCTGGACCATGCTGTTGCTGGTCCCCATGTCTGGGGCGCTGTGGGGACGAGAGGTGCCCTTCACTGACGCTGGCCTGCTTGTTTTCACCAGGTGCACGCCTGCTGCCTTCGGGGGCGCGGGAGCCTGGGGGCTGCCATGGCCCCCGGCCACCTGTCAGTGCGGGAGATGAGGGAAGACGAGAAACCCCTGGTGCTGGAGATGCTGAAGGTGAGAGCAGGCGGGGCCGCGTCGTGAGCGGCTCCAGCCACCTGCCGGAGCCAGCCCGGACTCCTGGAACCTGATCTTTTCCTCCTAAGGGGCTTCCTGGCTCGGTCCCTTCTTTTCCTAGTGCCTTCTTCCTACCCCTAGGGTCAGAAAGGTTTTAGGGGCTCCTGGCTGGTTAGTCTTGACGGCGGGGCTGTGAGTTCAGGCCCCACTTTGGATGTAGAGATACTAAAAATAAAAGTTTTAATAGCTGGAGGGCTGTGAGATGGGCGTGGCACCAGGTCCCTCCCTCCTCTGCAGACTTCAGCCCGCCCCCCTGCGCCAGCCTCCTCCCCAGCACTCTTCAAGCAGAGCCCTTGGGCCGCAGCCTGGCGCTGGGTCTCCCCCTGCCCCCAGTGCCACCTCCTGGTGTCCGGAGCATGCGCCTACTCTGACCTGGGCCAGTCCTCTGTCCTGTTGTGGCCTCAGCCTTCCCTGCAGCTCCCCTGAATCGGGTGTGCGGCATAGCTCCTAATTCCCTCACTCGCTCAGGGCCCGGTGTGCTGGAGGTTCTGCTTACTGGAGCCTAGAGCAGACGTGGTCCTGTTCCCTGCCTGCTCCTTGGCCGCAGGCCCCATCACACCGCCTTCCCTTCTCCTTTGGGAGCTCCCACCCCTCCGCCCCTGCCTGGGCCCACCCCCTCCCCTCTCCCCGATGACGGATGGCACGGGGCCCTAATGTGATGGAAGGCCCAGGCCCCCGGCTCTGACGGCTCCTTCTGCCCACAGGCTGGTGTGAAGGACACGGAGAACCGTGTGGCCCTCCACGCCCTGACACGGCCACCGGCCCTGCTGCTCCTCGCAGCGGCCAGCAGCGGCCTGCGCTTCGTCCTGGCCTCCTTCGCCCTGGCCCTCCTCCTGCCCGTGTTCCTGGCTGTGGCAGCCATGAAGCTGGGCCTGCGGGCCCGATGGGGCTCACTGCCTCCCCCAGGCGGCCTGGGGGGCCCCTGGGTGGCAGTGCGCAGCTCGGGTGATGTGTGTGGGGTCCTGGCCCTGGCCCCAGGCTCCAACGCTGGCGACGGGGCCCGGGTCACCCGCCTCTCTGTCTCTCGATGGCACCGCCGCCGAGGTGTGGGCAGGCGGTTGCTGGCCTTCGCCGAATCCCGGGCACGGGCCTGGGCGGGAGGCATGGGGGAGCCCCGGGCCCGGCTTGTGGTCCCCGTGGCTGTGGCAGCGTGGGGCGTGGCGGGGATGCTGGAGGGGTGTGGCTACCAGGCTGAGGGGAGCTGGGGCTGCATGGGCTACACCCTCGTGAGGGAGTTCAGCAAGGACCTGTGACTCCGGACCCTGGCGGGAGGGAGAGCACCTAGTGAGCGACTACTGTATGCAGGTTCTCCCTCTGGGAATCCCCAGCCTGCCCGGGGCCCAGAGGCAGGCCTGCAGAGGGCAAGACACCCCACTGCAGGCTCATGCCTGTCTGTAGTGCTCGAACTTTTCACAGAGGTCAACCTGTGCGGCCCCCTGATCCAGATTTTGTCTGCACTGAGAAACCTCCTCGGTCTGTCTGCAAAGGTCGCACCGTTTGTGCTCCAGCCTGGGGGAGAGATGTGGGGAGGAGGAGAGGGGGCCCGGCCCCCTGGGTTAGGACTTGTGGGGGCACCCCAAAGGGGGACAAGGCCCTCTTGGAAATGGGGAGCGGTTTGATGACTGCTTGGAGGGGATGAGCAGAGCCTTTGCAGAGGAGGGTCGTCCGCCCAGAGAGAGGCCCTGGCAAGGACAGGGTGGGCAGAGGGCTGCCCACGCCGGGCCCCTCCCTGGAAGGTGAGCCAAGAGGGGCGGCCAGACCCATCTGGTTTTTTACACCCGATTGTTAATAAAGCCTGAAACTGCTGTGCGGCCGTCTCTCTCTCTCTCTCTCTCTCTGATGTCTTTTCCAGTCTGTCCCTGAGCCTCCCTCCCCCTTCTGTCTGGCTTCTCCTTTCCCCGACTTGACATTAATTGTTGCTGGGGGTGCTGGACGGGGAGAAGGGGAGGCAGTGAGCTCACGGCAGCCCCGCTCCCTGCCAGCCCTCTGACTCACGCTCCCCATTGCCGAATTTTTTCCGCCTCACAGCTGCCTGGTGCAGAGTGGGGGGCGGGGGGAATGAGTGTGTGTGTGTGTGTGTGTGTGTGTGTGTGGAGTCCCCCACCCTCACCCAGGACTCAGCGCTTAGTCCGCCTGGCCCCCCCACTCCCGTTTCCCTGGGGTTCACCCAGTGCTCCCTCAGCTGGGGGGCCTGAAGGGTTTGCGTTCAGCCCCACCAGGGCCAACCGAGAGGGCTTCCTCCCGTTCCTTTCCCAATCAGGAAGTCCTTCCTGGTGTCTGGCTGTAAGCTGTCTTGCTGCTGGTTTGAATGTACGCTCCCTCCGCTCCGTCCTGGTCTCACCATGTCCCCTGGCTGGACAGAGGAGGCAGAGGGTGGCTGCCTGTGCGTGCCTCTGTCCAGTCCCTTTCCTGCAGCCGCCCGCCCTCCCCTCAGCATCTCTAAGCACCGCAGGGCGCCTGGCCTGGCGGCTCCCGGCTCCCCGTGGGAGTTTGCAGTTGGACACCCTCCCTCCCCGCCTCCACCCCCCTCCTCCTCAGAACTCAGCTGCTGGCCAGCCCCCTCCCTGCCCCCGCTCCTGTCCCCTGCTGCCTCCTCGGCAGGCAGCCTCTCTTCCTTCTGGCAAGGCGTCCAGCCACGGCCTGCTGCTTCTTCCCGGCCTGCTGCTTCTTCCCGGTCCAGGGCGCCTCTGGCAGGCGCTTCCCTCCCTCCCTCCCTCTCTCCTTCCCTCCCTCCGGTGGCCGCAGCCTCCTCCCCTCTCCTGCTCCGCGTCCCCTTTCACCCCGTCCCTGCCCTGGAGTCTGCAAACATGAGGGTCTGGGCCTGCCTTATCGGTGAGTGACCCCCTCTCCTTGGGGACCCAGGGACCTCTGACCCCTGAGCTCATACCCTTAAGCGACTCCAACTTCCGGGGCCTTGTCCCTGGTGCTTGTGATAAGGGACATCTGGTTCTCCTTGCCTGATCCCCCAAGGGACCCAGCCTCTGCACACCCAGTCCCACCCTCTGAGGACCCCAGGGACTACCCGCCCCCACCACCGGCCCTGACCCCGGGGGGGGGGGGTCACTCACCATTTGACATTAACCAGGCCCTTGGGGGAGCACAAAGGGCCTGGCTCCCAGCCCTGACCCCAGGCATGTGGGACCCCGCCCGTCTCAGAGACCTGAGTCTTGCCCAGTCCAATGCCCAGAGTCCTGCTTCCCAGCAGTGGGGTTTCTGGTTCAGAGATGTGCAGATTCTGTGTGTGTGTGTATTTAAGACAAGGAGAAAGCACCCCCTTGGGGCCTGCCCTCACTCTACCCTACCCCTCCAACCTCCCTTCCAGTGGCTCTGATGGGGATCCAGGCTGTTGGTAAGTGGCCTTGAGCACCTCTGTCTGGCCTTGCCCAGCTCCAACCCACCCCTGTCCAGTCTCACCCTCCAGGGGGACCCCGGCAGCCCCGTGGGCGCCTATGACCTCGGGCATTGCTCCCCCCAGAACCACCGCTGACCAACCTCCCACTTCCTGTGGGGCCCCTGCTCTCCTGGGAACCCAGGAATTGGGGCCCCCAGCAGCGGCCAGGGCGGCCGGCCTCGCACCTCACGCTGCAGGCCAACCCCTGGCCCTGCCCTTCCCGGGCCCCGGGCCTCCTGGACGTCCCAGCCTTTCCTCTGTCCCCCCAGAGCGGCTGCGTCTGGCTGACGGCCCCCACGGGTGTGCTGGCCGCCTGGAGGTGTGGCACGGCGGCCGCTGGGGGACGGTGTGTGACGACGGATGGGACCTGCGGGACGCAGCTGTAGCCTGCCGCGAGCTGGGCTGTGGGGGTGCGCTGGCCGCCCCCGGAGGCGCCTTCTTCGGGGAGGGCGCGGGGCCCGTGTGGCTGAGTGAGCTGGCCTGCCGGGGCAGTGAGGGACAGCTGGGGCTCTGCTCCCACCGCGGCTGGAAGGCCCACATTTGCTCCCACGAGGAGGACGCGGGCGTCGTCTGTGCAGGTGAGAGGCCCTGGGCCCTCCTTCGGGGGCACTTCTGCAGATGCGACCCAGGGACTCGGACGGTCCAGAAGTCCAGGCACCCCCACCCCTGACACCCCCTCCAAAACCAGGCGTCTCCCTCTGGGACTCCCAGCTGACCACTGCCTGGGGGGGCCCCTGCCAAGCTCCTGTGCCGTCCCACAGGTCAGCGTGTGGCCAACTCCAGGGACAGGGACGATCCACCTTCGATCCTGGAGGGGGACCCCTGGCCGGGGCTGTCTGGGGAGCTGAGCCCGGGCTCTGAGGAGCCTCCTGTGACCCACGGTGAGTCCGCCCTGGCCACGCTTCCAGCTGTGAGGGGACTTCTGTGCTGGTATCTCCCAGGGGACAGACAGGGGCACCCGCTTCACCACCTCGAGGGGCCCCTGTCACAGCCCCCTTCACACCCTCAGGGACTCTCACAGGCAGCACAGTGCGGGCCCCCAGCCGGGAGGATGAACAGCTCCCCACCAACCGCGCTCTGGCCGCTGTCTCTCGCAGCCCCCCGCCCAGCTGGGACCCCACAGAACAACTCCAGGAAGAAGAGCCTGCGGCCGCTCAAGCAACCCAAATCCACCAGGGCCCCTGTGCTGACGGCTGGAGCCCCCCGACAGGGTACGATCCGTGCAGCCTGGACTGACCTGGGGACCCCAGCATGCACTGTGTCCCTCGGGGTTCAGCGGGGCCCAGGCTCCCGTTGTGCCCCCACCCCATCCCCACCCCATCAGGGGCCCCAGGTGGCCGCTCCCTCCCTGGATCTCAGGCCACTGCTCCCTCTGGGGCTCAGTTTTCCCAGATGGAAAATGAAGGGTGTTTGAATCCGCTTTTCCCAAACTGCCTCGCACAAGACTCACCACCCCCTCCCTCCCTGCCCCTCCCCCCCCAGAGCGGCTGCGCCTTGTCTCGGGCCCCCACGGGTGCGCCGGCCGCCTGGAGGTGTGGCACGGCGGCCGCTGGGGGACGGTGTGTGACGACGGATGGGACCTGCGGGACGCGGCCGTGGCCTGCCGCGAGCTGGGCTGCGGGGGCGCGCTGGCCGCCCCCGGAGGCGCCAGATTTGGCCCGGGCTCAGGGCCCGTGTGGATGGATGACGTGGGCTGTGGAGGCGGAGAGCAGGCTCTGCGGGACTGTCCCCGGAGCCCCTGGGGTCGGAGCAACTGTGACCACAACGAGGATGCAGGGCTGGTCTGCACCGGTATGTCTGCCGCCCGCCCCCGCCCCGCGCCCGCCCCGCGCCCGCCCCGCGCCCGCCCCGCGCCCGCCCCGCGCCCGCCCCGCGCCCGCCCCGCGCCCGCCCCGCGCCCGCCCCCTGGGTCTGCCCCTGCCCGCCTGCCGCGGTCAATGCACCTGCTTTGTCGGCCCTCCTCCCGCCTCGGCCTCCCTCTCCCCTCCCTCCTCCCCCTCTTCCTTAGCTCCTCCTTCCTGCCCTCCCCCTCCCTCTTCCTTCCCTCCCTCTTGCCTCTCTCCTTTCCTCCCTCCCTCCACCCTCTTCCTTCCCTCTCTCCCTCCCTCCCTTCTCCTCTTCCCTCCTGACTCTCTCCCTATCCCATCTCCCTCCCCCTCCTCCTTGCCTCCCTTCTGCCTCTCTCCTTCCCTCCCTCCCTCCCCTCTTCCTTCCCTCCCTTCTGCCTCTCTCCTTCACTCCCTCCCTCCCTCCTCCTTCCCTCCCTCCCTCCTGGCTGTCTCCTTCCCTCCCCCCTCTTCCTACCCTCCCTCCCCCTCTTCCCTCCCTCCTCTCTCTTTCCCTCTCTCCCTCCCTCCCACTCTTCCCTCCCTCCTTCCCCCCTCCCCTCCCTCCCTCCTGACTCTTTCCTTCTCTCCCTCCCTCCCACTCTTCCCTCCCTCCTTCCCCCCTCCCCTCCCTCCCTCCTGACTCTCCTTCTCTCCCTCCCTCCCACTCTTCCCTCCCTCCTTCCCCCCTCCCCTCCCTCCCTCCTGACTCTTTCCTTCTCTCCCTCCCTCCCACTCTTCCCTCCCTCCTTCCCCCTCCCCTCCCTCCCTCCTGACTCTCTCTTTCCCTCTCTCCCTCCCTCCCCCTCTTCCCTCCCTCCTGACTCTCTCCTTCCCTCTCTCCCTCCGTTCCCCCTCCTCCTTCCCTCCCTCCTCCTCTTCCTACCCTCCCTCCCCTTCTTCCCTCCCTCCTCTCTTTCCCTCTCTCCCTCCCTCCCACTCTTCCCTCCCTCCTTCCCCCCTCCCCTCCCTCCCTCTTGACTCTCTCTTTCCCTCTCTCCCTCCCTCCCACTCTTCCCTCCCTCCTTCCCCCTCTCCCCCTCCCACAAATACCACGTAAGCACCATCCATGCCTGGTCTGCAGACACCGCATGAGACCCAGTCCTCACTCTCATGGGCTTCCAGTGGGTCTGCTGCAGGACCCAGCAAGCACAGGGCAGTTGCAGGGGCCGCCCATAGTTGTGGGTGGGAAAGCACAGGGGCTGAGGCAGACAGTAGGTGCCCACCAGACAGGGTGCAGGGGGTGGGCAGTTCTTCAGGCAGCTGATGTGAAGGGGAAGAGGACGAGGATGTCCGCCTGAGTCCCCGCTCTGTGCCAAGCAGCATGCTGGCCACCTCCCCTGCGGTCTCTGAGCCTCACCCCCACGTGGACAGCCTCTGGGGTGGGTATTCTCACCCCTCTCTTCCCAGATGTGGAAATGAGGTTCAGAGAAGGAACCCAAATGGCCCAGATCACAGACTCAGCCCCAGACCCAGAACTTGACCTGCTGGGTCTGTCTGGCTACAGATAGGTCTGCTGTGCAGGCTGGGCATCTGAAGCTTAGGGTGGGGTGGGGGCAGAGCCCACCCACTTGGGTTGGGGCACTGAGCAGAGGGCCAGGGACAGTGCTGCACGGCGTGGGCAGGACGTAGGGGCAGAAGCGGGGCCTTCAGAGCCCAGGTCATGGGAGGTAAGTTGAAGCTCGAGGGAGGGCTAAGTTGCCGGGAAAAAGAAGTGAACCCTATTGAGGTGCCTGGCTGTCACACTGTGGATGCTACTCACATGTGGGGAGTGGAGCCCAGGGATTCTGCGGGACATCCTACAGTCACAGGACGGGCCCCCCACAGCAAGGGATGACCCGTCCCCCCCATGTCAGTGGTGCTGAGGTTGAGAAGCCCTGCTTTACAGGCCTGAAGCAGGCAGTCAGGGAGTAGGATCAGGACCAGTGTCCGCAGGGCTCGCCCCCAGGCAGGCAGGGGCATTGGGAGGTGGACAGACCAGAGCTGGACTCTTGCTGAGTGATTTCCCATCCTGGAGCCTTTTCCTCATCAGCAAACTGAAGGTGGGATACCTGCTGTCCAGCGTCGTGGGCAGGAAGCCCAGCCCCACAGATAGCTCGGTACCTGCGCGTGGGTAGTTGCCTGAGCACGGAGCTCACACCGCTCATCCATCGCAGTCTCCCGTCTGTCTGTTCCCCTCCCTCTCCCCACATCCAGGCCCGGCCCCCCGGCTGCGTCTGGCTGACGGCCCCCACGGGTGCGCCGGCCGCCTGGAGGTGTGGCACGGCGGGCGCTGGGGGACCGTGTGTGATGATGCCTGGGACCTGCGGGACGCCGCCGTGGCCTGCCGCGAGCTGGGCTGTGGGGGTGCGCTGGCCGCCCCCGGAGGCGCCTTCTTTGGGGAGGGCGCTGGACCCATCTTCCTGGACGACCTTCGGTGTCGGGGTAACGAGACAGCCCTGCGATTCTGCCCAGCACGGCCCTGGGGCCAGCATGACTGTCACCACAGGGAGGACGCTGGGGCTGTGTGTGATGGTGAGGACACAAGGGAGAGGCTGGGGGTGTGGGTGCGCTAGAGCCTCAAGTGGAGGCACAGGAAGTGGGGGGCTCCTGGGGTGTCCTGACCGCCCACTTGCCCCCATCCATGAAACCTCATTCTGCATCAGTGGTCCTGGGATGGAGGGTGTGGGGAGCTGTCCAGCATCACCGTGGTGGTGATCACCTCCCCCCACTCCAGGTATGCCTCTTGGATATGTCCCTCCCACGGCCCCGGCAGTGGACAGCAACGGCTCTTTGCCCAGGGAGGCAGCGTCCAGGCCTCTGGCCCCCACAGTGAGCCAGGCCCCAGGGACAGCAGGTGTCTCACCTCCTCCTGTCTCCCTCACTGTCCCTCGGGAGCCTGGACCAGAAGCTGGTGAGTCTGTTCTGCTCCCCGAGAAAACGGGGCCTTACCTACTGCTTCCTCCCCCGTAGTCAGCCCCCAGGCATCCTTTCTCCCTGCTCAGAGACTGTCTCATCCAGGGGAAAAAACGAGGGTGGGGGAGGGAACAGAGCCCCATGCCCAGAAGGGTCTGTGCTTGGTTGAATGTTCTGCTGGTGCCATCTTGAAATGCGTGATTTTGGGGAGGCGGTCTCCTCACAACCACCAAAAGGACTGGATCCACAATCGTTGTCATTTGTAAAACACAGGCCTTAGTATTATTCAGGTGCAGTGCGGCCAGCAGATCAAGACGGGACCGCCGCTGGAAAGATAGTGGGTTTCTAGCCCACGCGCTGCAGGGGCCACGCAGGGAAGCAGCGCGTCGGCCAGGAGGCAGAGGGCGCCAGGGGGACCCGCAGCAAGAGCCTGGGCCGTGGCTTCCGTGGGAAGGAGCAGGCAAGGCCGAGGAAGCAGGCTTAGGGTCGGCTCGCCTGGATCGTTTCCGCGAGCGGTGGGGCACAGGGGCTGCCCCTGGTTGTCGGGCACCTGGCCCTGGGCGGCTGAGGGCGGTGGACAGTGGCCCAGAGGGTGCGCGCCCCCCGGAGCAGGTGGGGGGTGGGCTCTGGATTGGCTGGCGTGCATACAAGAGGCACGCTCCGCTGGTTGCCTGTCTCTCGGAATTAGCTGTCCCTCGAGGGGCAGTCCCTGCAGGGTCAGCAAGGCCCCGAGAGGTCACAGCGTCAGAGACACAGACAGTGAGAGGCCTGGTTAGCACAGCTGACTCGCCAAGGGTGGGAGACTTGGTCTTGCTGGAGGCCTCTTTCCCCCTTTTCCTGTGGCACTCAGCGCTCGTGTGGCCGGTGCTGTCGCGACACGGTCTGCGTCTCCCTCGGTGACGCTAGCGGCCACGCAGGCCGTGGGTCCTGCCTGGCGTCCGTGTTTCAGAGGAGGCCACATGGCTGAAACACGGGTGAAAGCAACTTGCTCCAGAGCCCACCTTCTCTTTTTGGTTCACTGCAGTAAACTATACGTACCATGAAACTGACCACTGCAACTGTTCTTAAGTGTACATTTCAGTGGCATTAAATACACTCATAAGGTCGGGCAGCCACCACCATTCAGCTGTAGGACTCTGTCGCCCTCCCAGACTCCCCATTCCCCCTGCCCCAGCCACCCACCCTTCTACTTTCTGTCTCTATGAACTTGACTCCCCTAGGGACCTCATGCAGATGGAATCCTACAGTATTTGTGCTGATGTCCTCTAGGTTCGTCCATGCGGCGGGTGTCCGAATTCCCTTCCTTAGAAAGGCTGAATCCTATTCCATTTTGTGTGTATGCCTCCCTTGGCTGTCCCTCCATCCAGTCTAATTCTTTGGGTCTCTTCCAACCTAGGGTCCCCCCAGCTGCGCCTGGTGGCAGGGCCCAGCAGGTGTTCAGGTCGGCTGGAGGTGTGGCACAATGGGCGCTGGGGGACGGTGTGTGATGACAGCTGGGACCTGCGGGACTCAGCTGTGGTCTGCCGGGAGCTGGGCTGCGGCAGAGCTCGGCAGCAGGACCCTGCGGCTGGCCGCTTTGGCTGGGGGGCTGGCCCCATCTGGCTGGACGATGTGGGGTGCTTGGGGACCGAGGCCTCACTCTCAGACTGCCCCGCTGCGCCCTGGGGGAAGCACAACTGTGCTCACAATGAAGACGTTGGAGTCACCTGCACTGGTAAGGAGGCCCTGCCCACCTGGTGGCTCCTGGAGGGCTTCCTGGAAGAAGGGATAGGAATTAACATCTACACTAACATCTACTGAGTGCTGTCTCCTAAGCCCCCGCCCCGGGCTGGGTGTTCCCACACCTGTGACCGCACTCACGCCTCACAATTAGTACAAGCTGGTGGATGTTAGGCTCATTTTACTGAGGAAGCCGTGGCACAGAGAGGTTAAGTAACTTGCCCAAGGTCACACAGCAACTAAGTGGCAGAGTTGGGATTCTTTCTCCTCCCCAAGATAAAGGAGGTGAAAAGAGGGACACTGGGAGACGGAGAGAAGCCAAAGTGAGGGCCAGCTGCAGTAAGTGCAAGCGTTGTGTCTGTCTCGTTCGTTTGCTAACATTTATGGAGTGCCACTGAGCCAGGTGCTGGGGCCTCAGGATGCAACGATCACAGTCCCGGCCTTTGGGAAGCTCACAGCTCACTGATAGAAAGAGATGCACCAACAAATCACCGCAAACCCGTGTGACATGTTATCATTTGGGGGGGCCCAAGACCAGCCTCAGGTTCTATGATCTTCTAGAAGAACTCACAAAGAAATCAGAAGAGCTGTCAAAAACCAGTCAAGGCAGACGCACAGGGGCCGGTTCAGGGGAGACCTTCAGGGAGCTTCCAGCCGTTGTCCCAGGAGAGCCATGCAGACAGCACTTAGTTGTGCCAGCAGGGGCGAGTGACCACACACACGTGGCACTGCCAAGCAGGGATGCTCCCCTACCTCCGTGTGCAGTTTTTATAGGAGCTTGGTTACAAGCTATGGCTGCCTGCCAGCTGGCTGCCCATACGTCAATTGTTGGTACCGACTCTCTGGGTAGCCTCAGGAACCAGGGGCCAAGGGCCAAACCTTTCTTCGGGCACAGGTGACACGTTAGGGCACACAGGTGCCAATCAGAGAGATGTGACAACAGTGGTGACCCACAGGATGGAGTCACTGAAGCTAAAGCCACAGAGCCACAGAAGGGTTTTGAGCTGGGGAGTGACCCGCCAGACCTGGTACCACTCTGGTAACTGGTAAGAGCTGGACAGGGAGAAAGGGAGACGGTCAGAAGTTACAGGAAGTGATGCCATGGGTGGCCCCAAGATGAAGAGGAGAGGTCAGACGTGGGAAGGGCAGAGAGGATCAGTCACGTCACAACTGTAAAAGCCAAGGAGCAGGGGGTGGTGTTTCTGGCCAGGAGGTTTGTATCCCCAGCATCTGGCACAGTGCCTGGGTCATAGAAGATGCTTGATAAATGTTGGTGACATGCATGAGTGAATGAATAATGAACAAATGAATGGAAACTTGGTGATTGCAGAGATGAGAAAGAAGGAGAGATCTAAAAGACACCTTGTCATTATGGTATCCACCATCTTCCCTGTCCTCTCCTCCCACCTTCCAGACACCCCTGGCCTGGACTCCATCGCAGACCCCTTCAGTTGGAGCTGGATCCCTGGCCTGGGTAGAGATCCGGATGCCTGGCTCCCTGGAGAACTGGCCACCAAGCCCCCCGCAAAGCTGACCCCCAGTGTTCCCGAGAAAACCACCACCAAGGCCCCAGGGAAAATGCCCAAGAGTACTAAGAAGTGGGTGACCAAAAATGCAAGGAGACCGACCACTCAGCCCCCTGCGATGCCAACCACTAAACACTCCAGGGTCCTGGGCACCCAGAGGCCCCCTGACCTGACCTCACGTACCACTACAACCCTGACCACTGAAGCCTCCCAAAGAACAGTTTCTGAGTCTACTACCAAGTTGACCACTGAGGTTCCCCACAGGATGACCTCACATACTACTGCAACACGGACTCCCCGGGCCCCCCGAGAACGGACCGCTAAGACCGTGGCAACATCAACCACTCAAGGCCCCCGAGAAATGACCTCTGAGGCCACGGTGCAGCGAATCCCTCTGGCCTCCACGGAGCCATCCGCTGACACCCCAGCACAAGGTTCTCCAGAGTCTTCCAAAGACCCAGCCCCCTCCCCCACTGGGAGCACCGCTGGGGGATCAGGTGAGCGGAGGGAACATGAAGAGGTGAGGCTGACCCCTCTTGACCCCTCCTGACTTGGGGTCTTCTACCAGCAGGCCCGTTCCGGGTGCGTCTGGCCGATGGGCCCAACCGGTGTGCTGGCCGGCTGGAGGTGTGGCATGCTGGGCGCTGGGGGACAGTATGCGATGACAGCTGGGACCTGCGGGACAGTACCGTGGCCTGCTGGGAGCTGGGCTGTGGAAGGGTCCGGGCCCGAGTGGGCAAAACCCACTACGGCCCCGGGACCGGTCCCATCTGGCTGGATGACGTGGGCTGCAAGGGAATGGAGGCCTCGCTGAGTGACTGCCCTGCTAGGGCATGGGGCCAGCACAACTGTGACCACGAGGAAGACGTGGGCCTCACCTGCACTGGTACTGGGGATGGGGTGGGGGACCCAGAGTCACTCCAGCAGGTTCTGGAAGGGCAGTCTGGAGCAGCAGCAAGGACCTGAGACAGGGTGGGGCTCAACCCACGCCCCACTTTCTCCCAAGGCTACGCGGATGAGGATGATTATCCTCCCTGGACCTGGGATCCCACCTCGGGAGAGGACCTGGCCAAGGCGACCACCGCTGCAGGGGTACCTGGACACAGGCTCTCCTGGGGCACCACCAAGAGCCCAGGGGCCCCCTCCCCGGCGACAAGGCGTCTTCCGGACACAGGTGAGGTGCACGGCCAGGGTGCGGATGGGGCCCCCATCAGTTTGTGTGCGCCTCCCGGCAGGGCTCCCCAACAGACCCCGAAGTGAGCTGGCCTGGGTGTCGGAGATCACGGACAGGTTCTCCGCGGCTCTGGGGACCCTAAAACGTTCCCTCCTTGGGCTCTCCTCGAGAGCCTTGAAGAGGAGACCCCCGTGTGTCTCTGAGCATCAGACCAGGCTCAGCACGGCCTGACCTCACAGGCCTCCCGCAAACCAGCCGCGACACCTGAGACTGGGCCCCTCCATCCAGAGCCCCGAGACCCCCCAGCTGGCCGAGGTCACCACGCCATCCTGCAGCGCCCTAGAGCTTGGCCCGTGCGGCCGACCCGAGTGTCCTTTCACCCCTGCGGCCACACCCGGAGCCCGTGCGCCCCAGCCCACGTGCTCCATTGCCTGCTCTCGGGGGCTTCTCCGCGGCGTCTCCCAGGCCCCGCGCCCCTGCGCATGCGCACGTGCTCTCGCGGGCTTCGCAGCCGCTGCCGCCCGCCGTCCCTGCGCATGTGCATGTGTGCGCATGTGCATGTGTGCGCATGTGCATGTGTGCGCATGTGCATGTGTGCGCATGTGCATGTGTGCGCATGTGCATGTGTGCGCATGTGCATGTGTGCGCATGTGCATGTGTGCGCACGCGCGTCCGCGGCTCTTCCACCTCTCCCCCCCCCCCCCGCCCCGGTCTCGCTCTTCCCTTCCCCCGCTCCACGTCTCCATCGCTCTGCTGTTCTCCTGGCCTGCTAGTCTCTCCCCATCGCTCTCGTGTGCCTACATCCGGTGCACACTCCCCGCGTTCCTGTGTTCCCGCAGTCGATGCCTCCATCCTCCCCTGTTCTCGCTCTCTCCGCCTCCGCCGCCTCCGCCTCTGGGACCCACCGTTTCCCACGCCAGCGGCTCGGCCTTCCCCTGCGTGCCCTGCTGTCTGCCTGCCCCGCAGCCCGGCCACTCGTGCCTCCTGCCGCCCCTCCGTGCCTCGCACGCTGACTCCGACGCCTTCAGCTCACGGCTGTCCCCTCCCGCCCTGGCCCCGCCTTTTTCACTCCACCCAGCTTGCTGCCCCCTCCCTCCTTCTCCGGCTGGCTGCTCTCCCATCCCCCGAAGGCCCCACTTCTGCCTGTCGCCCCGCGCCCCTCTCCTTGTCTTCTCCTGAGGGACTCGTCGCTTCAGGAACGGGGCGCCCCGCCCCTCGGGCATTTTCCCGCCTTTTTCTGGCGCTCAGCACGCACGCGCACTCCGCTGTCCTCGGGACGAGGAGAGGGCCAATCCGCTTCACGCCCCGTGACGCCACAGGCGCGCTGCGCCTCCTGATTGGCCGGCAGGCCCACGCCCGCGGTAATAAAATCCGGTGAAGCGCCCCCTGGGCGTCCAGAGCGGCGACCTGTAGGCGAGGTTGGGCTCCTCGTGAGGGGAAACGGAAGGGAGGAGCGGGCCGAGGGGCCGCCGCGCTTTAGGGTGGGGGATCGGAGTTGTGAGGTAGGGCCGGTCCTGCGCAGCGTTACGAGGTGCTGCTCCCGGGTGCGTTGCGGCTGGGGTTCTAGAGCCTTCGTTCTCTGCAACCGGCGCAGACCCGTCTGTCCTCTAGCGCCCCCTCGTGGCGGAGACGGTCAGACGCGGGGCTGGAGTTCCTTCGGGGGGGGGGGGGGAGGCGACTCCGTGAGCTCGGAAGTGCAGAATGGCGAGCCGCTCAAGGGAAATCTCGGGGTAGTCCCAGATACAGTAATAAGGGGGCCAGATGGGGAGTGGGAGGGAGGACAGACATGAATTCCTATCCTCGCTGCAAGGTGACCCTGAAAATAGATGACTCCAGTTCTTTGAGCCTGTTTCTTCCTCTGGAAAAACAGTCCAGCCGAGCTAACTCCGTGCTGGGCACGCATGATTCCAACAACCGGGAGACCTAGGTCCCGTTAATGCCCGTGTTTCAGATGGGGAGAAAATTCGACTCAGAACTTAAACACAGGAGCCGCTGTTGAGGTCCATCTTACATGACTTCACACACATTTTGCTCATTGGGTTGGGAAAGATTACTGAATTACTGAGCTAATTATCAGCGAGTTGCTTAGTCCAGCTCTTCGGCTTCCAGTTGTGGCTCCACCAAGATGAGAACTAGCTGGGTGACCTCAGGTCCCAATCCCGTGAACAAAATGTGTGTGAAATAGTTTAAAACCACAGAACGTTGGTGGTTAGACTGATTTACCATAAATGAACAACAGCTGCAGGATCCCAGGGAAGGAGTTGTTATTTCTAGTGGAGCAATCAGGAAAAACCTTGCAGGGGAAGTGGTATTATCCAGTGGCAGACACCAGGAGGAAGGGAATTCTCAGAGGGGCAAAGGCTCTAGGTGAGAAACCGCATCGCCAGTAGGACATTGTCATCTCCCTGGACCCTTAGCTCCATCGCGCGTTTGCTAACTGTCAGAAGTCCTACAGGGCTCTCCCAGGGCTGACACCAAGGTGTGAACAGGGATGTGTTCCTTCCGGAGGCGCTAGGGGAGGAGAATCTGTTGCTGTACCTTTTCTGGCTTCTAGAAGCCCCACATTCCTTGGCTCGTGGCCCTTTCCTCCATGTTCAGAGCTAGCAATGTTGCACCTCTCTGACCTCTCTTCTGTCTTCACATCTTTCTCTGTCCTGATTTTAAGGATGTGTGTGATTGGATTGGGCCTACTTGGATTGATGCAAGATAATCTCTTCATCTCAAGGTCTGGACCTTTAATCACATCTGCACTATCCCTTTGCCACAAAAAGGTAACCTCTTCACAGGTTCTGGGGATTAGGGTACAGGCATCTTTGGGGGAGAATTATTCTGTCTACCATCGAATGTGTGCTGTAGAGACTCAGCAGAGACACATTTCTTGACGGAATTGTAACAGCTGAGGCTAGAGGCTTCAGAGGTTGAATTTTCACTTTCTAGTTCATTGAAGTAACATTTTTCGAGGCTTCTCGGAATTTGGAGACACAGACATTAACTCGTGTGTCAAATACCTGCCGTGTGACAGGCGTGACTACTAACCCCTGGGAACATAGCAGTGATGAGCAAGGGAAAGGGAGGCTGCGATTTGCGATTTGGAATAGGATGGCCGGGAGATGCCTTACTGAGAAAGTGCCCTTTAAATGATGACCTTCAGGAGGAGAGGGAGAAAGCCATGCAGATATCTGGTTGGAGAGTGTTTCATACAGAGGGAACAGTGCCTTCGAAGGCTTTGAGGTGGAAGTGTACTTAGCTGGTTCCAGAAACGGCAGCAAGGTCAGTGGGGCTGAAATGGCGTGGTTGATCGGAATGATGGCAGGAGATGAGATCTGTTCTGGGGAGCCCCGAGGGAGCTAAAGGTGCATTCCAGGCAGAGGGAGCAGCACATGCAAAGGCCCTGTGGTGAGATCTTGAGAGAATGGCAAAGATACCAGCATGGCTGAAGCAGAGTAAGCCAGGCAGGGTGAGAGTGATAGGAGAGGGCTAGACTCTGAGTTTTATTCTCTATGCAGCAAGAAGCCCTCAGTGGAGCGTTTTGAGCTAGGAAGGACATGGTCACATGTGCATTTTCAAAGCAGTCACCCAGGATGCTGCATGGGAAATGGATGGAGGAGCTAGAGTGCATACAGGGAGGCTGAGAGGTCTCTGGAAAGGTGACAGTGGTCTCTGCCGGGGTGGCAGTGGAGACTAAGAAGTGGATTATGTAAGCTATGTTTTGGGAGTTGAGCTGATGGATTTGAGTGATGGGTTGGGTAGGGTGTGTGAAGAGGGAGGTGGGAGATGGGGATCCACCTTTTACTGGATCAGGGACTACTGCAGCTGGATCCACAGGATCCACAGTGGGAATATTAGATCCATTGGTGATGCGTTTAACACACCCAAGTGGAGACATTAGATACGTAATACTAGAGCTCTGAGGAGTGCTTGGGCTGAAGATATAAATTGACAGGATGGGATTTGAAGCTGTGGGAATGGATGAAGCTGTGCAGACAGATAGCCTTGTCTAATGGACCTCCCACACTCAGCTTGGGAGGTGGGATGATTGATGGATTTGGGCTTTTGCTGTATGTTATGGCTGCATGAGGTCATGCAGAGGGAAGGGGATCCAAGAGTAAATGCAGGATTAAATTAAAATCAGAGGTTGGATGAAATCATAGCTAGTATTCATTGAATGTGCTCCACATGTCAGGGACCATCTACCAGCATCACATGGCTTAACTCACTTCCTCCCCCAAGGAACCTTATGAGATCAGTTCTATCCTTAACACCCTTCTACAGATAAGGAAACAGAGGTACAAAGAGGCCAGTACAGCAAAAGGCAGAGCTTCGATTCTAACTCCAGGATTTACACTCCTAACCACTCTAGCCATGGAGACGGGGAAGGAGCATATGACAGAATTAGCTCTGAAGAACCCAGAAAGCATAAAGCAGGGCATGACTTCATTGAGGGGGGGAGGGGAGTGGCCTTTGAATAAAATCTTGAAGGATGAATAGGGTAGGGTAAGACTCAGGAGATCTGCACCCCAAGGGAAAGAGGTCTCCATTTAGGACCAGGTACACCTGCAGGGGTCTGAAGCCTAGCACTGCTCCTTGGCTGTGTGACTTTGGGAAAGTTCCTTGCCCTCTCTGGGCTTCAGTTTGGTCATCTGTAGCAAAACGGCAGCTTCTCCACCCACCCTCTCCCCATGAGATGGCCAAAAATTAAAATGCCTGACAACATCAAGGATGTGGGATGAAGGTGGGCATGAGAATCTGCACCTATTTAGGAGGGCAGTTTAACAATATCTAGGGGGATGCATCTGCCTTCCACACAGCAGTTACACAATCAGGTATTGAGGAGTTCTCACTCATGAACCCAAGGACACAGATCTAAGGAATTCACTGCAGCCATATTTGTAACAGCAAAACATTGGCCACAGCCTAACCCCCTGTCAGCAGGGGTACAGAGGAATCAACAGTTGTGTATTCATACGACGGAATAGTATATGAAGGTTAAAAAGAAGGAGCTAGAGATAGATGAATTTAATTCAAAGAATAAGCTTATCACATGCCAGGTTTTGCGACCCCATGCAGTAGACCATCATGGTACCCATTTTACAGGTGAGGAAACTGAGTCATGGAGAAGTTCAATGACTTGCTCACCCAGCTAGGAAGGGACACACCCACAAACCAAGCTGCAAAAGGATGTATGCAGTATATATGTAGATGGGCAGAGTCTTCAACTTAGGAAGCTAAAGCATGGAGAAACAATATGGCATCAGAGAGTCCTTCAGGGAAGGAGTGTGATTGGGCCTCACAAGGACTGTAACTCTGGAATGCTGCTTCTTAAATTAAAAATGCATATTTTAATGAAAAAAATCAAATTGATCCCATGCTAACGGACCACGAGCAGGTGGCCATATCTTAGAGGACATTTCAAGAACACAGAGGCACAAGGAGTATGCCTGCAGTTGGTGGGCTGACATTTTAACGGAATTCAATTTATGTTCTCAGTGGAGTTCTCCTAAAACCCAGCATCTTGAAAAGAAATCTTCACCGCTAATGGTTTTTCTCTCATATTTTTTCCATTTTTAACTTTTTAATTAATAGTACTGCTAATGGTTTTTAAAATTCCTAATGAGTGTGACCGTCAGGTAGGATTTCACGGTTATCCTCTTAAGATATTTGACAGGCATGGGGAAGGTATTTAATTAAGAACGGTTAATAATAGGGAGACATGACCGAGGTATCTGCAATGCTGGTCATCAGGGTGAAAATTGACCCATGTTCTATTCGTGTGTAATGTATTAGCAGGTGACAGAGCAAGGGATTTCTGCAACTGGGACAGCTAGCTACAGAGCTCAAAGTGACCAGGACAAACATGCCTAATATGTCAGATACCATCCTTCTGCCTGGTTTCACATGCAGAGTGGGAAAATATCTGTGGTGGAGAAGGGAAAGGCAAAGGCTCAGAGGTGCACAGAGGCTAGATGTGAACACCTCAAGGTTTGGGGTCCAGGGTGAGCAGGAACACCATGTGGAAGGCGGCATGGTAAGAGGGGGTGCTGGAGAGGTGGGCAGGGGGCAGTTAATCAAGTGAAATGAGGAACATGGACTTTACAGTTGAACAATGTTGTGGATACACTCAAACCCACAGAATTGTACACGTTAAGGTATGTGAATTATATGTCAACAAAACTACTGTGTTTTTTAAATGATTTATTTATTTACCTGAGAGAGAGAAAAAGCATGCACGCACACATGCGAGGAAAGGGGAGAACCTCTAGCAGACTCTCTGAGTGCTGAGCATGGAGCCCCATGTGGGGCTGGATCTCACAAACCTGAGATCACAAGGTGAGCTGAAATTAAGAGTCAGACGCTTAACCAACTGAGCCACCCAGGCGCCCAACAAAGCTATTGTTAAAATAAGTTTTTTTTTTTAAGATTTTATTTATTTATTTATTAGAGAGCGAGCGAGAGAGAAACAGCATGAGAGGGGGGAGGGTCAGAGGGAGAAGCAGGCTCCCCGCCGAGCCGGGAGCCCAATGCGGGGCTCGATCCCGGGACTCCGGGATCATGACCTGAGCCGAAGGCAGTCGCTCAACCGACTGAGCCACCCAGGCGCCCAAAATAAGTTTTTTGATCCACCAAGCTAGAAGACTGAATTCAGTCTTTCTATTCTCCCTATATAAAATGATATACTTTACATTATATTTTACATTATACTTATAAAATGGTATATTTTTATTATTACAGAGCTGACCATTGAACAACACGGGGGCTAGGGGCACTGACCCACACGCAGTCAAAAATCTACATATAACATTTGACTCCCTCAAAACTTAACTACTAATAGCCTACTGTTGACTGATAACATAAACAACACATATTTTGTAAGTTATATATACACACATATATATTATATACTATATTTTTATAATAAAGTAAGCTACAGAAAAAAGTTACTAAAATCATAAGGAAGAGAAAATATATTTATAGTACCATACTGTATTTATGGAAAAAATCCACATGCAAGTGTTCCTGCATAGTTCAAACCTATGGTGTTCAAGGGTCTCTGTATATTATACATTTATATGTTATATAAAATTATTGTCATGTAGAGATTATCCAAGTGTATTCATCTAAAAACCATAGGGAAAATAATACAGAAATGTTCCTGGTGGTTCATTAATAAAGATATTATAGGGGTTTTTTTTCCCCCCGAGGGAAAAATAAAGAATGAGTAGGGGCAGGGACATCAGGACATTGACATAATAACTGTTCTTCTTTTATAAGCTGGTTTAGTCCAAGTTTCTGTTCTTGGTAGTTCAGAGCATCTCAGCTGAGTCACCAGGGTGGCTGTGAAGTCAGGGAGGAGATTGGGGTGGTGGTCTAGTTGAGACAGGATGAAGCCTGAGTTTGGGTCCAAGAGGAACAGAGGGTCAAAATCAAGCGAAGCGAGACTCAGTTCTCCCTATATCTCTCAAGGTGATGAGGATAGTTATGAGCCTTCCCGGACGTGGGATACACCTTCAGGAGGGGCTCTGCCCAAGGGGACACCCACCGCAGGCAGACCTGGATCCATTCTTACCACCACTATCACCCGGAGCCCAGGCCATTCCTCTCCAGCTCCAAGGATCCATGGGGTCACAGGTGAGGCATGTAGCTGTGGCAACCAGGTTGTTTGTGTTGTGGGGTAGAGAAATGGACTCCAAGTTCCCCAGTGGTGACCCCACTCTTACCCCAGAGACCCAAAAGAAATGTATCCTGAAACAAGGGGTTATTATCTACATCAGTGGCCCTCAACTGGGAATAATTGGCAATATCTGAAGATGTTTGGGATTGTCATGACTAAGAGTAGTGGGGCTACTAGAACCTAATGGGTAGAGGCCACAGATGTTGTTACATATCCTACTACGTACAGGACAGTCCCCCACAACAGAGAATCATCCAGCTCCAAATATCAACGATGCCCAGGTGGGGAAGCCCTAACCTATACTATGCAATTCACTCTGACAAATCAATAAAAAAATGACCCTATACGAGAATGGGTAACAGTTATGAATAGGTGATTCACAGAAGGGAAAGCCCAAATGGCCAACAAGTATATGTAGAAACATTCACACTCATAAGAAATCAGGATATTCAAATTAAAATGATGACAAGCATGGACAAAATTTGAAAGGTAGGTAATATCGAGTGTGGGTGAAGATGTGGGAATACAGACATCCCCACTGGATATAGCTATTTGATAAAGACAGTTTAGTGAGATTAAGTATGATTGTACATTGTGACCCAGCAATCCTCTTCCTGTATTCCAGAGAAATTCTTGAACAGGCTCCTAAGGGAAGCCTATGTGAGGGTTTTCTTTGGAATGTGATATCAGGGAGTTGGAGGCAGGTTACATGTCCCGCAGTGGGTAACAAGATAAGTGCAGTGGGTACACATGATGGAATCCCATGCAATAGCTAAAGCAATGACTAGCTACACACAGAGCAACATGGGGCGGTAGGAACAACATAATATGGAGGAAGACAGAAGCAGAATGAAATTTCCAATGATTTGCAAAAACTGAAAAGCACAAACACAAAAATACACATACACTTAATATATTAACATATATACATATGTGCCTTCTATATGGTATAAGATATTGTATAAGGACATATGTCAAATACATTAATGGAGGTAGCTGTGGGAGAAAGTGCAAGGGATGGAGATCGGGGAAGAAAAAGGAGAAGAAAGAAGAGACATTGCAGGACTGTTGATGACAATATACAGAGGAGTATGATTAGCTTAGCTCTCTGTACCTTGCGTCTGAAAAATTAAAAAGACCACTGTAGGCATCTGAACCCCTACAGTATTTAAGCAAGCTGAGATTCTTGAAATAATAACTAAACCAGTTAATATTTACTGAGCAATATACCATGTGTTGGGTACTATTCTAAGCACTTTACATATATTACCTCTTTAGCCCTCATAACATCTATAGGAGCCCTATGATGTAGGTATTAGAATTATGCCCATTTCACAGATGAGAGAAATTGAGGTATGGACATCAATGACTATGACAGTATTAATAATCACAAGAGTGCCTGTTACATGCTAGGCACTGTCCTAAGTCCCTGTACACACAGGAGCTCCCTGAATCATCACAGCTCTACAAGGGAGGTCCGTTGATCATCCACAAACTGAGATTCAAGGCAGTTAAATAACTTGTCCATGGTCACCCAGTTAGGAAGCGACAGGTCTGGGGTTTAAGCCCTGGCTGGAGGCCAAACCCTTTACTTAACCACTTCTCTACTGCAGTAAACAAATGGCAAGAACAGGATGCACATCAAAAATCCTACAGGAAAACTGGAATTCTCTAGAGCTGTATCGTTCAGTATGGTAGCTGTCAACACAGGTGGCTTTTTACTTTAAATGAATCAAAAATTTGAAAAATGAGGGCAACCCCCTCAGGTCCCCTCCCTCCTTGGGAGTTTTGTATTATCACTTTGCTAAGTCTCAATAAACCTTGCTTTACTGCCCACAAAAAAAAAAAAATTTTTTTTTTTAAATGAAACTTTCACTTCCTTAGTTGGACTAGCCACATTTCAAGTACTCGGTGGTCACATGTTATCATATCCATCACTGAGAGAGTGATTATTAATGACCTAGACTCTGAATGCAAAGGACTTTGCTTCATATCTTGTCCCCACAATTTGCGAACTGTATCCGTGAGACCTATGGCAAGTTACCTACCCTCTTGGCCTGACTCCCCTCATCTGCAAAAAGGGATAAAATTCTCATTTACCTGGAAGCTGAGCCAGGAAGGGGGTGAGGCTTCTCACTCTACTCAGGCCCTAAATGTAAGGGGCTGCCAAAACACTCAGTTACCAAGGTAAATAGTATCTTTATAGTTTTAAAAATAAAAATTAATGTAAAACATTCACAATGAACTAAATATCAAAAATTTAACTAAAGGCAGGATCCCATCTACCTCACTTGACTTGCCCTAATCCTGGCCCCGTCAGATTCTGTCGGGGTAAAATTTTGACTTTTTTGTTCACAGTGGATCTCTTGCAGTAATTTTGTTTAAAAATGTGACATAAAAATCTTGACTACTGAGATTACGCTCAGAACGCTCTTGCATCCCCCCTCATGCTTCTGCACCTTCTGGCATCTCCCACATTCCTCCCCCCATGTGCCCCCTCATCCCCTCTGCCCTTCAGCCCCTCCTGCATCCCCAGGTAAGCCTCCACATCCCCCACACTCCCGCATTTTCCCGCATGCTTCCACAACCCCCTTCTGCCCCCCACGTTTCCGCCCCGGCCCGCCTTCCGCGGTACCCCTCACCTCCCTCGCGCTCCCTCACCCGCGGTGGAGGACGCCAGGTGGCGCCTGGAGACACCACAGGTGGCGGGGAGGTGGGGCGCTAGGGCGGGGTGAAGTCTGCTGGCAACCCATGATGTCACAAGGCCCTGCGCTCTCCCGTTGGTCGGCTCCTCCCTGGAGGGGCGGGGCGGGCCACGGGGTGGGCGGGGCAAGCTGACCTCGGCCATCTGTCTTTCCTCCTCCTCCAGGTTCCCTGAGGAAACCGTGGCCCGAGCGTCGGCTGCAGCGTCCCACGGCGGCCAGGACGGCGCCCCCTGCCCCTTCCCCAGTTCCCTCGGCCTCACCAGAGCCCCCTGGCCCACCGGTGACCCCCGACTCCGCGCCACGGCTTATTCCCGAGACAGCTTCAGCGCGGGAGGTGACCTCTGACCCTCCTGGCACTTTGCCACCCAGCCCAGACCTGGCCTCCCGGATGAGCTCTGACCTCACCTTGACAACCCCTGGCCTCAGTCTGGCCACCTCTGAGGCCGCTGTGATTCCAGCGCTGACACCTGATCTCTCACCCACCCTACCACCCACCTTGCCCAGAGAGCTGACCTCTGACCCCTCTGCACCAGCCGCGGTGACCCACCTTTTTTCTACCTCGGAGTTGACTCCAGAATCCGACACAACCCCAGACTTGGACACAGCTCCATACGCCAACACAGTTCCAGATCATTCCAGATCCCCAGACCCTCCCACAAGCCCCCACCCCACTAGCACCCCTCACTCCACCTTGACCTCTCACCCCTCCATGACCTCTCAACCCATGACCACCCCTCACTCCACCACGACCCCACAACTCACCACGACCCCCCAACCCCCCACACCCCCCCAACCCCCCACACCCCCTCAACCCACCACAACCCCACAACCCCCCACACCCCCTCAACCCACCACAACCCCACAACCCCCCACACCCCCTCAACCCACCACATCCCCTCCTCCTACCACAGCCCTTTACCTCACCACAACCCCTCACCCCACCATGACCCCTCGGTCCACCACACCCCCTCAGTCCACCGCCGCTCAACCCACCACAACCCCTCACCCTATCACAACCCCTTACCCTGCCACGACCCCTCACCCCACCGTGACCCTTCATTCTACCACCTCTACTCGCCCCGCCATGACGGCCGACCCTACCTCAACCCCTGTGATCACTATCAAGTCCATTCCAACTTCCTTGGGAACAGAACTCTTCTCTCCCGCTCCAGCACCAACAGTCAAGCCCAGCCTACAGCCCTGGTCGACCTCCACGGGCTCCTCCCGTCTCCCTACATCCCAGATGTTGAGCCTAGCGCCTTTTCCAGCCTCAGAGCCCAGCCACTCCAGGCCTTCTCCAGCCCCAAGCATGGACACACTGTCCACTCAGGGCTTTGAGCCACCAAGAAGCCAGAGCCCCAAACCAAGCCTACCACCCACCCAGACCCCACACTCAGGCCCTGACCCTACTGTGACCTCTGACCTCCACCTGTCTTCCATGGCCCACCCCTTGGCCCAACCTCTCCCCGACCATCTCACCCCAAAGCCAACTCCTTGTCAGAGCCCAGACCCCCTTGGCCCATGTGTGGCGCTGCCACCACCTGTAAGGGTCATGGCTTGTGAGCCACCTGCCCTGGTGGAGCTGGTGGCTGCTGTGAGGGACGTGGGTGGCCAGCTGCAGAGGCTGAGCCTGGTCCTGGAACAGGAACTGCAGCAACGCCAAGCCCTGGGCCTGGGGCTGACCCAGCTGGTGGAGGCCACCCGGAACCTCGGGCAGCTGGGTGAGGTGGTAAAAAGACTTGCTGAGGGGGCCTGGCCCCCCAGCACATCTGCACCAACCACCACCACCCCCGAGGAGGAAGAAAGGCCTCGGAGGGGGGACGTGTGACCCTGTATGGGATTTGAGGGGCTAAGACACACCCACACAAAAAATGAAAACCAAAGTACCTAATTAAAAACAAAATATCAGCGACATCTGTGGGGACCTAGGGGGAACTCCAGAGAGATGGAATCACAAGATTGGTCTTGATCCGTCAATCCCACAGGCAGCAGGCACGGCAATGGTGTTTCTGGTGATGGCGTTGGTGATAATGGGCGATGAGCATGATGGTCGTTGTGACCGTGGCAGACGTATGGTGGTGAGCTTTACAACGGCAGTGATGGTGGTGACGGTCATGGCGACAACGATGATGGTGATGGAAGTGAGGTTGGCCGTGACCATGGCGGTGATGATGATGAAGGTGGGCATGGGCATGAGTGTGACGACTTAGTGATGAAGATCATGATGGAGATGGGGGTGCTGAAGATGCCACCATGGCACTGACGAAGCCCCGTGGTGGGAGGAATCTCTGTCTTGTTCGCAGACGTATGCCCAGCTCTCCGAACAGAGCCTGACGCAGAGTGCACAGTCCTTAAATACCTCTTGAATGAATGAGTGCATGATAATAATAATAATGACTAATATTTGTTGGGTACTTCTTTTGGGTCAGGCTCTGTTTTAAGGGCTTCGAGTGCATAAGGTCACTTTATCTTCATGAACACCTGCTGGGGAGGGTACTGTTACCACAGCTCAGCAGAGAGGAGTGAGCTTTGGAGCCTGAACGCCTGAGTTTGCTTGTGGCCGTGAACCTGAGCCAGTTACCTAACTTCTTGGTCTGAGTTTTCCCGACCATGAAAGGGGGATAATAAGTACATACCTCATGGGTTGCTGTGCCGATTAACTGATAAATTAATGCATATGTAGGCGCGCTTAGCACAGGGCCTGGCTCTCGATAAGTGCTCGTTCTGTGCCAGTTGTTATTGTATTTATCCCCATTTTACAGGGCACTGAGGCCCCAGGTCACTCAGGGAAGATCTAGTGGAGCCATGATTGGTGCCCAGGCCTGTCTGACCCAGGGTCCTTGCTCATAAGTCAGACTATCCTGGACTCGAGACCATGTCCAGGCGGTGGGACTCTGGGGTTTTGTTTCCTTTCTCTGAACCTTCTCATCGGGTACACGGGGAGAGAAATAGCACCTGCCTCTGGGGAGGTGGTGGTGGTCATGAGGATTAGATGAGGTAGTGTGGGCGAGGACAGAGCTCGGCATATCATGTGCTCAGTTAACAAGAAGGATCGTGATCCCTTCCTGACTGCGCTTCTCTGCGCGTGACCCAGTGTGGCCTCTTAACACACTACATCCCATCCTCACCACAGCCCTTTAAGGGAGGAACTTGATCCCCATTTCAGAAAGGACACTGAAGCTCAGAGAGGGCAAGCGCCTTGCCTCAGGCCACACAGCAGAGTGGGAACTCAAACGAGATGCAAATTCCCCTGCTTTGACCTTGGCCTGGGCTTCCAGGTTAGGACTCCCATGACGGGCCCCTCTCTGAGTGACCTTGGGTGGGCCCTTCCCCTCTCCTGTAAACTTGTAAACTGGGGGCTGTCTTGAAAGACTGAAAGAAGTTCCGATTCTGGTTTCTGTAGCCTCAGACAGGAGGAGACCGTTCCCTCCTCCTCCTCTCCCCCGTCTGGAGCCTGGCTCAGAGGTCCTGGAAGGTCATGGAGCTGGCGCCCCCACAGTCCTGCAAAGGCCAGCAGGGTCCAGTTACTCGTTGGGGGTGGGGAGGGATAATGCCCGGGGGTCCTGATAGATAGACTGACTGCCCCCGCCAACAGGCAGAGGAACACACAGAGAATTCTGTTCCCCGGGTTTCATTAAGCCCCAGACTTAAATAACTGCTGACTGGAAAACGGGGAGGGCCGAGGGGGCCCTGCCGGCCTGCCCCTTGCCCTCCTGGGCGGTCAGGGGCTCAGAGGACGGCACGCCAACCTGGAGGCAAAGGGCCTACTTCCCCATTTGTGGTTGGGAGCAGGTGCACCCCAACTCTGGGTCCCCTCAGAGGGCCCCACTAGGAGTTTAGGCTCCAGGCCCCCATCTGTGAGCCGGACTTGGTGGGGAGGCTGTTGGGCACTCTGGCCCCAGGTCCCTCCACCCTCTGCTGCCTTCTGCCAGCCCCACAGAAGCGGGTGCTTAATTATCCGGTCACTCTATCCCTGCTTGGCCAGGCAGCTAAGCCCAAACATCTGGCCCCAGGGCCCAGGGCCAGGGTGGACGGCCAGCCCCCACCTACTGCTGGCCCTGACCTGGATACCTCCTACGGGACAGCTGAGCCCTATCCTGTGCCTGCCAGCTTGCAACAAGCCCAGAACAGCAGCTACAGAGGCCTAGTGAGCTTGACTGATGCAGAAAAAAAAAAACATTTGACAAAACTCAGCACCCATTCATGGTTGACGCACACACGCACACGCACGCTCCTAGCAGAGTAGGAGCAGGGGGGGCTTCCTTAGTCACAGGAAGGGTGGGAAGAAAGACACAGATCTGTCCTTTCCCATGGGCGGTATGACTGTCCACGTAGGAAAGCCCAAAGCATCCAGTGGACAAATGGTTAGAGTTAGTAAGAGTCTAGCTAGGACGCAAGATCAGTACTCTACAATTGTGTCCCTTGCACCAGCAGGTGTGACCCATGCCCTGAAAGCATGGGCCTCACCAGCACCCCCTCAGACCCCTCCCCCCCCCGTCGGAATCCGCGTTTTAACAAGGTGGCCGGTGATTTGCGGCCAGCAGCTGTCACGACTGAGAAGAGCTGCTCGGTCCATTTGCATTATCTGTGTCCTAGACTGAACTGCAGAACTCCCACCCCGGGCTTGTTCATAGAGGCCTTGCCGGGCTGGCCCCCTCCGGCCCCGGGCAGGCTCTTTCCCCGCTGCAAGCAGAGTGCAGGTGGGGTGCAGCCGGGTTGGTTTAACGCCCTGCCCATGTTCTTCTTCGTGATTCTTGATTCTGTGTTTTCTAAGTGAAGCCGATGGGACCGGAGCCCGGAGTTCATGCACAGTCACTTCCCTGCTGGGTTCTGGTGGCTGGATGCCCCATCCCCAGTGAGGGTCGGCCAGGGAGTAGCTCCATGCCCCAGGCCGAGGCCAGGGAGTGGCATCAACAGCAAAGGGCAGAGGGGGCGGGGAAGGAAAAACTTCTGTTGAAGCAAGAAACCCCACATTTTCACTTTGCGCTGGACACCCACGTGGTCCTGCTTGCAAGCTTGGGGCTTCCCAGCTGGGGGGAGCAGTTCTTCCTTGATGACCACCAGCCCTGGCACACTTTAGAGGTGCTGGGCTGGGGTGAAGAGCAAAGACTCTGGAACCAGGCCAGAGCTGGGTTTGAATTCAGGCTCTAACACCTTTAGACTTGTTGGTCTTCGGAAAGTAGGTTCCTCCCCGTTGGGGCCTCATGGTCTTTTCTGTAAAATGGAGGGAGGGGTAGGGAGTGGGTCCTGTGTTTAAGGTCTTGGTTTTGATTAATTCAGAGCTATTAGAAGAAGGGCAGGGTTTTCTCTTTTCTCTTTGATGGGAATTCAGGGGCCCCGAGAAGGAAAGAAGCTGATCAAGGCATGAGAACCTTGGACATGCTTGTTTTGTGCTTTTTTAGCCTCATTGAGATGAAATCTACATGCCATAAAATTCACCCTTTTCCCGTGTACAATTCAGTGGTTTTTAATATATTCAGAGTTGTGCAACATTCACCGCAATCTAATTTTAGAATGGCTCCACCACCATCGCCACCCCCAAGAAGAAAATGTGTGCCCCTTAGCAGCCATTCCCCATCTCCCCCCGCCAGCCCCACCCCCCGGCAGCCAGCAATCTTTCCTCTGTGGATTTGCCTATTCTGGACATTTTCATAATGGGGTCCTGCAATGGCCCATCTTCCAGAGCTGGCCTCTTTCTCTTCCCATGGTGTTTGTGAGGTCCACCCGCGACGTGGCATGTGTTAGGGCTTCATTCCTTTCCATGGCTGAGTAGTAGTCCAGGGTCTGGTTGGACCACCTCGTGTTTCTCAGCTCAGCTGCTGATGGACATTTGGGTTGTCAGCACGGTTTGGCTATTGTGAGTAATGTCGCTGTGAATATCTGTATGGATACATGCTTCCGTTACTCATGGGCACAGACCGAGGAGCGGAATTGCCCGGCCACATGGTAATTCTGTGTCTAACGAGCTGATGAACTGCCAGGCAGTCTCCCACAATGGCGGCACCATTGTTTACACTCTCTCTGCACCGCATGGGGGTTCTAGCCTCTCCACGTCCTCACTAGCACGTGTCAGTGGGTCTGGAGGCTTCTGCGACCTGCCCCCACCTTCTATCCCCATGGTTTACCTGCCCCAACGCCTGTGTCCTCCCAGGGAGGGATGACCACCTCATGACCCCTCATGCACACTCACCTTGCACATTCACACATACACGGATACCTACACGCACCCCCTCACATGCACCCCAGCCCCCCACGTGGGACCCCTTCAGCCACTGATGGCCGCGGGACACCCTAAAGTTGAAGACCGTGGACCCCGGGCAGGACCCAGTCTGGGTCCGACTCCTGGCTCTGCTCCTGCCCCTGGCCCACGGTGGGCGCTCAGGTGCTACCTTGGCCACCCACGCTGCCCTTCGGGCCCCCACCCGTGAAATGAGGAGGATCCCACCAAGTGAGCAGATTTTTCTGCCAGGGGGGCTGGTCGAGGAGCAAGCTGCTTTGTTAATGTTAAGTATTATGATTAGTATTAAGTCTTACCTAATTAAGTAACTAATACTTGATTAGCACTGCCCCTGCCCCCTTCAGGCCCTGCCTGGGAATTTTTGTCTTCCTGCCCTGCCCTGGGGCCCCCCACTGGGTCATTATCACCTCCCAGTTAATCTTCAGCTGCTGCCACCAATTAACACCCTCTGCAGCTTCCCCTGCCCCTGCCCATCTCCACTCCCCTCTTTCCCAGCTCCACCCTGCCCCAGCCACCTCCAGCTTTTTTGGGACACACTCTTGGCCTGATGGCTTGGGATAGTTCACATTCACAGATAAGATGGCAGGAGGTCCTGATCATGCTCTCCCCCTTATGTACCTCCCTATCTTGTTCTCTCCAGCGATTCCCTACTCCAGGAAGCTCACCTGGATTGCCCAGGACAGGGGCCAGTGTCGCTAGTGCTCTGACTTGAACTAGATTCAAGTGTCTTTGGGGTCACTCCACAGGTGCTGTTAGCAACCCCCCTCCCCAGTCTAGGCAACACCTAGGAGGCCACAGCAGGGGCCCTGGGCGGGGCGGGGGGGTGTGGTAGGGGCCTGGGAGAGAGTGACACACGATCCAGCTCTGAGTTGTAGCCTTGCTCTGGGCGGGTGGCCAAAGAAGGCGAGGAGAGGAAGACAGAGTGTTTGCAAACAGGGCAGCTGCCAAGAAGGGGCCGGGGTGGCGGGGGAAGAAGGTGTGAAGGAGAGAGGGGCCCAGCTGGTGACTGGCAGTGGCGCCTGGGTGACTTTTCTCCTCCTGCTACACACACGCGCACTCAAGGTCTCGTGGACACGCAGACACGGGCCTGATGTCCACACACACAGAGCCAGGCGCACGCAAGCTTCCGTCCTGTCCCCTCACACACAGGCTCCAACGCTCGGACACACGAAACACAGTCACGTCACCGTGTCTCCCCCACGGGCCATGACTTGTGCACACCCACGGGCCCAGACGCTCACGGACACACACATCTGCAGAAACTCCCGCCCCAGTCCAGCAGGAGCGCCCGAGCCCGGACAGCTCTGGTGCTCGGGGCCCCTGCTCGCACGCAGGCCCGTGCAGAGACAGGCTCACACGGTCCCGACATGCACACCGAGGCCAGCCTCGGGCACGCGGCACGGCCACACCACGGGACCGTGTTCTGCCGCTCTGTCTCTCTGTCTGCCTGTCCGTCCCTCGCTCCGTCTCTCTGCCTGACAACACGCTGTCCAGTCTTCCCCAAGGGGACAGACCAGCAGCATCATGGAGACCTAAGTGCTGGATGAAGCTGGGTGAGAGAAGAGAGGGCACATTATCGAGAGGCGACAGCCTGGCGCGTCGTGGGCAGAAGCCACGGGGCCGAGGGAGTGAGTGAGACCCAGCCGGGGGGAGAGACAGGGCCGGAAGACAGGGACACGGAGGCGGTGGCACAGAACCAGACGGGGGCATTTATTGAGCAAACATCTTTGGCCAGGACGGCTCCGGCTACGCGGGGCACCTCGCAGGACCCCTCGCAGGACGGGCGGGACCCCCCCAGCAGGACACGCAGAAGAGCCACACTGACCCCAGCAGACAGCTTGCAGGGGATGAGCGTCCCAGAGGGGAGGGAGCGGGGGGTGGGGCGGGGAGGTGGTAGGAACACGGGGCGGGGGGCCTCGCGCCGGGGGCAGGGGGCCTCGCGCCGAGGGCAGGCCTCGCTGAGCAGGGCAGCGGAAGCACCCAGGGTGTGCGGGAGCCGAGGGTAGGAGCCACAAGCCCGCGGGCAAGGGGAGCAAAGGTGCCAGAGCCCTGGGGAAGACGGGGACGGTGGGACAGACCGGTGGCTGTCTCAGCGATGCCCCCCACCCCCGGCCACAGGAGGGACACAGAATGCCCACGTGGGAGGTAAGGAAGGCAGAAAGGGGAAAACAGGCAAGAGAGAAGCCAAAAGCCACCACAAGAAGGCAGAGGTGACCTCAGGATGTGGGGCCCACCTGGTTCCCTTTCCGAGTCTCTGCAGGCAAGGTGGGCTCGGGCTGTCCCCCCTCCTCTCCAACCTGCTCTCCGTCCCCCTCCTCTACCTCTTCAGCTTCCTCCTCCTGCTGCCTCCAGGGACGCCCCAGGTAGCCCCGGACGGAGCTCACCGGGCTCCTCTTCCGGGGGTGAGGGTCCAGCAGCCCCCACAGGAGACTGTCGGCCACAGGCGTCAGGCCGAACCAGGGCTGAGGACGGTCCTCGGGCTGGCCCGACGCCTGCCAGATGAGGAAGTCCTCGTAGAAGGGGTCGGCCTCGGCCAGGGGTTGGTCCCAGGGGAAGTAGCCGGTGAGAAGGCAGAAGAGCAGGACCCCCAGTGCCCAAGCGTCCAGGGCAGGTTGGATGGGCAGGCCCTCAGGGAGGGGCGGGGGGCCGCAGAGCTCGGGGGCCGTGTAAGGGATGGGCGGCCCAGCCAGGCGCAACAGTGTCCCACGGGGCCTCGTGTGGCCGAAGTCGGTCAGCTTGACCCACTGGCAGGCCGGGTCGCACACCAGCACGTTCTCGGGCTTGATGTCCCGGTACACCAGGCCACGGGAGTGGATGTGCTCCAGGGCCGAGGCCAGCTGGGCCGCACAGCGCTGGACTGCCCGCCGCGGGAGGCCCACCTGCGGGGGATTGACGTCAGGGCCTCCTGCCCCTCCCTGGACAGCCGGCAGGGACCTGAGGCCATGCAGCAGCTCCTCAGTCCCAGGGGGGCCCAGGACACTGAAGGACCTCCAACAGACCTGCCACGGGGAGGCCCAGCGTGACCCTGTGAGGCCCAGCGTGACCCCGTGAGGTCCAGCGAGGCCCAGTGTGACCCCGTGAGGCACTGTGAGGCCCAGCGTGACCCCGTGAGGTCCAGTGAGGCCCAGTGTGACCCCGTGAGGCACTGTGAGGCCCAGCGTGACCCCGTGAGGTCCAGTGAGGCCCAGTGTGACCCCGTGAGGCACTGTGAGGCCCAGTGTGACCCTGTGAGGTCCAGTGAGGCCCAGTGTGACCCCGTGAGGTCCAGTGAGGCCCAGTGTGACCCCGTGAGGCCCTGTGAGCCCTGGGGAGGTCTAATGTGACCCCCTAGAGGCCTGGGGTGAGTCCACGGGGGCAGGTGAATCTCACTCGGGCACGGTGTTGGTTCTGTGGTGTCTGTGAACTCCGGAGAGGCCCAGGGAGGGGCCCTCGGGGGCCTGCTCGGGGCCCACCTACCCACCTTGGGCTGGATGAAGGTGATGAGGTCCCCATACAGGACGGGCTCCGTCAGGAAGCTGTAGGAGTCGGCTGACTCGATGCCAATGCCGTAGGCCGTGACTATGGCTGAATGCGTGCCCAGAGAGAGGCCCACGCAGAACTCGTACAGGAAGCCACGGAGAGAGGTGGAGGCCTTTGGGAGTTGCTTCAGTGCCAGGGTGGTGCCTGGGGGCAGTGGGGACAGGTGTGGAGCGAGTGTGAGAGCCGCGCCCCCGCCCCGCCCCAGCCCTGACTCTTTCCCACACGCCATCGCCCCCTCCTGCAAACCCTGCCTCCCCGCCACGCCACCCTAAACGCAGCGTGGCCACGGAAACGCTGTCAGTGGTGATTAATAATAACAACAGTGCAGCATTCGGTGAGTTTCTGCTCTGCTGCGCTGGAGCAGATGTTGGGGGCCCCTTGGGAAACTGAACTCGGAACTTCAAATGCCCTCCTTCCGGCAAACCAATGCCCAAAAGCCACAGTGGATGCAGAAAAGATGCCCTGCCCGGGAGACTCCGTCCCGCTGAGGAGGAGTCATTATGCATAGTGACCTGGAGGGTAAGTCCCCTGGAGGCGGGAGCTCTGGCTTCTTCCCCTGCATAGTCACCCGCTGCCAGGACCCCAACTCCCCCACCAGGAGCCCGTGAGTGATGGAGAAAGGTCACCTCCTGGCCTCACACGCTGACCACGCTCCTTCCGTTCCCCAGCTGGATGCTGCAGGGCCTTTCCTAAGCATCTGGGAAGCCCTGGACTCCCACCATGACTGCACAGGCCGCCGTCTGTCTTGATGGCGTCCGTCCGTCTGTGCCGTGAGCGCTCGGCCCCAGCACCTCCCGGCCCAGGCGCCGGGCATCCAGAAGGTGGAAAGAAGCACGGCCCCTGGGCCCCCGTTATGGCTTGTGCCTCCAGTTTGGTGATGACCCCCACCTGGACCTCTTGCTCTTTGCATCTGTCTCTGACGTGGGCTGAACTGTGCACCCGCCCTCCCCGAACCCAGAGGTGGAAGTCCCCACTCCGGTTTCACAGAATAGAACTGTTATCTGGGGACAGAGTCTTGAAAGAGGTAAAGTGCGGTCACGAGGGTGGGCCCTCGCCCACTGTGACTGGTGTCCTTAGAGAAGGAGGAAATGGACACAGACACGCAGGTGTGGACACACGGGGGGAGCCCCGCCCACACCCGGGGGGGGGGACTTCGGCCTCCAGAGGCGTGAGAAAACGAACCCCCAGTCTGCGGTGCTTTGCTGTGGCTGCCCCAGGCATGCTCGCACCCTCTCTCCCTGCGCAGGCCGGAGCTGCTCCGTGAAGGCAGGCCTCATGGGCTCAGCGCTGGGGTCCAAGCACCAAGCACAGAGGACAGGGCCGAGCCCCCCAGGTGGCCTTGCTAGGCGTGTCCCCGGACTGACACTGACTCTGAGTTCCATCCACACTGTGCCGGTCTCAGGGGACGGACAGAGGATGTGTGCTCGCCTGGCAGGAAAGTGCCAGACTGGGGGTGGGGGACGCACTGTGCTCTGGGCTTGCGGAGGGTCCGGCACACGGTGTGACTCCAAATCACCCCCGTGGTGACCGCTAAGCCAGCCACAGGGGAGGACCCTGTCTGCCCCCCTTTCTCACCAGCAAGAGCCATCGACCTATGCTCACAGAATCACCCACATTTTCGAAGGAGGAGGCCGAGGCTCAGAGAGGGTAGGGGAGGTTCCAAGAACACACAGCCTGGAAGGGGCAGAGGCGGCACTTGATTCCTGTTACAGACTCCCCGGCCTTGACTGGCACCCGTCTTGGCCCATTCCACCAGCCCCTGACCCTCCTGCATCTGTTTCCGGGCCTTGGTACCTTTCTGACGATGGGTGACCAGCAGGACCCGGCCGAAGCGGCCCTGGCCCAGGGGACGCACTTGCTGGTAAAGCTCATCCACCTCGGCTTGGACCAGGGTTTGGGCACTTAGCGCCATCATGTCCTCTAGCTCCAGGGCTGCCTCCTGGCCCTGCCGGAGCTCCTCTGCCGTGAGGCCCCCTAGGTCCTCCTCAGCTACGTTTTCGGCAGCCCCCGCCTCCTGTTCCTCATCTGACTGTCTGCCAGGCATCTCTGCAGGACGGAGCAGAGACAGTGACCCAGGGCCCAGGTCGCGCTAGACCCGGGTCTGAGGGAGAACAGGCTGGGGGCCTGGACCCCTGGGTCTGAGGGAGGAGGGGCTGGGGGCCTGGACTCCTGGGTCTGAGGGAGGAGGGGCTGGGGGCCTGGACCCCTGGGTCTGAGGGAGGACGGGCTGGGGGCTCATTGGCACTTTCCATTGTGACTCAGTCTCCCGCTTCGTTATGGCATCTGAGGAGTGGGGAGACCAGTTGCTGGTTGGGGTGAGGTCAAGCCTAAGGTCACAGATGTCTCTTGCCCCCACCCCCACATCCTGGCGCCACCCAATGGCCCAAGGGTGAAAGATGAACCAGATAACTCGAGACACCCCCCACCTTGTTTCCAAAGCAAACAGACTTGGGCCCTGGGGGTGGATGAGTAGCCTCTTTCTCCTAAGAGCAAACAGGTGCTCTCTGCCTCCAGGGGCTGGTGAGGGCGGCTGCGCACACCAGGGCCTTGGGGGACGCCTGGGACCTGGATGGGAACAAGCACTTGGAAGGTCAAGTCCTTGAGACGCCTGGGGTCCAACTCCTACAGCCTCAGCCCCTCCTCCCTCAGACCCAGGAGTCCAGGCCCCCAGCCTCCTCCTCCCTCAGACCCAGGAGCCCAGGCCCTCAGCCTCCTCCTCCCCCAGACCCAGGAGTCCAGACCCCCAGCCGTTCCTCCCTCAGACCCAGGATTCCCCCCTCCCAGCCCTCCTCCCTCAGACCCGGGAGTCCAGGCCCCCAGCCCCCTCCTCCCTCAGATCCAGGAGTTCAGACCCCCCGCCCCTCCTCCCTCAGACCCAGGAGTCCAGCCCCCCAGCCGTTCCTCCCTCAGACCCGGGAGTCCAGGCCCCCAGCCCCCTCCTCCCTCAGATCCAGGAGTCCAGACCCCCCGCCCCTCCTCCCTCAGACCCAGGAGTCCAGCCCCCCAGCCGTTCCTCCCTCAGACCCAGGAGTCCAGGCCTCCAGGCCCCCAGCCCCTCCTCCCTCAGACCCAGGAGTCCAGGCCCCCAGCCGTTCCTCCCTCAGACCCAGGATTCCCCCCCCCAGCCCTCCTCCCTCAGACCCAGGAGTCCAGGCCCCCAGCCCCTCCTCCCTCAGACCAGGAGTCTGGACTGCCAGCCCACCCCTCTCCTGGAACCTTATACAACTCACACATCTTATGACTCCCAGACTCTGTTTCCCTAACACTCAACCACTCTACAGCCTCAAAGTTCAGCCCCTGACCCTCTGAGGGACCCAGGACTTCGGCCGGCCGGCCGTGCGGCTTCACTATCAGGTGCTGCCCACCTCAGGCTGTTTAACCCTTGCCTCCTCCTGACCTGGGCGCCGACCTCCAAACCTCACCTTCTCCAAAGCTTGCTTGACCCTTCGCTGCCTGCTGTGCTCAGTGCCCAGCACTAGATCCCATGCCAGCAGAGGCTTGCCCAGGAGCAGACCCCGCCCCCACCTAGGGGGTCGTAAGCCCCGCCCCTGGACCCGCCCCTTCAACCCACTAGGGCCAGAGCGACATCGTGTGTTGACTCCTAGAACTGCCCGCGCCAGAAATCTGTCCCAGACCCAGGCCCCAGAGCCCCCTCCACACTCAAACCCAGGAGTCCAGGCCCCCCAGCCCCTCCTCCCTCAGACCCAGGAGTCCAGGCCCCCAGCCCCTCCTCCCTCAGACCCAGGAGCCCAGGCCCTCAGCCCCCTCCTCCCTCAGACCTGGAAGTCCAGACCCCCAGCCGTTCCTCCCTCAGACCCAGGAGTCCAGGCCCCCAGTCCCTCCTCCCTCAGACCCAGGAGTCCAGGCCCCCAGCCCCCTCCTCCCTCAGACCCAGGTGTCCAGGCCCCCCAGATCCTCCTCCCTCAGACCCAGGAGTCCAGGCCCCCAGCCCCCTCCTCCCTCAGACCCAGGTGTTCAGGCCCGCAGCCCTTCCTCCCTCAGACCCAGGGGTCCAGGCCCCCAGCCCCCTCCTCCCTCAGACCCGGGAGTCCAGGCCCCCCAGATCCTCCTCCCTCAGACCCAGGAGTCCAGGCCCCCAGCCTCTCCTCCCTCAGACCCGGGAGCCCAGGCTCCCAGCCCCCTCCTCCCTCAGACCTGGAAGTCCAGACCCCCAGCCGTTCCTCCCTCAGACCCAGGAGTCCAGGCCCCCAGCCCCTCCTCCCTCTGACCCAGGAGTCGGGGCCCCTGTGGAGGATGAAATCATTTTTCTAGTTTGGCCCTGCCTTGACCCCACCCAGCTGCCCCATCAATGCCCCATTGACAGGTCAGACACAAGTGTTTGGTGAGGGGTGTCCAGGGGATGGGACACTGGGGTCCTTTTTGGGGAAAGGATGAGACAACCAGATTCCAGAACGATGCAGTGAGAGATGATCTCAGACTTGGGGCTGAGGGAAAGCAGGTGGTGGAGCCCCTGGGAGGAGCGGGGAGGGGAAGTCCTCGTTCTGAGTCTGCAGACTTCAACTTTGGTGGGGGTGCTAGGCAGGAACTCCTGGGCCTGATGGAGGAAGGGCTGGGGGCGTGGGATGCCACATCCCCTCCTCCGGTTTGCAGCAAGATGACCACTGTGAACTCCCTTAATTTTTTTAAACCTTTTATTTCGGAACAGTTTTAGATTTCCAGAACAGCTGTAAGCATTGTGCCCAGAGCTGCCGGGCGTCCCCAGCTCCCCACCAGGTTGGTATCTCACGCAGCCAATAGCCAAGGACACATCTGTCCAAACCAAGAAATCATCCGTCCGGTGCGAGGCCCTGCCTGTCTCAGCAGTGCTTCCGCCGACAACCTTGTGCTGGCCCCAGGGTCCGACCCAGGACACCCCACTGCGCTTCGTGAACCCACTCTTTTGAGTCTAGAAAGCACGCCGGACGGATTCCCCGGGAGAGGGGAGCAGTTCCCCGTTCCTGAGCCTGAGCTGGGTACCGGGACGCGTCCGACGCTCGTGCTCGCGCCCCTGCCCTGCAGGTGGGAAGCATCAGCACCGGGCGCGCGCTGGAGAGGCGTGGGGCGCACGGGCCGGCCCAGGTGGAGGCAAGCTCATCCCAGCCAGCCTCAGCTGTCAGCACGGAGCCCGCGGCCCACAGAGCTGGGACGGGCCGGTAGGGAGCTGGCACGGCGGGGGGAGCAGAACGGAAAGGATGTCCTAACGAGAAAAACCACGTCCGTCCGTCCCGGGCAGCCCAAACAGGTGAGGCTGAAAAAGACGCGAGCCCTAGATCGCCCGGATGTAGGTTCCCCATGAGACTGGAGGGAGCTTGGAGGCACCGAGCTGTGAGGAAGGTGTTCTCAGGGGAGGACTCAGGGTGTGCAGAGGGCCCGCGGCAGGAAAGTGCGTGTGTGTGTGTGTGTGCAAGGATTGAGGTTCAGACAGGATGAGTGACTTCCCCAGTGTCACCCGGAGCCCAGGGCAATGGAAGACGTAGCGGGTGAGGTTTCCATGCTGTTGGATCCTGAAAGCTCAGATGTAGTACCATGGATGGTGAGAGTCAACCAGGTCTCCGTGGGGTGAGCGGCCCCGTCAGAATCCACGAGAGGCACTCAGCGTGTCCCCACACTGCAGAAATATGTCTATAGGGAAGCGGTGCCTTCCTCCGAGAAGACCCATTCAGGACAGAAGGAAGAGGGAGGGTCCTTGAGAGAGGAGGGGGCTGGGGGCCTGGACTCCCAGTCTGAGGGAGGAGGGGCTGGGTGTTGGACTCCCAGGTCCTCAGTTGAGAGGGGAATTGTGCAGCCCAGTCCAGCGCTCAGCAGGGAGAGATGCAGTGTGTCCCGTCTCTGTCCTCCCGGAAGCAGCTGTCTCCATCCAGGTGGCCGGGGGGGGGGGGGGGTGCTGGGGGAGGGGCCTTTGGCCCAGGCTCTGACCACCTGTCTCAGTGACCTGGTCAGGGAGCTCCCCCATCTGTCCCCATCCTCTTGCCATCTTTGTCATCCTCGTCTTCTTCATCCGTCCACTCCTCCAGGCTAGCTCCTCGCTCTTCCTCCTCCTCCCCATCTTCACTAGACATGCCCCCCAAGCCCCCAGGTCCCTCTCTGTTCCTCTCTAACCCCCAGTCATCCCCCAAGAAGTCCAGGACAACCAGTGGGGGGCTCCTAGTGTCGGGATCCAGGTCTAGGAGCCCCTGGAGCAATGCCAGGGCTGGGGGTGCAAACTGGTCCCAAGGTGGGGGTGGCTGTGGGGGTTGGGGCCTGGTGGTCATCCAGCCAGCAAAGGCCTCAAACTCAGGGTCAGGGGCTAGTGCCACGTCCCAAGGGAAGCAGGCAGTGGCAATGCAGAAGAGAAGCACCCCCAGGCCCCAGGAGTCCATTGCGGGCCGCAGGGGCAGGCTGTCCGGTGGCAGCAGAAGGCAGAGCTCGGGTGGGGCCGAGGGCAGTGGCCCCGGTGGGGCCGAGGTTGGACTGCCTTCAGGCCGGGTCAGCCCCAAGTCACCTAAGGCCACACGGCTGCAGACGGGGTCAAAGACCAGCACATTGTCTGGTTTGACATCTGCATGGACCAGCCCCCGGCCATGGAGGAAGTCCAGGGCTCCGGCCAGCTGGGCCATGACCCGCTTCACCAGCAGCTCTGGGAGGCCCTGGGGTCAAGGAGAGATGAAGGTCAGGGTGCCTTGGCTCCTTCTTTATTTGGTTTCTTGGAGTTCAAGAATTCAGAACCTCAGACCAGTGGCTACCTCTAGTGTCCACCAGCACCTTCTTCAGATTATCCTCAGCCACACCGGGCTACAACCTCTGTGCTCCAGCCCCCAGTATGTTGTCACTGACTGAACCAGAAGCTCTTTTCACTTCCACCAAGCTTTCTCCTAACCCTAACACTCAAACCTCCTCCTTATATTTCTTATCTCCTCTAGCCTGACCACCCAGATCTCCAGTGGGACCCCAAATCTCATACTGAATCCTAGTCTTAGTTCCTACTAATTTAGATGGTGTTTCTAATTCAGACACCATTCTGAAGTCATTTTTCTTCATCACTGGATTGGTAAATCTATCCATCCATCTAGCCAGCAATCCATCTGTCAAACCACTCATCCATTCGACAGTCTACACAGCAGGGTTTCTGCTTAACTTCCATTCCACCAGTCAGCAATCCAATAATGTATTCAATTACTTAATATCCAAAATCCATCCATTCATTCTTCCTTGCTTCCTTCCATTTATCTACCATCCATTTATCCATCCATCTATCCACCCACCAATCAATCCATCCATCTTTTTGTCCATCCACCATCCACCCATCCACCCATCTTTCTATCCATCCATCCATCTATCCACCCATCCACCCATCAGTCCATCTTTTCATTCATCCACCATCCACCCATCTTTCCGTCCATCTATCCATCCACCAACCCATCAATCCACCCATCTTTTCATCCATCCACCCGTCTTTCCATCCATCCGTCCATCTCTCTATCCATTCATCTGTCTCCCTCCCTTCTTTCTTTCCTTCTGCTTATCTCCAACCCTATCTCAAATCCAAAATCTATTCCTAAAGATGGCTCCACCCTAATCTTCAAACTCATGTACCCCCAGAATCTCATGGATTCAGTCCTGACCTGGTCTCCTCACCAGAGAGAACCTCACTACAACTGATCTCCAACTCATTCTGTATACACATCCTCAACCATCCCTGTCTCACTCTGAGACCCCATCCATGCTTTTCACACCCATTACCAGTCTATTATCAACCCACCCAACTCCACCCACTCCCACACTCCCAATCCCAGTGCTAATTAAATCCCACCCCAATCTCATTCCCAACCCAACCGCATCCCCTTGCCCATGCAAACTCGTGCTAGGAATGGCTGGGTGGATTAGGTTAGGGTTAGATGTGGGATTGCACCGAGAGTTAGAAATAAGGAGGGTGTCTGGGGGATTAGGGCAGAGCTAGGTTGAGCACTGATCTGGGTGTCAGGATTGGAGATAGAAATGGGTTAGGGACAGAGTTATACATGGGATAAGCAGTTCTGACCTTTTTTCCCCACCCGCCTCACCCGTTCCTTCAGCATCCCGCTGAGGTCCCCATAAGGCGCATACTCCTGGGTGAAGGCAAAGTGTCGGGGGGTTTGCAGGGGTCCTGCCAGGGTCTGCAGTAAGCCTGGGTGTGATGAGACACAGCGGCCCACACAGAACTCTCTCAGGAAGGTGGTTCTCAGGACCGAGTCCCGACGAAGAAGCTTCAGAGCCACAGCGGGACCTGCCAGGGAGAGGGGTGCAGAAGGGAGCTCAGGGAGCTCTGATCTTGCTGTGGTGCTGCTTAACCTCTCTGAACCATGGGTGTTTCATGTGTAAAACGAGAGTGGCAGGGCATAGCATCCGTCCTCTCTCTGCTTCCAGTTTGTCTTTGTGTGCAGTAGGGGTTGACGGTGACCTTCCCTGAGGACTCCCTATTCTGCTGTGTGGCCTTGCACGACTGCTTTACCCTCTCTGAGCCTCAGTTTTCTTTTTTTTTTATTAAGATTTTATTTATTTATTAGAGAGAGAGAAGGAGAGACAGTGAGAGAGTACAGGAAGGGAGGAGAGGGAGAAGCAGGCTCCCCACTGAGCAGGGAGCCCGATGCGGGGCTCGATCCCAGGACCCTGGGATCATGACCTGAGCAGAAGGCAGACGCTTAACTGACTGAGCCACCCAGGCACCCGAGCCTCAGTTTTCTCTTGAATCAAGTAGGGGACATGGTGACTGGGGCTCCAATCCAAATTACACTCCTGCCTTGCTGTGTGACCTCAGGCAAGTTCCCCTTCTTTGGGTTAGCTCTGTTTATTGGAAGATCAAAGAGCTCTTAACTTTCTGAGAGCCCCCATCAAGGGTTCCCATCATCTCCTGGGGATGCTCCTTGTCTCAGTGGCTTCTGAGAACCCTATTCTGGAGTGTGCCCTTCGATGGCCAAACTCACCTCCTTGGCGAGGCCGGGCAAGGAGTACGCGGCCATAGGAGCCCGAGCCGAGCTCTCGGATGAGGCGGTACAGGACACGCAGATTCCTCACTGGGGTCACCCTGGTGGCTGTCAGCTCCACGAGCCGTTGGAGGGCAGTAGCTGTGTCCTCCTGTCAGAGAGGAGCAGAGGTGGGGAAGGAGTGAGTCTGGGGCGCACTGAGAGCAGTGGGGGGAACTGGAGGTCCAGCCCAGGGCTGAGGTGGGGTGCCAGGGTGATGGGGTCATTGTCCCCAGGGAGGAGGATGAGTCACAATGACTCACCGGCCTTGGGCCACCTGTTCTTTTGTCCTGGCAGGGTTAGGGGTGATTGTCTCAGAGACCCTGCCCACCACCATCATTGGGAACCACCAAAAGCCCCCAGCCCTGGCTGGGACTGCATCCTCAGCTTACACAACCCCCACTGCGCCCATCTCTCTCTCCATCCTCCCCCTGTGCTTTCCGTTTTTTGTTTCTGAGTCTATTGCCCTGGCGGCCTCGGTCTTGCTTTGTGTCCTCAGGTTTGTGTTATTCTGGGTCTCTGCTGTTTCTCTGTTTCCCTGTCTCTTCCATCTCTCTGTGTGTTTGTCCACTGTCCCTCTTCGTGTCTGTCTCTGACTCTGTTTTTCTGCATCTCTCTCTCTCTCTCTCCCGTCTCTCACCTCTGGGTCCCCATCCTCATGGTTCTCGGGCTCCCTGAGCTCCATGTTGGAGTTCCCTGGCGTCAGCTGGACCTTGTGTGAGCAAGCACGCCTTGCCTGGGTCACCCGCGTCCCACCGCACCCCGCAGGTCCTTGCCCTATAGAGCCACGCTCTAGAGTCCGCCTGAAAGGGTCTGCCTCGGTCTCCCTCTGCCTGTCTGAGTCGGAGGATTTCTCTGCCGTCCTCTGCCGGACTCCTGCCTCCTTGTCAACCCGGGTCTCCGTGTGTCCGTCTGTACTATCCTGCTGATCTCTGTGCTCCGTCTCACACCTCCCTCCCCTCTCTGACCTCACAGTATCTTTGCTTCTGTGTGATTATCTGTCTCCCAGTCTCTCTCTCCCCACCAGCCTCCCTGTCCCAGCTCTCGGATCTCCAGGTGGGTCTCCCTATCCTGTCTCTTGTCCCCACACTCTCCCCACTGTGGTCACCACTGTCTATCCTTCAGGATATCCCACACTTTCACTCTTTCTCTGTTCTCCTGCTCGGCCATGCTCTGGCCTGCTCTCCCCAGTGTCTGTCTGTCTCCCTCCTCCCGTCTTTGTTCCTGACTCTCTCTCATAGCCTTTGTCCCTCCCTTTCTCTGGGCCTGGGACAGGGGTGTGTGTGACAACTCAGAGACATCCTGTCCCCCCACACCCCTCCCTCACCCCCTCTGACCCGCTGCCCCCCTCCCTCCCCCTTCCAAACTTAGACCAGCTTGGACTCTGGGCTCTGGTCCCAGGACAGAGGGGACAAAACATATTGTGAACCCCCAAGGGCCAGGCCTGACGGCAGTGAGAAAAGAGGAAACAGGGCCCCTTCACATACCTTTCTTGGGATGGGTGACCCAGAGCTCCATGCTTTCTGCCTTCCTCCATGGGATGGGAGTCTGGCCTCTAGGAACCAGGGAAACTGTTCCCAAAGCCCTGTTCTTTAATACCAAGTCCCCACCCCCAGCCCCCTCCTCCCTCAGACCCAGGAGTCCAGCCCCCCAGCCCCTCCTCCCTCAGACCCAGGAGTCCAGACCCCCAGCCCCCTCCTCCCTCAGACCCTGGAGTCCAGGCCCTCACCTCCCTCTTCCCTCAGACCCAGGAGTCCAGCCTCACACCTCACTCCTCCCTCAGATCCAGGAGTCCAGACCCCCCAGCCCCCTCCTCCCTCAGACCCGGGAGTCCAGGCCCCCAGCCCCCTCCTCCCCCAGACCCAGGAGTCCAGACCCCAGCCCCTCCTCCCCCAGACCCAGGAGTCCAGACCCCCAGCCCCTCCTCCCTCAGAACCAGGAGTCCAGACCCCAGTCCCTCCTCCCTCAGACCCAGGGGTTCAGGGCCCCAGCCCCCTCCTCCCTCAGGCCCAGGAGCTCTAATAGCCAGGAGAAGCACTGGGGGAAGGGCTTCTTTCATGTTCTCAGCACTTGCCCTGAGCCTGGTTCTGGGCAGGGGCTGGGGTAGGGCTTTACCCTGGATCCTCGCAGCTATCCAGAAAGGGTGGAGATTTATCCCCAGTTTACAGAGCAGGAAACTGAGGTTGTGAGCTGGGACCGCCTTACACAAGGTCAGAGTGGGAGGAGGTGTCTGGTGGGATCCGAGCCAGGTCGGAGTGACTCACAGCCCTGAGTTCTGCCCAGCTTGGGTTTACTACTACTACAACCTGCTATTAATAAAGTCACAACCACGACGCTACTCAGACTCTGGAAGGATCCCCAGGAAACTGGCTAGGACTTTGCCCCTGGGAACCCAGGCCGGGGGTGGGGCAGTGGCAGAGAACTTCCTTTGCTCTTTGATTTTCGGGGGGTTTGATGGTGAAAAGCTCTGCAAACGTGCACAAGAGTCAAAAGGACCCCACAGTGACCACCCTCCAGGGCACTGACCAGACCTCACAGGTTGACTTTTTCCAATACTCGCTGTATCTCTGTTTTCTGTGGGGGAATGAAGTATTTCAAAGTAAATTACAGTCTACCGAAATCTTTCTGGGTGAAATGGTATGCTGCCTGGTGCCTGCTTTCAGATACTCCAGCAGGAGAAAAATCCAAGACTGTGTGCGGGTGGGGGGTGGGGGGGTGGGGGGGTGCGGGGACAGGAGCGGCATTCGCCTCGCAAAATGTGAGTGAGGGGATTCCTTTTACTCTTTATTTTTGGCTATGCTGGACATTTTTCCTCATAAAAAGCTAAATGTTGTCAAATACACTACAGACAGCACGAGAAATTATTGCTACCCTGGGGTCTACATCTCTCTGAAAGGATCATTTCCAGCTCAACTGCAATGCAATTATCAATTGCATCTAGCGACATTAACAGTAATTCCGGAAAACCGGCTGATACCCAGTCCTGTTCTGTGCACCCCAATTTGTCCAAATAAACCCTCTGTTGCTGCTGTAGTTGGGTCAGTGATCGATGTCAACACACAGCTTCGGGGGAACTTTTCATTGTTGTGCCTTTTGTACTATTTGATTTTTTGTTGTTGTTGTTGCCCCGCATGTGTTACCTATTCAAAAACCAGAACTACAATGAAGAAATGCAATGATGACTATTTACTCAATGCTTCTCAGATGCCAGATGCCAGGCCTTGGCTTTCTTTAATTAAGGTGGAATCCTCCCTATAAGCCCTGGACGAGTAGAATGATGGTTTCCAATTTACTGATGGGGAAACTGAGGCATGGAGCAGCAGAGGCATTGGCCAGCAGACAATGAGAGGCAAAGACAGAGGGTCTGGGGCCTCCAGGCCGCTCTCTGTCCCCTGCCCAGGCAGCTTGAGGGAGGCAGACCCCTGGTGTGTGACTAGAGCTGAATTCTTCCACTGGGGACGTGGGGCCGGATGTGTGCGTGCAAGGGGCCTGCAGGGACTGCAGAACAGCTGCTACTCTGGAGCCAGAAGGTCAGGCTGCAGAGCCACCTGGGTCTGCTGGGCAGGGGGGTTGGGGAATGCTGCAGGCCTCTGGCCCTCCCCGGCCCCTGAGAGGCTCACTGATGATCCAGGGAGCTTTGCACCTCCCCATTTAGCAACGCCACCCCACAGGGTCACCCGGAGTGACCTGAAGAGGGCAGGTGTGGGCAGGCTGGGCGGCTCCAGCCCTGGCCCCAAGGTGCACACAGCCCTCATTTAAGTTGGCCTCTAGGCCTCATGCCCATCCCCTCCTGCGTCTCCTGTCCACCCGTCCCCATGGGCTCTTGCCGTGACTATCCTAGTTTAGGCCCTCCTGGCCCAGGGTGTGCTCTCCCTCAAGTGTCCAACTGCCCCCATACCTCAGTTTCCTCCTTATGAGATGGGAGTACCTGCAGGTTCTACCCAGAGCATTATAATATGTTATGTATTGTATATAATATAATAATAAATGTAATATACGTTACCTTGTATATAATTATATATAATATATACCATCTTATATATAGTAGAGTATATATAGTATATGTTATATATCTTTAAAATTATTTTTCTAAGATTTTTCAATTTATTTGTGAGAGAGAGCATGAGCAGGGGGAGCATCAGAGGGAGAAGGAGAAGCAGGCTCTCCGCTGAGCAGGGAGCCCGATGTGGGGCTTGATCCCAGGACCCTGGGATCATGACCTGAGGCGAAGACAGATGCTTAACTGACTGAGCCACCCAGGCGCCCCTGTAATATACATATTTTAAAGGTTTTATTTTTAAGTAATCTCTACACCCAATATGGGGCTTGAACTCATGACCCCAAGATCAAGAGCCACACGCTCCACCAACTGAGCCCGCTGGGCACCCCTATTATTTATATATATTTTTTCCAAATAACTTTAATGAATAAAATATATATGGAAAGATCACAGAAAAAATTGAGTTAGACTTCAAAGACTGTGCACTTGACAACCCACTTGCCCTCGCACCCCCAAAAAAAGATCAATAGAGGGCGCCTGGGTGGCTCAGTTGGTTAAGCGACTGCCTTCGGCTCAGGTCATGATCCTGGAGTCCCGGGATCGAGTCCCGCATCGGGCTCCCTGCTTGGCAGGGAGCCTGCTTCTCCCTCTGACCTTCCCCCCCTCATGTGCTGTCTTTCATTCTCTCTCAAATGAATAAATAAGATCTTTAAAAAAAAAAATTGGATGCTTAGGGTGCCTGGGTGGCTCAGACGCAGGAGCCTGCTTCTCCCTCTGACCCTCCCCCCTCTCATGTGCTCTCTCTCTCTCATTCTCTCTGTCTCAAATAAATAAATAAAATCTTTAAAAAAAATAGTATTTGCTACATACGCATAAACCATAGCTGCTCTAGAGGATCACCATGCATGCGGTTAAATGTTGTATAAATAGTATGTGACCCTCTGCAGCTGGCTTTTGTCCTCACAAGCTCCACCCTGTGTTTGTGAGCTTCATCTGTGCCGTTACATGGAGTTCAGGTTCGTCCCTTTGCAGAGATGTTGCGTATTCTAGCCTGTGAACCTGCTCTGTTCTATGGATCCATTCTTCTGATGACCAACACTTTATGTTTCTCCCATCTTGCGCTCTTACAAGCAGGGATGCAAAGAATATTCTCACACGGGCTGCCCTGGGCTAAGGGGCTCACTCTGGTGCTGCCCCCTCTCCAAGGGGCTTCTATCTGGCATTGACCTTTCATGGTCATTTTTTGAGTTCGTAGGCCCCTCTGAGAATCTGAAGAAAGCCACAGAGACTTGCGCTAATACAGACGCCAGCAGCCACGTGTGGTTCTTAAGCACCTGAAACTGGCTGGTCCAAATTAAGAACTCCCGTGAGTGTAAAACAGACCACGAGTTTCAAAGACTTAGCATGAAAAAGAGAATGTAAACTGTCTCACTGATGACTTTTGTACTAATTACATGATGCCATGATAATGTCTTGGATATAGAGTCAATTCATTACTCATGGATTTCGTATTTGCAAACGCGCCTACCCACGAAAAGTTCCCCGTGGTCCTCAAATCAACATCATGGCACTCTGGTGGGCATGCGCGGTGGCCGCACATGGGGACCCTCTGCCTCGTTCCACCTGTCACCCCGTACACAAGCATCCTTCTGGCAGCCTGGCTAGTGCCGCATTTTTCGCAGTATTGTGCTTTTTTGTTGGTGACTTTGTGGTTAGAAAGCGGCCCCCGAGCGCAAGAAGGTGTGATGTGTCTTACGGAGAAATATCTGTGTCAGGTAGGCTTCCTTCGAGCACGAGTTACGGAGCCGTGGGCCCTGAGTTCAGTGTGAGCGAGTCAGCAGTATATATTAAGTAAGGTGTCTTTATTTATTTATTTATTTATTTTTAAAGATTTTATTTATTTATTTGAGACAGAGAGAATGAGAGAGAGCACGAGAGGGAGGAGGGTCAGAGGGAGAAGCAGACCCCCCGCCGAGCAGGGAGCCCGATGCGGGACTCGATCCCGGGACTCCAGGCTCATGACCTGAGCCGAAGGCAGTCGCTTAACCGACTGAGCCACCCAGGGGCCCAAGTTAGGTGTCTTTAAACAGAACACACGTGAAACAAGGTTATGGATTGACCGGTTAATGAGAATCCTGTGACAAAGGCTGATAGGAACCCAAGCCCGTCCTTCCCCCAGGGACTGTGGTTCCATATTCATTGATTCAGCATTCACTATAACTTTATAGACCATAACCACCATAAATAAGGAGAATCCAGTGTACTGAGCGACTGGAATAAGGAAGATACACTGCATTGAACCAAATAAAGCATCAAAATTATTTTCACCTAGTTCCTTTTTTACTTTTGGAAAAATGGAAACACGATTTGGCAGACAGCATCCAGGGGGACCGACCCCGCTGGATCTCTCTAGAAGTCTAGAGACCACGGGTTAAGAATGACCGCCTCGCCCATGCCCACTGGGCTGCAGGTCAAGGTCCCTCACATATGTGGACCATAACCCCACCTTCCTCCTGGCCTCCGGTGTCTCTCCGTAGAGTGTCCCACCCACCACCCCAAAAGCATCTAACACTCAGAGACAACACATGTCCGTCCCTCTCCTCAATAGCCTCCCATGGCTCCCTATTACCCCTGGGATAGAGTCCAAGCTCCCCAGCCTGGCCTCTGAGCCCTTCTGGAGCTCATGCTCTTTCCATCTTATCTGCCGCCCCGCCCTATCTCACCCGACACCCCAGTCACACGGAAGGACTCACAGTTCCCAGGAGTACACTGGATTCTCTCTCCCTCTCCTCGGGAAATGTGTGTGGGACGAGACTGACGGATGGCCGGAGTGCGTTTGTAATGGCTTTGTAAATCCCGCATGATTAACGGTAATTATAGCTAGCATTTACTGAACTCTGTGTATTACCAACCCCTGTGCTAATCCTCACAGCAGCCGGGAAAGGTAGGTCCTATTATTAGCTCCGTTTCATAGTTGAGGGAAGGGAGACTCGCAGAGATTAAATCTCTTGCTCTATGTCCTGCTAGGGGTCAACGGCACAGTAGGACATGTCATGCACCCCCTCCCCCAGCCTCTCCGGTGTGGGTAGACGTCTGCAGGCCCGGAGCTAGGGACAGATGTGTGTCAAGGTTGCTGACTTTGCTCGTTTCCATTCAAATTCAACACACATTTCCTGGGGCCTGTGAGTTGGAGCCAGGACCAGCAGATAGGTTCTGTCCCCGCTGGGAGGAGTCTAGAAGGTGCCATGCACAAGGATGCAAGCAATCAAAAACAAGGTGTCACCTTTCTAATGGAGGTGACAAAGTGGGGTCCAGAGGGGACTCTGAAAGGGCTTGACAGGGATGACGGGTGGGGGAGAAAGAGGCCCCCAAGCAGAGGCCTGTCCTATCTGGGATTCAAGTTAAGACATTGGTTGAAGAGCTCTGGAGTTACGGAGCAGGATTGCCAGTTCTGGGGATAGAGGGAAGGCAATGAGGGCAACAGTCCCTGCCCTCAGAGGCCCATCTGCAGAGACCAGAAGGGGACGGGTGGTTGCCCAAGGCCTGGAGGGCATGGGGTGCTGTGGGGTGATGCGTCAGGGGGTCCTTTCTGGGGCGACAGGAGCATTCTAAAGTTCATCATGGTGACAGTCACACGGCCCTGCGACCACACCGAAGGTCATCGGCTGGTACACTTTAAAGAGATGAATGGTGTGCTAGGAGAAGCCTATCTCCATGAAGCTATAAAAAAAGGTCCCCGCTCTGGTGGCGCTGACATTCTAGCGAGGCTGCAGAGAACGTGACAGAGCGTTAACACCCCCTCTGCCTCTGGATAACAGAGCGATTTTCAGCAACAATCATGGAATAACCAGCAGCATCGTTTTCTTGGTTTGGGGAGCTTCCTTCTTTCCTTCCTCCTTCCTTCCTTCCTTCCTTCCTTCCTTCCTTCCTTCCTTCCTTCCTTCCTTCCTTCCTTCTTCCTTCCTTCCTTTTTCCTTCCTTCTTCCTTCCTTCCTTTTTCCTTCCTTCCTCCTTCCTTCCTTCCTTCCTTCCTTCCTTCCTTCCTTCCTTCCTTCCATAAACTTGAGTTTTTAGAGCAGTTTTAGGTTCACGGCAAAATTGAGAGGAAGATACAGATTTCCCATAGACTCTCTGCCCCCACACATGAACGTCCCCCCTCCCCCATTACCAGCGTCCCCCACCAGAGGGTACGTTTGTCACGGTTGCTGACCCACATTGACTCCATATTTTTAAATTTAAATCCAATTAATTAACATATAGTGCGTTATTAGTTTCAGAGGTAGACAGAAAGTCTATAGTTTACATTAGGGTTCGCTCTTGGCATTGCCCATTGCACGGGCTTGGATGGATGTATAATGACGTGTGTCCACCATTACAGTATCTCACAGAGTAGCTTCACTGCCCTAAAAATCCTCTGTGCTCCCCAATTCGTCTGTCCTCCCCTAACTCCTGGCAACCACTCACCGTATTACTGTCTCCATAGCTTTATGTTTTCCAGAATGTCCTACAGTTGGAATCGTGTGGCGTGTAGCCTTTTCAGATGGGCTGCTTTCACTTAATGATGTGCATTTAAGGCTCCGCCTTGCCTTTTCATGACCCGATAGCTCATTTCTTTTTAGCACCAAATAATCTTCCATCGTCTTGCTTCCAAGTATCCTCCGTGTGCAGGGTTTTGTGTGCACGAGAGATTTTCACTTATTTGCGTGAACACTAAGGGACATGAGTGCTGGGTGTCTCTCACGTAACAAAATGATTTTTAAGAGCCATCACTTGTCATTTTTTCTTGAGATATATATATATATTTCAAGAGATAGATACATAAATATATATATAATACATATATATATTTAGTTTGCAAACGATCAGAAATTGAAAAGAACACATTCCAATGTTAGAGATACCGGTTCCAGTTCAGCAAAGATTTCAGGTGTGAACTCAAACTTGCACTTCAGTAAAAACTGTTACATTGTGTGGTGGGTGCTCTGCTTCTCCATTTCGAACTTGATCTGCAAATACAAACTCCAAGGGTGACAGAGAAGGTCAGCACCCCAGTTTCTCAGGCTGTTTCTCTGTCTTTAGAATCACCACGCCATCTACGTGTACTTCGAAACTACCGTTTTAAACACAGTGGGGACGTGGAGCTCCACAGACGCTGAAGGCGTGGGTTGCATCTGAAATGAGCTCAGACAATCTGATCCTCAGGAACTTACTCTCAAAACGAACGTGCGTAGTGGAGTCTGCGGGCAGCGAGGTCAGCTGTAAACTGGGGTTCTCTCCATTGACTTCCATGTGCAACAGAGTGCTCCATGAAAGGATGGGGGAACGAAGTAATAAAATGTGCTAATTATATACATGAATATATGCACACTGTATAAATGTACATGTCCATATGCATTCTATATGTATATACACATACGTATATGTTTAATATATGTGTGTATATTTATTATATATTTAAAACTCCATGGTAACATCGGCAGCAAATGTTCGGAACTTAGACCAATGAAGCTGTTTCGCAGGGAGGGTTTTTTTTTAATGTATTTTTATTTTATTTTATTTTTTTAAAGATTTTATTTATTTATTTGAGACAGAGAGAATGAGAGACAGAGAGCATGAGAGGGAGGAGGGTCAGAGGGAGAAGCAGACTCCCTGCCGAGCAGGGAGCCTGATGTGGGACTCGATCCCGGGACTCCAGGACCATGACCTGAGCCGAAGGCAGTCGCTCAACCAACTGAGCCACCCAGGTGCCCTTTTTTATGTATTTTTAAATTTAAATCCAATTAATTAACATATAGTGCGTTATTAGTTTCAGAGGTAGAGGTCAGTGATTCATCAGTTGCATATAACACCCAGTGCTCATCCCATCGTGCGCCCTCCTTCATGCATCACCCAGTTACCCCATCCCCCCAACCCCCTCCCTTCTAGCAACTCTGTTTCCTAGAGTTAAGAGTCTCTCACGTTTGTCTCCCTCTCTGATTTCGTCTTGTTTTATTTTTCAGGGAGGGTGTGTCACTGACATTGGTTCTGATTGCGGGTGCATGACATCAGTGAAAAGTGGACCAAACGTTTTGTTTGGTTTTCTTCGTGTTTTTATTTCCTCTGTGGCCAATGCGCCCCTTGTTGCCTGCATCTAGGGCAGGCTGCTTCCCTGTCGCCCCAATGGCACACCACTGAGGGCAGATTCCACTGGGCGGGCAGAAGTTAGGAAGTGGTTGATCACGTGGAGAAAGAGGG